ACCTCTTTCACTTCAAGTGGTCCATCTAGCACAATGCTCCAAAGATCAGGATCGGTCGATCCTATGAACAGCTCCATGCGATTACGCCAATAACCGTAGTGTACTCCTTCGAATCTTGGCGGCCTGGTCTGAGAAAATCCATCGGCCATGAACACTCCACCATTGCTTGCACTCGAGCTCATTTCCTCCGCAGGCAGTTACTCCTTGTTCGCCGGAGCCGGGCTCTGATACCACGTGTTGGTGCGAGTCGAGCGCGAGACTCAGGCTATTGTCCTCCCTTTTCTTCAATCAGATTGAGCTCTGAAAACCCCAAATTTCGACTTTGACAAAAACCAAGTGAAGGAAGGTGAAGTGAGTGAAAATTGAAATCGACGAGAAGGGAAAGAAACTTCTCTGTTTGAGTTTGTTAAACCGACAGCGTTTTAGTCACTTGGTTTTGACACCCGTTGGGCTCGTTCTGATACCAGGATGTCAAAGTTTATTCGCCCCAAAACGCTCAGATGAAGCCCTGCGTTTTGAAGACTGAGTAACTTCCCCTTTGCCTTAACCCAATCGATCAACAACCTGTCTTCTTCAAAATTCACACTCACACAAGATCAAGAACACAAATAAGAACTGAAAATGAAAAGCACAGAAATAAGCACATAAACCCAGACACGATATTTTTACGTGGTATCCGGTGTTAGGCAAATGATGAACCCAACACCGACTAATCCACGGTCGAAGGACCTCTGATCCGAGACCTTCGACGTTGCACTAAGATCTTGTGTTTCAGTTACAGAAATACAGCATTAATCTCTCAGTGACTCCCTGTCACCTGATCAGAATCACACTCGAGACACTAGCTCCCTGCCGATGCCTTAGCCTAACAATCAACTCTCTTTACTAGCTCTCTCCCCGACAGCCTTCTCCTTTTTCTTTCAAAACACAGACTATCTCCCTGACTCTGTTTTTGAACTGCTAAGTGAAAAAGGTGAAGCCACCGTTTCTCAATTCTTCTATCCTTATACCCATCTTCCTAGCCGTTAGCTCATCCCAATCTTGAGGAATCGATCTGATCTTGATTGATTGGCAAATCAATCTTGCTTGATTGAGAGACCTTTCCTAAATTGCTTGCCAAGACAGAGTTTCCTTTTTTGGCCATTTCCCGCAAGCGTCACTAATTGACAAGCTTCCCTTCAACAGATATGAGTGTTTATGTGTTTGATTGAACTGGTTCTTTGGTGTACAATCATCAGTTGCATTTATATGGAAAAGCTAGTAATTAGGTGCATGATATTTGCTATATAAGATTTATTGAATATTTTCAACAATTCGAGTTATTAGGATCAATTGGTTCTGAACATGGTATCAGAACTTTCAGTGATAGAAAGATTTTATGTCAAATTCCGGTGACCCTCATTGGTATGCACATGGTATCTGATGCATGTACAAACTTCAAATTCATATGAGTAACATTCGTCTGAGAGGTGTGTTAATATGTGACATAAAATCTATTATTGAACCTTTCACAACAATTCGAGTTATTATGATCAACTGGTTTTTAACGCAAGTATTATAGAAATCTTTATGAAATATTGTTTTCATAACCTTTTCACAATATCTTATAATCTGTAGTGTGGCGTTTGTTTATAAAAACGCTAACGTCAACTGTACTTAAAATGCTACCATTTCATCTAAGCTTAGCATAATATTCCCCACTATTCTCTAACCTTAAATTTTAGAGTTGTAAATTAATTATCTAATCTTTGATTTAAGGAAAGACCTTAAATTAGTAGGATGGCAAATAAGTAGTTAGGAGAAAGCCCAATGCACTGGGCTGGACTGTTTTTGAAACCCAGCCCAACAACTGGAATCTCATAACATTCTACTACCCACTTGGGCTGGGAAGCGTATTATCATTTGGGCCATAGTTATGATGAGATGGAGTTCGGGCCAGAAGCAATGGAGCGAGGTCTGGGCTGCAATGAAGGCCCAGACAGAATGCGAAATTAACACAAAATCTACTTTACTTTTAATTTTTTCTTCTGAAACTGAATGGGACAGGTTACGGTGATTACTACTTAATAATCAACATAGTTACTAAGGATAAATTGGGTATGAAAAAATAAATTATATTAATTAATTTTTTAATAAATTACAATTTAGATAGTTACAAAAATCTATTAATTACGATTCTTTCTCTTTCTCTCACTTCCGTAATCTCCAGCCAGATTTCCTTTCCTTATTTTTCTCAATCTTTCTGCAAAAAAAAAATTGAAATCACTACCAATCCATTAGACAATCATTACCACTTTGAAAAACATCAATACCATTGCAGAAAAAATCTATACAATTACACGAAAACTACCAATATAAACAATCTACCAATATAAATCTATACCATTTCAAAAAAATCAATATCATTGCAGATTTAAATTTTAATCAATACCAATACATGCAAATTAATATCATTACATGATAATCAATACCAATGCGACATAAACAATACCAATGCAACAAAATCAATACCAATGCAACAAAAAACTAATACCATTAGAGAAATAAAAACACTACCATTTAACAAAACATCAATACCATTCCAGATTTAATCAATACCATTACAACAAAACAATAAATAAATACCAATCCATTACAAAATACTACCATTGCACAAAATACTAATATCATTCGAGAAATGGAAACACTACCATTTAACAAAACATCAATAGCATTGCAAATTTAATCAATACCAATGCGACAAACACAATACCAATACGACACCATTTCATAAAACAAACAACCAACCACTACAAAAAAAAAAGTTATAATATATATACACACACGGTGGATAGAGATAGGGAGGGAAGGAAATTGGCATGAACATATCATCCCTCCACCATGACCGCCACCTAGAGAGAGAGATTTCTTGTCAATTCCCGGCGTCGGTGGAGCAGTTTCCGGCGACCAGAGACGGTGGTGGATGATTTCCGGCAACAGTGTTGAATTCGTGATGATTGTCAACCTATATTGTAATGTTTATAAGTTCAGTTTGTATTGTTTATACCAATTCGGTTTGTATTGTTTATCATTCTACTTTGTTATTTTAGTCTGTTGTGTTTGTAATGTTTATATGACTATTTTGTATATATTGTAATTTGTAATGTTTGTTTTTCTAGTTTGTATACTTTATGTTATCATTTGTGCACTTTCTATTCATTGATTTGTGATACAAGTTACTGATTTGTATTTGTAAGTAGTGTTATTTTGTACTGTTAGTATGTTTTTGTAATGTTTGTCGAGTTCTTTTGTAATGTTTGTAAGCTTTGTTATTTTTGTCCAACATATTTGTCATTTTTACAAACCATACAAATCACACTGACATTATGTACAAAAATACTAACAATACAAACCGACAACACTTGCATTACAAATCATTGTTCTTCCCTCTCTCTCCACTGTTGTCGCTGCCGTAGACTCTCTTTCCACCGCCGCCGCTGACTCTCTCTACTGTCGTTTCCATCTCTCTCTCTCTCTCTCTCCATCGCCACACAGCCTCTCTCTCCTCCACCGTGCCGACGCACTCTCTCCGCCGCCTCTCTCTCCTCCACCGTGCCGACGCACTCTCTCCGCCGCCTCTCTCTCCTCCACCATCGTCTTTCTCTTCCTCTGTTTTCCAACGACGACGGCTAGATCTGCTCTCTCTCTCTCCAAGGCTGTCGCCTCTGTCGCGATCTCCTTTCTCTCTCTCCATCGTCGTCGTCGCTCCTCTCTCTTTCACCGTCGCCGTTCTTCTCTCACACTGCTGCATTTCTCTCTCTTCCATGGCTGAGAATAGCAACGCAGAAAAGGAAGATTGGAGGGAAAAATAAATAAAATTAAATGCAATTTTTTATAATTCCAATAATGCCCCTGCCACTATTTAATCTGCACCAGCTTCTACTTTTGGAACCAAAATCACGGCTTGTCTAATGGATTGGTAGTGAGAGAGAGAGAGAGGCCAGCGGGTAGCCGGAGGGCTGGCCGCCAACAGTTGGACGGTGGTCAAGAGTGGTTGCGAACGGAGAAAGGGAACAACCAATATGGGAGGTGTTGACGGCGATGGAGAATGAACTTGAAGTAGGGTTTAGATATAATATATAGAAATTAAATCTTTAAAGGATAGAAATCAGGTGTGGTATTTTTTTTTTATTCTCAAAATTACCCTTAATCCAATCTACACCATCAATTTAAAATTAGGGTGAAATAGAGATAATTAAAGGTGTAGATTTTAGTAGTCACCATGGTTACTCAATTTTGAGTAATCACCCCAACGCATTCCGAAACTAATAAGTGATAATTTCACTCGCCCTCCAATAATTGAGAGGTACTATTCGTGTGGCCCTAATGAATCTGATGATTGTACACTAAAGAATATAATTTACTGATGAAGGACAAAAATACTCTTTGGAGTCTGATCATGGACAAAAATCGTACTACCAGAAGTAGATTTGAAGATCTAAAACACCGGAAATACTTTTCGCCTAGTTTATGCAGACACAGGCAGCCGGCGAAGGATATTCCAAATGGAAATGGCCAGCAGCAAAAAGACAAACAAAATGCATTGCAGTTGCAGATCAATAACAAGAAGGAAACAGTTGACGGACGGACCGACCAATTACGGGTCGGGGGCGAGCGGGTTAGGTAGCCGAATTCGGGTCGGGTGGCTCGTCACAGACTCACAGTAGTAAACAATACATAGCATACCAAGTTGGCAACATGGTTTTCTGTGCCCAGCTGCGGCAGGGCAATATTTATTCATTATCTTAGGCGCCATTGATGGACGGAAAAAACAGAGCAGCATTCGTCTGATTCCTCGTTAGCCTGTCTCTTTCCCTTCTCCTACTACCAGGTTATAATTTAAGGTTCTCCGACGCCGGACCCAGGAACAGAAAAGTATTGAACTTTTTCGAGGGTTGACTTTCCAGGCAATTAAGCTTCCCCTGTTTTCTGGCCACTCTGTTGTTTTCACTTCTGTCTCAATGATGAAGACCGTGGCCGGAACAGTTTTGGCGGGCATTTTGGGGGTTTTAGCATACGTTTACAGCTTCTACTTTCGGAAGCCGCGGCAGCTGAGACGGAAAATGGAGCTTCAAGGAGTGAATGGCCCTTTGCCTTCTACCAATCCCCTGTTGGGCAACATCCCAGAAATCAACCGGATTCGTCTCCTGAAAGCGAATTCCAAACCGAGATTTTCTCTCCACGATCACGGAGCCACCGCCGGCGGCCGACCGGACATCGATCACGATTGGCCGTCCTTCGTCCTGCCCCACCTCCGGCAATGGCTGAAAGAATACGGTAATCAGCTTGCTTGCTTGTATCTTCCCCTAAAGTTTCCACCTTTTTTGTGTTTTCTCATTGACCACAATGCCGTCAAAATCGCGATTCGATGCAGGGTCCACCTTCGTCTACTCCACGGGGACGATACATTTCCTCTGCACCACCGACACGGAGATGGTGAAAGAAATCAGCCATTTCAAGTCTCTGAGCTTGGGGAGGCCTACTTACCTCTCCAGAGACTTCGGTCCTCTGTTCGGCCAAGGCATCATCGCCTCCAGCGGCGCCATTTGGGCTCACCAGCGCAAGATCATTGCCCCCCAATTCTACGCAGACAAGGTTAAGGTATACATAAAATAAAACCACAATGAAATTTAGGGATCGATTGAGTTCACGACGAAATTCATACATTACTCTGTCACCTGCGCGCGTCGCAGAGCATGGTAAGCCTCATGGTGGAGTCTACCAATTCCTTGATAGCATCTTGGGGAGCTGCAATTGATCGCTGCGACGGAGGGGTTGCAGATGTCAACACGGACAAGGACATGAGGAGCTTGTCAGCGGATGCAATCTCAAGAGCTTGCTTCGGCAGCAATTACAAGGATGGTGAACATATCTTCTCGAAAGTTCGAGAGCTTCAGATCGTCCTGGCCAGAGGCCACGCTGGAATCCCCATCTTAAGGTATAAGATCAGTGTACACAGTGAATCTGCAGAGTGGTTATGTCTTTTGCAATGTCTGATTTCCGACAGTGAAAATGTTGCAGACACCTACCAACCAGCAAGAACAGAGAAGTATGGAAGTTGGAGAAAGAAATCAACACCATGATCTTGGATGTGGTGAAGCAAAGGGCGGCGGATTCTTCTCCTGATTCGGAGAAAGACCTTCTCCAAATGATACTCGAAGGTGCTAAAGATGCTAGCAACAACAGTACTAGTGCAAATGTTGTGACATCTCTAGACAAGTTCATTGTGGATAACTGCAAGGCCATCTACTTTGCTGGCCAGGACACCACCGCAATTAGCGCGTCCTGGGCCTTGATGCTGCTGGCAGCTCATCCGGAGTGGCAGTCTAGAGCTCGCGACGAGGCAATGCAGCTTTGTACTCGAGACAAGGTCCCGGATGTTCGTGCTCTCCAGAACATGAAAATAGTAAGTAAAAAATGTGCATGACTTCTTTTAATTCGGTGATGAACTAACTGATTTTGAGAAGAAAAAAAATCTTTGTCGATTCGTTGTCGTGGCAGATAACGATGGTGATCCAGGAAACGCTGCGACTCTACCCGCCGGGCGTGTATGTGACCAGGGAAGCTCTGGAGGACATCAAGTTCAAGCACATAACGATTCCGAAAGGGATGAACGTTCAGGTTCCGATATCGATTGTGCAGCAGGATCCTGAGCTATGGGGACCGGATGCGCACCTGTTCAACCCTGAAAGATTTGCTGGTGGTGTACTTGGGGCTACTAACACTACAGCCGGCGGCGGCCAGGCGGCGTACATTCCATTTGGAGTTGGTTCGCGTGTCTGCGTCGGCCAGCACTTTGCAATGATGGAGCTGAAAGTCATTCTGTCGCTTCTTCTGCTGAATTTCAGCTTCGCGATTTCGCCTTCGTATGTTCACTCCCCAGGTTTTGCGTTGGTTGTGCAACCTGCGCATGGAGTTAGCCTCCTTATAGAGCGCGCGACTCCATAGTTGGGTAGCTTGTCTAAGCCATTTTCAATGGACTGTATGTGTTTGTTTTCCACCAATTCAAGCAGAAAGCTTTCCTTCTTCAACTACTCTGCTTCCCTTGTTTTTTTTTTTTGCCATTCAACCGATCTCGAACGAGATGGAGATAAGATCAACACACTGTCAATTACAAACTACGTAACCAAGACACATAGTCGAACCTCGACAGGACCCGAGGCGACAAACTCAGAGACTTTTTGGCCACTAAATGAGCCTCCATGTTCCTATGACGACCTACGAAACGTAGATCACAATACCCCCCAAAACCAGCCAACAAGGCTTTGATCTCACGCAAAATTGCGCCAACCTTAGAATCATTGAAATCCCCTGCCAAACATTTATTCAGGATAACCTTTGCGTCGCCTGTAATAAGAAGTGATGTGAGCTGTCTGGTGCTGCATTCCTTGAGGCAATCCCGAAGAGCTAGGGTCTCCAAAACATGTGCATCTCTGATCCCTGCATAAATGGTTGATGTAGTTGCAATTGGAAACATCATCCCTGCATCAGACGAACCCTCCCCAATCACATACGCTGCCGCACCTGCCTCCCCCCTCCCTGTGGCGCCGTCGAAAGAAGCATGGAATTGATGACCATCATGCGGAAAAGCTGATCCTGTAGGAACAGAAGATCGAAGCGGGATGGCCGGGGAAAGAGTTGCGGACAAGAAGGCAGACTCAATTTCATTCACCTGATGACGCCACTCCGCCGCCCTTGACTCCAAGCAGACCTGTTGCTGATCAAAAAGAACCATACACCTGTTCTTCCAAATACGCCAAAACATGGCTATAACTTGCATGTTAAAATAAGAATTATCCACCCTCCCGCTCTTATGAAAAAGCACCTCCCGAACCGTACCTGCAAATGAACGCTTATCCCAACCTGCAAGCTGTGAACGAAAACCAACCAAGCTCCACAATTTTCGGGCAAATGAACAATTAAAAAACATATGTTCTAACGATTCCACCTTCCGACCACAAACCGGACAAATCGGGATTATATCAAGACCCCGGAGAGATATGGCCTCCCTAGTTGGCAGTATCCGATTAAGACATTGCCAAACAAAAAATTTAAGCTTGGGTGGCAATTTCAAATTCCACAACCAAAGCCACATATCATGATCCATTTGATTTACACGAGGCCGACCAACTCCAGAACGATAACATTGAAAAGCAAGATGATAAGCTGACCAAACCTGGGAAATACCTGATGGCTCACAATGCCAGATCAACTTATCCGGGATTTGGATGTGCGGAAGAGGAATTGAAGAGATGAGCTTAACAGTATCAGGATTGAAAAACAGACACAAGGCTGCCATATTCCAAGTGCAAGATCCTGGATCAATCAGCGTTGAACAAACGGGGAAGAAGCAGGGGCACCAGGTCTACGAGTAGGAATCGACAGTGGAGACGTGGGTAACCAAGCATCTTCAAACACCCGTATGGAAAAACCATTACCTACCTGCCAACGCAACCCACGAGAAAGTAAATCTCGACCATGGAGGATACTTCGCCATCCCCACGACGGATTTGAGCCACACGAGGCATCCAGCAAATTATGATGACCAACAAAATACCGCCCTTTAAGAATACGAGCCAAAAGAGAGGTCGGCTCAGTGAGTATACGCCATGCAACTTTAGCCAATAACGCCTGATTGAAGCACCCAAAATCACGGAATCCCAATCCACCTTCATGCTTACTGCCACAAAGAGATTTCCATGCTATCCAATGAACTCGACGCTGTCCTTGAACCGCCCCCCACCAGAAACGAGCCATATGGGCATTCATGCGTCGGATGAGATCTGCAGGTAACCAAAAGCAAGACATAGTATATATAGGAAGAGTCGCAGCCACAGATTTAAGTAACACTTCCCTTGCAGCAATAGACAGAGTCCTGATTTTCCAACCCTGCAAAACATACATGAGCTTCTCCTCCACGAACCTAAAAGTTTCCTTTTTCGATCGCTGAACAAGTGAAGGAAGACCCAGATACCGATCAAGGAGGCCAATAGAACCAACCCCAAGCAACGTGCCTAGCTCACTCTGAGCAGAGGAAACCAAATTAGGACTGAAAAAAGCAGCAGATTTTGCTAAATTCAACCGTTGACCACTGATTCCTTCGTACTCACGTAGAAGATCCATAAGAAGCTGACACTCACGACGAGAAGCACGAAGAAAGAGAAAAGAATCATCGGCAAAGAGCAAATGAGAGACTGCAGGAGCTGATGGCGAAACACGAACACCTTGCAATTCCTTAGAACTTATCTTCTCCTTGATCATGGCAGTAAAACCCTCTGTACAAAGAGCAAACAGAAGCGGGGAAAGCGGATCCCCTTGACGGAGGCCCCTTGTCGAAGAAAAATAACCAGCCGGAGTTCCGTTGACCAGAATGGAAAAAGTGGCAGTACAAACGCACTCTTTAACCCAATTAATCCAATCAGAAGAAAACCCCAGTTTCCGAAGAATAGCAAAAAGGAAGGGCCATTCAATGTGATCATACGCTTTCTCCATATCTAGCTTAAGTGCCATGTACTTGGCTCGACCAAGTCGTTTATGCTTAATATAATGCATCAGTTCATGGGCAATAAGAACATTGTCAATGATCTGACGCTCCTGGACAAATCCATTTTGCTCCGGGGAAACAAGGTGAGGTAATATTCGACCTAGTCGAGTAGCCATAATCTTGGTGATAACCTTATACAAGAACTGACACAAACTGATGGGTCGTAACTGGGAGACTTGTTCCACGACATCAACTTTGGGGATTAAAGTTAACCAGGTATGGTTAAAATTCTTTAGGAGCTTTCCCGAAGTGAAAAAAGAAGAGATAGCTTTGACAACACTATCTCCAACTTCAAAACAGAGGAGAATGTCCAATTGCACTAGGTAGGCAGGCTGGACTGTTTCTGAAACCCAGCCCAACAATTGGAATCTCATACCTGGGCTTGGACATTTTGATCATTTGGGTCGTTATTATGGTGAGAAGTAGTGCAGGCCCAGAAACAATGGAGCGGGAAGGCCGAACGAAAGAGGTGTTGGTGTGGGCTGCAACGAAGTCTCATACAAAAAGAGAAATCAACACAAAATATTAATTTGATTTACTTTTTTTTTCTTTTAAAAATGGAAATTTCCGCTTACCTGGATCCAAGGGGTGTAATTTAATGATGAACATGCATGTCCGTTTAACTCTTCTGGAAGAAAAAAAACAAAAACAAAAACTCTTAATGGACAAAAACAAAAACTCTTAATGGTCTTTTTTCGGGCCCACCATCATCACGGGGTCGGTGGGGCCAGTTAATCTCCTCTCTCCTTCGGTGGGGGGCGGTAGGGCGATCTGTATGTGGGATGGGGCCACTCGAGGTGGTTCTCATTCGGCTGGAGGGATGGTCCTAATGAGCCCAGCGAGGGAGGTCCTTATGGTTAAAGGTGTCCAATTTCCTTTGATTGATGACCCCATGGTGGTGGAGTTGCTGGTTCTCAGGGACGCGGTCGTCTGGTGTCTGGAGTTGGGCTTTTCGGAGGTGAGGATGGAAGGGGATGCTAAAGTGGTCATTGATAAGATTAACAAGGCGGATGCTCGGGATAACAAAGGGGGGGGGGGGGGGGGGGGGCTGTGCTTGAAGAGATAGGACAGTTTTGTCAGGCTCACCCTGGTTTTTCCTTTCGATTTGTAGGTCGGTGTAACAATAGGGTAGCCCATTTGGTGGCTAGGAAGGCCCTTTCTTTGTACCCGTCTATGAGTTGTCATTTTGATTTTCGTGCCTGGCTTGCTTCCAGGGTGTAACTATTGTTTGCTTATATCAATATATGATTACCTTTTGTCAAAAAAAAAAAAATGGACAGAAAACGTACGTAGATTTCAAGATCTAAAACACCCCAAATACGGTATTAGAGACAGGCAGCCACTCTGGATATGGGGTCGTTTGGATGGATCAATTTTGAAATGAGTTAATTTGATCAATTGTCTCATTTTATAAATGAGGCAATTAAAACGAGTCAATTTGAATTACCTACTCCCACCCCAGGTAATTGAAATTGACTCAAAAAACAGATCAATTCAAAATACCCAGGCGGATTGATTCATCCAAATATTTTGCTGACAAACAAGGCAATTTGATACAATTGTCTCAAAATGAGACAATTGTGTCAAATTGATCCGTTACAATTCCTCATCCAAACGACCATGGAAATGGTCAGCGGCAGAAAAGACAAATTACATTAAAAAAATGTATGCATAATGTAGATTACGATGCTATATAGCATTGCTGCTATAGGTTTTTGTCTTTATGGTACAATTTGAAATTGTACCTTTAACGTTATGGTACAACTTCAGATTGTACCTATATTTTTTGTACAAATTCTTTTATGGTACAACTTAAACTTGTACCTTGTGTGATGGTACAACTTCAAGTTGTAAAGTTGTACCATAACATAATGATACAAATTCATTTATGGTACAACCTAAACTTATACATTTAATGTTATGGTACAACTTCAAGTTGTATATTAAAGCACCAATGCTATATAACATAGTAGAAGTTCGCATAATATAATATATTTGAAGGGAAAAAATCATTTTATGAAATTTGGAGAAAGAAAACCACTTCTGAAGAAAACGTTTGACATATAATTATATACTTCGATGCATGGCTTCTAGAGGGAATCAGAATCACTTGTCTCGTGGGCATCGTTCCATGTACGAGAAAAACTGTGCATTCATTCGTGTTCGAGAAAACGTAGTAAAAAAGGGGAAAATAATGCCTTTCTTTCTAGTTTCTATCCAAGGACTCCTCCTTGTTCCTTAGCACCGCAAACATGCCAAACTCTCAGCTTCCCAGCCCGCATGCTTTTCGGAGAAATTAATGAAATGTACTCTTCTGCCTGAAAATTTTGACAATCCCACAGTCAGTCACTATCAATTCGCATCAGAAGTTTCTTCAAAATTTCAGGCCCATCATCTATGGTACATTTCCTAACTTTTTTTGTGTGGTCCATTTGTTGTAACCCAAGCAACAGATCATCTATTAACTTGGTCATTTCTTGAGATGATAATTAACTCCGCTCGTCTCGTCGTCGTTCACGGTCCGAGCAAGGGAAACTAAAATATAAAAGAACATACGATGTCAAGAATACGAATCCAATATGAATAAAAGTATAAAACTATGCCAATCACGAGATTTATTAACGACTCAATCTACTTGTCCTGTTGTGGCATCAAAAAACTAAGACGATCTTATTGATGTAAGACCGAAAACAAAACATCCTTTCATGAGGTGGATTCGAGTTCGACCACCGTCGTTTTGAAAACGAGACCCCCAAAAAACAAAACCCGATAGCGTTTTCACCAAATTGAAACAATGGATTAGGACAAAAAAAATGCTCAAACTATACCCCCATATGCTTTCAATAGGCTAGATCCAGGGGATTATATTAGTTTTAACGATGCGCATGCATCTGTTGAACTCTTCTAAAATATGCTCCAGAGTCTGCAGATGGACAAGAGAATCAACTACAAGGTAGATTTGAACATCAAGAACATCCAAATTACAGGCACTGTAGTTTACAGGAGCACAGGCAGCCACAGCCTGTGGATATCCCAGATGGAAGTAGCCAGCAAACAACAAAACAAATTGCATAGCGATAAACAAGAAGGAAGCCAAAACCCAATTTACTGGTTACTGACATACGCTATACGGCAACATTCGCTATTTCAGGTTGTTGGGGCGGGACCCACTAGCGGACCCCGGGCTAGGGTTAGGCAGCCGAACTCGGGTCGAGCGGATCGTCATCATCACAGTAGTACAACAGATGGCAACAATGGGCTTTCGATATATTTACAAAATTGGGGGCGCCATTGATGGACGCATTGCAGGGTTCGGCTGATTCTTATTTCTTCAGATGTCTCTTCTTTTTTTTCCATTTGCAACCCAGGAGACGAAATAGCCAAGGCATAATTAATCCCACATTTCTTGTTGCTTTCCATTCATAAATTTCTTCTCTTTTTTGTTTTTCCTTTCCTGGGTATTGGGTTCTTTCCGCCCACCTTCAAAGAAGATGACGTCTTGAGCCAACAGACAGCGAGGGGGCAAAAGGGCAGAGTAAAAGAAGGGATACCCACAAAAAAAAAAAAAAAAGTAGTGGGGGTGGTGGCTATAAGTCAAAATTGCACACCTTTGAGGACCAGGAACTACACAAGTATTGATTTTTTTTTGAAGGCTGACTTTCTAGGACATAAGGTCCCTCTCTCTGGCCTCTTCTGGGTTTTTATTTCTGTGCTGTTGGGAGTTAGCAGCTGTTTCTGGGCTTTCTACCTCTCCCTCTTTCCCTCTGTCTCGTTGGTAAGAGGACTGTTTCTTTGTTCTATGTTCTTAATATGTCGATCTTCTCTGTCCTTCTCTGTTTGCTTTTCCAGCTTGTGATCACCAGGGTTTGCAGGTAAAGCATATCCTGTTTCTGGGTTTCATTCTGTTTGATTGCCTTGGAAAAGGGTAGAGGAAAGATGAGTTGTTTGATTAGGAAAGCCTATTTTTTTGTTCTTCTTCTTTCTTCTTTTTCTGGAAGTAGTTGTTGATGCCGACTTTCTTTCTGCATGTTCATTTGGGGGGAGAATCAAATCTCCGTTCCTGATTTAGCTATGCAGAGAATCGTGATTATAATCGTTTTATATGTGAAGGCCATGTGTTTAAGTTGGGTGGTTTGGTAAATTGGTAGTGGTATTTCGACCAACCCTTTTCTTTAATTGCTAAATTGATTGGACCGTTACTGTGCAGCTGCATCTCACAGCTTCAGTTTCCAAATTGTTAAGCTTTATTCTTGAGTTTTCTTCTTCTTTTTCCTTCTGTTGATTTTGATGGTGTGGTTTGGGAGCTTAAGGTCTCGCTGAAAATTGGATTTAGTATTATCAAATATCTGTTGATGGAAAAGGAATTTTTCTGTGGATCCAATCAGGGTCTAAGCAGTAAGCTCAATTTTTTTTCCTCCTCTTTGTTACAGAGCCCTGAGAGAAGGTGATAAAGAGATGGCTGATAATGGAAGAGTCCATCCGGAGTGTGTTAATGCTGCCAATCCATATCATGAATGTGGAGTAGCTTGCCTGGAGAAGATTGCTGTGGGCGAAACTCGAAAGTCTATGAGCAAGAAGAAGTCAGGTAGCTTTCTAAAGCCTTTTGATATCTATCTTGTGACTGAAATTCCTGATAGTCATAGCCGATTTTTTGTATGATCTCTGTGGATTTCTAAACTTTTTTCTTTATCAAGTGAGAGAAGAGCTCTTTGATCTAGGGTTCAGATATGTTCATACGGTCTGATTCTCCGAAGCATATGGCTTCTAGGACTTCTTAGAATGTTCATACCACCCTTCATCAATCAGCCAAATTGGTTTATCTCATCATTTTCAAGGTGTTTCGATTTTGGGGGGGAGTTCCCGAGTGTTTCTGATTCCCTTATTCAATCGCTTTCATTCATTCTAGACAGTCCAAGAAGTTTCAAACAAGTTCAGCATATCAGAAAGAATGATGAAGAAAGAAGAGTTGCAAATCCAAATTGTCCAAAAGCTGCCAATCCTTTCCATGAATGTGGCAAATATTGTACTAATAAACCTGCTGATGCGAACCTTCACGACAATGATAAAGATGCAGGTTTTTGTTCCTCCCCCCTTTTGCAGAATGTCAGATTCGTCGTTCTGCTTTAATCCTGTTAAGGCTTAGAAATGGATCCTTCTGAAAACAGAAGTGAGGTTCGGGAAGAGTTCTCCTTAATCATTTCTCAATTCCTTAATCCTTCCTCAATTCCTTGAAGAGGGTTTATGGGGGAAAATGTGGTGCCCTTCGAAAAAGATCTGAGGTGTCTCGTGCTCCTTGTATCTTCTTGACTTTGCTTTTGTTAATGCAGGGTCCTTCCTTCTTGGTGCTCCTGTGAGCATGATAAGGAAAAAGAAAGAAGCTTTATCTCAGCCAAATTCACCTCATAGTGTCAACAATAATGTGTCTGCTGCAAAAGCAGCTAATGTTGCTGCCATCGCTTCACCAAGATCACCTTTCTCTAAACCCAACTCCAATGCTAACTCTAACAAGAAGGTAGTGGAGTCGAACAAAAGCCGGTCCACGTCCTCATCTCAAGAGGAAATCGATTCCCGTGAGCAGTCTTTCCACAAGACCCAAGCTCCAGCTTATGAATCAGTTCCTGCCTCTGGGGTCATCACGGTAGCGCCTCTCTCTTCCATGGTTGACTTGCTGGTGAAACAATTAGGTCGTCCCACTATCTGTTGATTTCTAGGTTCCACACTTACCCTGTCCTGTTTCTCTTTAACAGCCTGATGGTCCCTTGAGCCCAAATAAGGGAAGTTTTACATGCTTTGTGGATCCAAAATACACTAAACAACATGAAGAGAAGAATGTCAATACTTCTTCACCCAAGGCAGCATCATCTCCCAAGCCTGATGATGCCAAAATTGATGAACCCGTGATGAAGACGATGGAGTTCAGCTTCTCAGGCATCTCGCACATATCTCGTGACAGTGACGACGATGAGGTGCAGTCTGTTATATCTGATTCATGTGTATCAGTTGGCAAATACCATGTCAGGGCAACCATTGCTTCGATCCTATCTGCAATCTTCATCAAGTACGGAGACATAGCTGGTAACTGTAAGCTAGAATCTGTTTCCATGCGCGCGTATTATCTGGAGTGCCTGTGCTCCGTGGTTCAGGAACTGCAGGCCCTTTCCGTCAGGCAGCTGACTAGGTCCAAAGTCAAAGAGCTGTTAGCAGTGCTCAAGGACGTGGAATCAGCAGGGATTGATGTGCATTGGCTGCGCGATATCCTCAACGGTCTTACTGAAGTAGTGGAGCTCAACAGTCAGCACCAAGCCGCTGAAGCAGCCAAAGTCGAGTGTGATCATGCTGTATACTCGACTAGGAAAGAACTCGAGTTCATGATGGAGGATTTGACACTGAAAGAGCAGGCAGTTGCAGAGGCCAGATCGAAAGTCGAGCAAATGAGGGCCAGGTTAACAGAATTAGAGGCCGAATCTTCCAAGTTAAGCGAAGCTGTTTCTTCCACTTGGTCCTTGGTGGAGAAGTTTCATTCAAAACCCCTGGCGGATGACATATTGTGAATGCCATTTTGTTCAGGTGTTAACTATTCCTAATTACCACGGTAATCAGACCGTGCTTAAGTTGCAATCTTGATAAGGACCACCATGGAAGTGGTATAGCTTGGTATGAGGTTTCTGTGTATCATGCAATTGAATGATTTTGCTGTAGCTTTAACTCTGTGTTGTACTAAGCTGTCTTGAGTTGAGTATATGTATAGATTGGCTGTTTGTTTATGGGTGATCAGTAGGTTTCCATTGCTGATCCCTCAGCTCCACCAGCCTGAAACCTTTTATTTCTTAGAATGTAAATGGGTTATGTAATGGTCTGATAAACAATCAAATGTGGAACTTGAGGTTCAATAGTAGATTATATACTGTTTATCAACCCCCTTCATACTCAAGTCATTCAGATAGGGTTGGAGTTTGCACAGGTCCGAACCAAACATCGTGTGCTTAACAGAAACAGATGAGGTCATTGGGAATCGAACAGAAGATCTCACGGTCACAGAAGGCTCTGATACCATGTTAAGAATCAGTTGATTCCAATAACTCGAGTTCTTAGGAGAGGTTAAATCGTGGATCATATACGTTTACTAGCACATTCTTCTCTGAATCTAATGGTATGAAGTATGAACACAGACATATGCTAGAAACCCCAGTCAACCTGAGAAAAAGGGTAGGAGCTCCATGGAATGGGAAACAAATGTCAGGCAGAGATTATTGGAAAGAGGGTGATTTGACTTTAGTGATTTGACTTTGGGACTTGAACATCTAGAAAGTGGGAAATCTCTAGAGGGTTAATTGCATCGTTGGTCACTGAAATTACAAAAAGCGTCCATGTTTGGTCACTCAAAATATTTAAATCCATTTGTGGTCACTAACTTTACAAAAATCGTTCATTTATGGTCACTCTCCGTTAGCTGCCGTCCAACGCCGTTAACAGCGGTCGTTAAGTGATGACGTGGCTGACGGATTTGCCTAATCAGCACTTTTTAACCCCAAAATTGAGTGACCCGACCCGCCACGTCATTTAAACCCGCCATGTCAGCTAAACCTAACCAAACCTCTACCCAAACCAGACCAGACCCGCTAACTAAAACAGAACTGACCCGACCCACCAATTAATCTACCCACCTTTGACTAAAACCCTAATCGAAGACAAATCCAGTCCTCTCCTTCGTCTCCCGCTTCCTCTCCTCCTCCGCAGCTCTCGTAACCTCACCTTCTCCACTCTCTCTGCCTCATCCCGCCGGCGATGACGGCGCCGCCGCCACGCAGTTGCTCTCCGTCTCCTGGAATCAGGACTACGGCTGCTTTGCCGCCGCAACCACCTCCGGCTTCCGGGTTTACAGCTGCGAGCCTTTCAACGAGACATTCCACCGGGACATCCGAGGCGGCGGGTTCAGGATCGTCGAGATGCTGTTCCGCAGCAACATCCTGGCCCTCGTCGGCAACGAATCCAACTCCCAGTACCCGCCCAGTGTCACGCCCTGGGAGAAGAAATGACTTGGCGATAGGGATTGCAAGAGACGCAGATGGGAAGAAGAGGAGAAGGAAGGAGGATTGAGAGAGAAGAGAGAGATTAGAGAGAGAAGGGGGAAAAGGAATTTGTTATTAGCTCAGAATTGGTTACAACGGTCAGCCCGCGTCCTCTATATACATTTGGAAAATATCTATTTAGCCCCTCCAACCCAATTACCATTTACATCCTTACTTCCGGTTATTTACCCTTTAGTCCTGTTCGTTACAACTCCCCACTCCTATACAAACAGCTTGTCCTCAAGCTGGGAAATCAGGGAAACGCCTCTGGAACTCGACCAAAAATTCCCAGGTAGCGTCCTCCTCCGCTTGATGGGACCAATGCACCAGGACCTGAGTCACAGGCTTATTGTCTTTGGCCACTACCCTACGAGCCAAAATAGCTACAGGAGCAAGTTTCATACTACCCTGCTCGTCTAACTCCGGTAAGCTGCCCTGTACCTGCACCTGGCTCCGCACCCTGGCCTTCTTCAACAACGAAACATGGAAAACCGGATGAATGAATGATCCCGCTGGAAGTTGAAGACGATAAGCAACAGCGCCCACCTTCTGTATTATGGAAAAAGGACCAAAATACTTGGGACCCAGCTTATGATTTAGTCTGCTCGCCACTGATGACTGTCGATAAGGACGGAGCTTAAGAAACACCAACTCCCCTTCCTGAAACTCCCTCTCCGTTCTATGAGAGTCTGCCAGCTGCTTCGGCTTATTCTGCGCACGAGCCAAATTGTCCCTCAGCATCCCAATCAAACGATGTTGATGTTGCAATCTGTCAGCCACAGCAGCAACCGAGGTGGACAAAGGATTCTGGATGGAAAATTGAGACGGTGAATACCCATACAAAGCTTCAAACGGGGACAACTGGAGGCTGCTATGGAAGTTGGTATTGTACCACCATTCAGCCAATGAAAGCCACACTGCCCACTGCTTAGGATTCAAATGAACCATTCCCCTCAAATAATCCTCCAAACACCTGTTAACCCGTTCTGTTTGTCCATCAGTCTGAGGGTGGTAAGCAGTGGAATAATGCAAATTTACCCCTTGCAACTCAAAGAGTTTAGACCAAAAAGCACTAGTGAAAATGACATCCCTATCCGAGACAATTGTAGTAGGCAGCCCATGGAGCTTAAACACCCCATCAAAGAAAATCTGAGACACTGTTACTGCTGTGTAAGGCTTGGTAAGGCATAAAAAATGACCATACTTGGAGAAACGGTCCACAACGACCAAGATAGCCTCTTTACCGCACGAATTAGGCAACCCTTCTATAAATCCATGGAAATGTGCTGCCATGCTTGCTCGGGAATGGGCAGCGGTTGCAACAGGCCAGGATAAGGAACATTCTCAGCCTTACACTGCTGACAAACAACACAATGTTGAATATACACTTTCATATCAGATTTCAAACCTGGCCACCAAAAATAACGCTTGAGGCGTTGATAGCTAGCTTGTAACCCCGAATGACCCCCAATGGGAGAATCATGGAACAGTTGCAGCAGCTGATCCCTCATTCCACCTGTGGACCCGACAAATATGGCAGACTTATGATACAACAATCCCTGCTGGAATCTGTATAACTTGGGCCCTATCAGAGGTACAGAAGCTTCAGCAATCAACACTTGAGTCTCCTGATCTCCTGCATAAGTGTTTTCCAGCTCGGCCAACCATGTAGGTAAGACTGCTGTGATAGCTTGGCACCTGCCAAATGAGTTAGAAGCAAAACTGGGATGTCGTGACAAAGCATCAGCCACTTGATTAAACTTCCCTTGTCGATATTGGATTTCAAAATCCAATCCCAGCAGCTTTACTAACCCTTCTTCTGGATTTGAGTATGAATTTTCTGTCCCAATAAGTGCTTGAGACTTTCATGATCCGTGATAATCTTGAATTGCCTCCCTTCCAAGTAATGACGCCACTTGGTTACTGCTAATATCACAGCCAAGTACTCCTTTTCATAGGTCGATAGGCCCTGTTTTCGAACTCCCAATGCCTGGCTGTGGTAAGCCAATGGGCGCCCTTCTTGTGACAGCACAGCACCTATCCCCACATCACTTGCATCTGTTTCCAGGACAAAAGTTTTGTTAAAATTCGGCAGTGCAAGCACAGGAGCCTCGACCATAGCCCTCTTGAGAGTTTCAAAAGCTGTTTGAGCCTTTTCTGACCACTGGAAACTGTCTTTTTTCAGTAAATCTGTCAGTGGTTTACCAATAACACCATAGTTCTTAACAAACTTTCGATAATATCCTGTTAAACCCAGGAAACCCCTTAAATCCTTCACATTTCGAGGAACTGGCCACTTAACCATAGCATCCACCTTAGCAGGATCAGTTGTAACACCTGCTTGATTAATGATGTAACCCAAATAATCGATCTGAGTTTGCCCAAAGGCACACTTAGACGGTTTAGCATACAGAGAATTCGCCTTCAGAACAGACAAAGCTGTGGCCAGATGGTGTTTATGACTTTCCTTATCAGGGCTATAAATCAAGATGTCATCGAAAAATACCAGAATGAATTGTCTAAGGTAAGGGCTGAATATCTTGTTCATGAGAGCCTGAAATGTTGCAGGAGCATTCGTGAGTCCAAACGGCATCACAGTGAACTCATACAACCCTTGATGAGTTCTAAAAGCTGTCTTGTGCTGGTCCATGGCATTCATTCGTATTTGATGGTAACCGGACAGCAGATCCAACTTAGTAAAGAACTTCGATCCCCGTAACTCATCCAAAAGATCATCAATCACGGGAATAGGAAACTTGTCCTTAATAGTTTGATCATTTAGTTTCCTGTAGTCCACACAAAAATGCCATGAACCATCCTTCTTGAGTACTAACAACACTGGGGAAGCATATGGACTGCGACTAGGCTGAATGTATTTAGACTCCAGCATTTCCTTGACCAATCTGTCCATCTCATTTTTTTGTGGAATGGAATATCTATAGGGTCGCAGGTTGACTGGCTGAGATGCTGGTAGCAAAGGAATTGTATGATCGCAATCTCTGGAAGGTGGTAAGGATTGAGGCTTCCCAAATACATCCTCATACTCCTGCAAAACTGGTAACAAAAACTCAGGAACTTGCTGCTTGGTTTGATCCACTATGCTCTCCAAACTACACAACTGATCCACTTCCTGCAAACTACAGAGCTGGCCCACAAAAGAAATCTCAGAGTTAGCCCACCATTTCTCCAAACGTTTCCCAGAAATCATCTTACAGTGAGCCGTGTCTTGAAGCCCTTGCAACATAACTTCCTTGCCTTCCCATTCAAAGAACAGACGTAGTTCAATGAAGTCAAACTTGACAGGGCTAATTGTTTTGAGCCAGTCCAATCCAAGAACAGCATCGTTGGATCCTAAGCTCAACACCCTCATATCATATTGGAACTTCCTACCTTGCATTTCCCAGCAAAACCCTTTACAAACCATTTGACTCAACAATACTGGGCCATCTGCAAGTTTCACACGAAGAGGATTACTTGCTGGAACCAACTGGCAGTGAAGTTCAAGAGCCTTCCTCTCACTGAGGAAAGTGTGAGTACTGCCAGTGTCGATCAAAATGAAGATCTTATCGTGTTTAACCTTGCCCTGAACAATCAAAGAATTGGCCATACCCCCACTGTTAAGTGCCTGCATAGACACTTCTTCCAACTCACTCTGCTGTGACTCCAAACCAGATTCCAAAACTTCTTCTTCCTCAGGACCAGACCATTCTTCACCCGCAACATCTTCTCCTTCAGCCTGCAAAACGTTGAGTTGTTTCTTTGCCCTACACACATGGCCAAAGAAATACCTGTCGCCACATTTGTAGCAGACTCCTCTCGCTCCATTGCCCTTTGAGTTCACCACATGAGCTCTAACCCCACCAGCAGGTCTTGGAGTAGGACCATCCCAACGACGAGGTGCAGAAGTATTTGTGTTAATGGAAACTCCCCCGGGACGAGGAGATCCCCCATGAACTGCACGCCACTTCTTCTGATGAGCTGCATTGGATTCCTCCTGCAACTGAGCTAGCTGAAAAGCATCGGCCAAAGTTTGAGGATTCCACATCTGTAATACTGGTCTCAATTCCTCTTCCAACCCACTGATAAAGCTGCTAATGAAATAGATCTCATCCAATCCTGGATTAAAACGCGCCATTAACGAACGCAATTCCTCAAATTTCTCTTGATACTCCGATAAAGAACCTCTCTGCTTGAGTTTATTGAATTCAGCAACTACACCACCATAAGTGCGATTGCCAAATCGTTGGCAGAGTGCCGCCACAAAGTCTTCCCACACCATCACCTGTCGACCGATCTTCCAGCCTTCGAACCACAAATCCGCACGGCGTTGGAAATATATCACCGCCAAATTTACCTTCTGATCGTTAGGGATAGCATAAATCTCAAACAGTTTCTCACACTTCCTAGTCCATTCACGCGGATCGTCACCATTAAAGGGAGGGAAATCAAGGCGGGGAAGCTGATGATTATTACCTAGGGTCGGAGCCGGACGGAACTCCCGCTCAGCGACTTGATGAAACGGAGCTGGAGCCCTAGGTGCCTGCGCCACGGCAGGATCGACTCCCCTGATCCCTTGTTGTGGAAGTGGAAGAATGCCGCGAGCTATATTTCGATTGACCAGTGGACACGCCGCACCGGCAACGGGATCCGGCGGCCGCGGATGCACGATCAGCTGGAGCATCTCCCGGATTTCGTGAGTGAAATTTCCAATACTAGTATCCAGACGCTCCTCCAATTCAGTTAATCGAGTTGCTGTACCAGCCTCCATGGAATCCAATCGAGCAGTAAGATTGACAAATTGCTGCGAATGACCGTCAGAACGAGTCACCAAATCCGCGAATCGGTTGCGAACGTCTGTGATTTTGTCATCCAATTCACCCTATGCCTGAGATGTCGACGCCATATGAGCGGTGAGACGCTCATCGAAAGAACTGCGAGTGGCCGCCATTGTTGATGAGTGCCAAGTTGAGGCTCTGATACCACCTTGTCACGCCCTGGGAGAAGAAATGACTTGGCGATAGGGATTGCAAGAGACGCAGATGGGAAGAAGAGGAGAAGGAAGGAGGATTGAGAGAGAAGAGAGAGATTAGAGAGAGAAGGGGGAAAAGGAATTTGTTATTAGCTCAGAATTGGTTACAACGGTCAGCCCGCGTCCTCTATATACATTTGGAAAATATCTATTTAGCCCCTCCAACCCAATTACCATTTACATCCTTACTTCCGGTTATTTACCCTTTAGTCCTGTTCGTTACACCCAGCAGGGTCCTCATTTGGGACGATCACCAGAGCCGCTTCATTGGCGAGTTCTCCTTCAGGTCGCAGGTCCGCGCCGTGAGGTTGAGCGGGGATCGGATTGTCGTGGTGCTCGAGCACAAGATCTATGTCTTCGATTTCGCAGATCTGAAGCTGCTTCATCAGATCGAGACGTTGGCGAACCCTAGAGGGCTCTGCTGCCTGTCTCATCACCCCAACACGTCCGTGTTGGCTTTGTCCGGGCTGTACCGTGGGCAGGTTCGAATTGAGCATTTTGGGTTGAATCTGGTGAAGTTGGTTAATACTCATGATAATCATATTGCTTGCCTCGCAATTACCATGGATGACCTGCTTCCTGCTACTGCTAGCACCAAGGGTACCTTAATCAGATTCAACCAAGGGCACCTTGAAGGAGGCGGATGGATTTGTCTTCGATTAGGGTTTTAGTCAAAGGTGGGTAGATTAATTGGTGGGTCGGGTCAGTTCTATTTTAGTTAGCGGGTTTGGTCTGGTTTTGGTAGAGGTTTGGTTAGGTTTAGCTGACATGGCGGGTTTAAATGATGTGGCGGGTCGGGTCAGTCAATTTTGGGGTTAAAAAGTGCTGATTAGGCAAATCCGTCAGCCACGTCATCACTTAACGGCCGCCGTTAACGGCGTTGGACGGCAGCTAACGGAGAGTGATCATAAATGAACGGTTTTGTAAAGTTAGTGACCACAAATGGATTTAAATATTTTGAGTGACCAAACATGGACGCTTTTTGTAATTTCAGTGACCAACGATGCAATTAACCCAATCTCTAGATGATGATCACAAGATCTGTTGTAGGCTTCTAGATGGGATTTCGACGTGGGAAGCTCTCAGAAACTAATAATAAACGATGATAAAAAAACAATTAAATGTCCCATGTGGATGTATGCACATCATGCGCCATGCAGATGCAATTCCATATCGAAGTTTTTTACATAGAAAAATGGGTGATAAACACTGCTACCTCATATTAAAATCCCAACAGAAATTACAGAACATGTTTCCCTCAATTCACAATAAATAAATAAAAACTAATACAAGTTCAATTTTCATAAACATTTCTAACATGTTTTTATATTTTGAACTAATCATAAAATTGATTTACAAGTGAACACCTTAAAACAAACCTATTTTAACATCTCTTTTTCGAATGATCACATATTCGACTACAAATTCATTTATGATGTAGCTCAAAGTTGTAACTTCTTTAAATACTAACAGTTGGAATTCATAAAAATCGTTATCAAATTTCATAGTTGATTAGGAATTAGGTATTATAAAATTCAGCGTTCAATTTTGTGTATATTTCAAAACAATTATATCATCCTCTACTATTGTGTGCCACTATTCTACCACTATCTTACTGTTATGTATATCATTACCACCATGATACTAAATTATAATCGTTAAATGTTAAGAATTATAACTATACAAAGTTGAGTAATTATAGACTACTAATTGGGTTTCTTTCCTTCCAGGGTGGAAATCGGTACGATATCGATATCTCAATACTGAAATCCCGAATTACAATCTAAAATCAACCCCAATTTCAATCCCTAAATATTTCGGTATCCCAATCGGTATTATGGAATACAAAATTAATTACCTTGGCAATTAATAATTAAATATATAAATTAGATTTGATTGTTTAGTTTAGGGCAAATAGACTAAGCACAGAGTCTTGAGTTTGCCTAGACCTAGGATATGTATAACAATAATGGAGGAGATGTGACATCTCAAATTCTTGACATTTGGTAATCTTTAATTGGACGAATTGGAGGTTGAGAGACGACTAATACTAGTGTTTGCCTTTTGGTGTTATGAAAACAACAAGAGATTAGGCGAGAGACGAGAGTGACTTAAACTGGAAAGTCAAAATTGAGCTGGATAGGGGCTTCTAAGTTGTGAAAGAGTGAGAAATGACCAAAGGTTGTGTGTTATATTTAAATAATTTTTAATTTTCGATATTTCTCGATATTTCAGCATATACCGATCTCAATCCCGTAATCTCGAATACCGAATAGCACTCCAAAATGAATCACAATCCCAATCCCTAAAAAATAAGTCGGTATTCGGTAATACCAAATAGTGATAAATTCGATATATACCAAATAGCTATAAGTTTGGCCCTAATTTCCAGGTATAAGACTATAAGTAACCAAATGTAAATGGTAAAAGGAAATTTTTATTTGCTGGTACGTTTTGTGAATTACAGGAATACACGCCCGTATTTGGACTGTAGTCTTATACCGTTAGTATACAGACGGAAACAGAATAATCGCAGACGCGCCGGGAATTTGGTAAAGGTTAAGCATGAATCTGCAGCCTATTCTTATTCTGTTCTAAACTTTGATTATTCTGTCTACTGCTATTTTATTGTTTCTTCTTAGTTGGTCCGTGGGAAAATTGAGACCAATTTGATTTCCCAACCATATTTGAATTTGAAAGGGCATATTCCTTCCAACCATAAAGCAAAAGGCGAAGGAACAAGGCATTAGGCAAAGAAGGAGAGAGCTGAAATTCATCGACAGACCAAAAAAAGCAAAAAGAAGAAATAAAACGCGAAGGGGAAAGCTGGAAAACTCTCCATCTTCCTCACCGCCTGAAGAAGGAAAGAGAAAATCCGGTTGTGATCGCCTGACGACGTGAAGGCAAACTCCATCTCCATCATTAGCGCAGGAGGTTGATCGGCGGCCGGTTTTGCCTTCCTGTGCTTCACTTCTGTCCGGCTGTTCCTAACGGTAAAGCCCAATTTTCGAAACTCTCAAACATTTTGACATAAACCCTAGCGAAAAGGCTTCCCCTTTTTAGGATTTGTGATGATTCTCTTGTTTTCTTATTAGAACCCTTGTTTTTTATTACGACGATCACTATGCTTTCTGATCTTGGATAGAGGGTTTCGAATTTTAATTTGGACCCACTACGTGTATCTCTCGAATTGACATGTTAAGCTTGAGAGTGACCTTCAAAATGTCAATTTAGGCCCCAGCGTTTCAGCTGCATAGCACACATTCCACCAAAGGTCCTGCCTTTAATTGGTGGCTGCTGTTAGACTACCAGAAAGTAGTTAAGTCGGATCATTTCGTTATGGTTTCAATTCATTCATGCCTGCAGCAAATCTATGATCTACTTTGGTCGAGTTCGTCTAGTTGTCTCACCTGCACAGGAGTTTGTCAAGCTGCATGCCGTTAAGGTTTCCTGTACTGTGATTCATTTGTTATGGACGACAATGATCCTATGCATTGGTTATTGTGAATGGATCAAAATTCTGGTTGGTCGTCTCCTCGGTAATTGAACTCTTTTCATCTTATCCAATTTTGTCAATGTCCTTGCATTGGTCTCAATCTCATGGTGTGTTCTTGATTGTCTATCCCTGTCCTCACTTCCTCTCCAGTCTGCTGATTTTTCTCGTTTTCAAACAACAGTCTTTTGATTGAGTAATCGTATAATCTGCTGTTTTGAAATCTAACTTCATGTTTTTATCTTTCCTGCAGCTTGACGACATTCTAATGGTACGATTTTCAAATGGATCTAGATGTGCTACTTTGCCTTCCATTATGTCTTGTTTACATGTAATTCTAATCTGGGAAGTTCAGAATTCTGATTACGGCATGCTTTTCCTCTGATACAGATGCCGGATGCATCTCAGGAGTTGGTAAAAAGCAGCGAACACACTGGCCACCACATAAGACAAGATAATGAATATGTTAGGCTTGTCATGTCTGATGAACCAAATCCAATTTTACCACATGTCTCGGAACCTCCAACACCATCGAAGACCAGGCCTTCCCTGCGTTGGACCAAAATTCTAGCATTGTGCATAGTTATTGCTATAGTTGTCTTCGTTTCAATCAAATGGGTATTACCATTTCTTTTCAAAAAGGTATGCCTTTTCTTCAGCACTCCTTGCTCGTTGTTCCTGATATTGGATTGTCTATCTACCATTATTTTAAATTTTGGATGATAAGAGAGTGCCCGCTTAGTTTGTTTGTGGTTTACATATCACTTTCTTCTAACTGCTGGGTCAAAGACTTCAAGTATATTGTTGTCATCGACTTGTTTATTTGGAACAATTGAGCATCAATTCAGTTGGATGTGGTTACAAACATGTGAGGTGTTCACGTTTGATGGATGAAAGTAGCATTCATATTTTTACCAGCTTCTGAGGCTTAACTTTTAACTTTGATTTTTCTACATCCGTAGGTTCTGTACCCAGTGATGAAATGGGAAGCAACTGCCTTTGGACGTCCAGTCCTTGCTCTTGTACTTATTGGTTCTCTGGCGTTGTTCCCTGTTTTCTTAATTCCTTCTGGTCCTTCAATGTGGTTGGCTGGTATGATTTTTGGATATGGCATTGGATTTGTCATAATCATTGCTGGAACAACGATTGGGATGATCCTGCCTTTCTTCATTGGCCTGTTTTTTCGTGACCGTATCCATGTAAGCAAACCTTTATTTTTAGTAGTAGTTCCATCATCCATTCCATCCAATCTATTGGGAACATAAAAAAAAAATTGTGTTGATTGTTGCAGCAATGGTTAGAGAGATGGCCCAAGCAAGCTGCCATGCTGAGACTAGCAGCAGAAGGGAACTGGTTCCATCAATTTCGAGTTGTTGCCCTTTTCAGGGTATCCCCATTTCCATACACAATTTTCAACTATGCAATAGTCGTCACAAGCTTAAGATTTTGGCCCTACATATGTGGTTCAGTTGCTGGAATGATCCCAGAAGCTTTTCTTTACATCTACAGGTCTGTTCTCTACATCTAAAAATTGCAGTGGAACAGTTTTCTCTGCCGCCGGGCTTCTCTTGGTCTCTCTTGCTTAAATTTGTTAATTTTGATGTTGAATTTGGTGCAGTGGTCGACTAATCAGGACACTTGCTGAAATGAATTATGGGAAACATCATCTGACACCAGTGGAGATCGTGTATAACGTAATCTCGTTCATCATTGCAATCATAACTGTCATAGCTTTTACTTTGTACACAAAAAGAGCTTTGAACAAGCTTGAAAATGGAGAGGATACTGCCAGCCCGTTGTCAGCAGCACACGTTAGTTACGAGATGGGTAAGCTACCACATGAACAATCCAATCATATGGTTCTGTCATCTTTTGTATCATGACCCCCAACTAGATTGGGAAAAAATTATCATTGCCCCTTGTAAAAAGTATCCCCCCTGCAAACTTCTAACCCTAATTTTGCCTCTTGTTTAGCTATAACTAATGTTCCAGTCTCCCTGTTTGTATTTACAATCTAGAAAGACAAAATACACTGCTTGTGATTTACCCAAGAAGCAGAAGTCCACAATGGCTGTAATTCTCTGATGAATAACAGACTACTTATGTTATTTCGGTGTGGTTACAACAGGAAATAAAGATTGAGAAGAAAGCATTGTAGGTTCTAATTCTTCTATGCCACACCTGTTTCCCTACTAGTCCAAAGAAGCAGGTTTTGTTTTTTTATTGCATCTCCATGTACAGCAATCGTAAGAAAAAAAGGATCACACTGATGAAGTAGGTGAAGGTGTTTGGGCTGCAAAAGGATGCATCATTGTAGTAGTACCAGTAGTTACAGCTGCTGATGGGATTCTGCCGGCCATGGTGACCATTTCTTGCTCACCGATTTCTCCGGCCAAACGATCCACTCTAGTGGTGCTGCTGGAGTCACCTGTGTTTTCTCTTTTGGCACGAAGTGATGACAGCCAATCGTCCAACGATGACTGCACATAGTCGTCGAACATTCCCTTCTTGAACCTGCTACCCATCTTCGCCCCCCATAAAAACAGAACACAGGAAGAACAAACAACAAGCTGAGGATTTGCAAGTGAGTCGACCAGGTTTAAGCTTATTAGATGAAATGGAACTGAAAGAAACCTGGGAGACGAGAGCATAGAGCGGCAGCGTACTGTAACTGCATAGCACTTGAACGATCACACTGCACAAAACCGAGCAAGAGTAAATGATGGTAGGATGTGAAACCAACAAAACAAGACAGAAGGAAAAGGATGAAAGCTTCATTGTCCACGAAGATTATTACCCCATGATGAGCCTTGGCACAATGTAAACAAGCTTCTCCATGATGCACGAATCGAATCCGTACGTGCTCTGGATTGTTGTCAAAAGGAAAACAACATTGCGAAAATCAGTGAAACGGTTACTTGCTTGAATAAGAGAAGAAAAATAGTTTAGACAACTTTGTTTGTCTTACCCAAATCCAGAAGAAGAAGGCAATCTCGAACGAATTCTGGAAGAGGATGAAGTGAATCAAGTGAAGAGCAATGGCTGGACGATGGAACCAGAAGTGTTTGTCTGAAGGCTGCACTCGCTCTGATTCGACATGGTGGTGCTCTTTCTTCTCCACCACCTCCTGAGCTAACTGAGTCATTATGTGTTCCAACTTGGCACCCACCAGTAGCAGCAACTGTGTTACAACAAGACATAGTTAATGGAAGGCCTTGTTTGTTAACTTTGCTAAGTAAGAGGAGTAAAAAGATAATAACAAAAAGAAGTGCCACTTACAATCAATGGCAAAAACGCCAACCAAAAATAGGTGTGCCATCCTGCAGCCATTGATAGGATTAGTAACCTTGTGTTGCAAGGCAGGGTTGATTTGTGCAATATTTAGGTTAAGGATGCGTTTGGATCAAGTTAAAATTTACCTTCCACATTCAGCAACAAGAATATCACCACAAAGAGCCACAGATACCAACTGCATTTCCCAAACTCAATTGCTTAGTAAGGATCCCTTTCAAAAAATTGCTTAGTAAGAATTATGTGGAAAAAAAAGTACTCTGCCTAGTTATGATTTTTGTATAAAAATTCAGATGTGTACCTTATGCCAACAATTTTCCTGAAATCGATTTCAAGAGTCCGCAACATGTACTTGTGGAAGTCGAAATTGGGCATGCTTGGACAATGAGTCTGTGTATGTTTAGGTATTTTTGTCATCCAATCAAATATTAAACATGTAGCAATAACACCGATATGGCTAAGGCTAACTATGTAAATCAGTGGTAACTAAAGTTTGGGTTCGCTAACGAATAAGTTACTTAAATTTTTATTCTTTTAAAAATTTCTCAGTAGAGTTCAAAACAACTAATATAGCGATCACTTTGTCAATTGTTTTGACTATATGGGTTAAATCGAGTCGGAACAATGAATTTGTCTTGATTGGGTTGGGTTAAATTTGTTGTATATGTAATTTACTTAGCTTTTCTTAGTCTTTTTATTATTAATGTTGGTGAGTTGACACGTTAATGTGGACAATTTGAACGAAAAAAATTAACATACATTTAAACGAAATTATTATCCTAGCTATTTCAAATTTCAGTAATAATAAGTTTAAGGTGTCGTTTGGAAGTTGCGATTATTAAATAGATGTATTGTTGAGAATGCATGTATAATATTATATATGTATTGTCGAATTTGATGCATTGTAGAATACAACGTTTGGTATGTGTGATTGTGTATGTCGCATTAGCTAAAAGCTGAGACAAAACAATCTCAACAATCATAACTAAAAGTTGAGATATAACAATCACTCAAAATGAGTGATAGTTTCTGTCACATCACATAAACAATCCATGTATTGTTTCTGTTAAAAAAACAAAAAAACGATGCATTGTAAACAATACATGCATAATGACAATCTCAACAAAACTATCGCAACTTCCAAACGACCCCTAAGTGTTCGGTCTAGTAGCATTACCACTAGCCTTCAACGTGAAGATCCCAAAGCTTAGCAATCATTTACGTAATTGACCCAATAACTCGGGGATATAGTTAGGAAGGGGAAAAGATGAGAACCGTGATAAATCCTTGTCGAAGCGCAATGTAGTCGGACTTGGTTACGGAGCCATAAAATTGCTTGAAGAACGACACCACCCAAGTCACAGGGCCTGAATTGCCACAACGCCCTGTGACATGTGTTTCAATGAACCTCCCATGGTGATGATCATAAGCTGGAGTAGCACCACTTCTGCGCCCTGAAACATTCATAAAATGTTTTAATTCATCGACTATTAATCAGACCAGATTAGTTCAAATTGGTAAAGCATATGATAACATAGTTGAACCTTGGGGTTTGCCACCATGCCTAATGGAGTCCTCCCAAACCTTCCACTGCCTAATCTGTTCAAACAAGAACACAACTTTTTTGGGTCACTCAAGAGCTCAGAAGTTAGTAAGGAAATGGAAAATCACCCTATAGGCAGAGTTACTAAATTACCCTTGCACCTCCAAGAACCATGGTACTAACACAGAAGATGACATGCACAACTGCAAGAACAAAGATGAAGATGTGCAGCTGGTGCAATGCCTCCAACGACACCATCGGTACCTTACCGGTCTGTCACTCCGACCAACAGCGAAAACACAATGTAAGGATGCAGCGAATACTGATGTACCGTCGTACACGTTATTGGAACGAACTGATTGTTGACATAGACGAAATTTGAATCAACACATGCACACCTTGGAGCAATGGTCCGGACCCTCAGAGGAAGCTAAGAGATGGCGCCTCGGGGAAAGATCGCCGAAGCCAAGAAACAGTTGGTTGTGTCCGCCGCCGGCTTCGCCTTTCTTCTGTCTCTTGCAGGGGAGCATGGTGGAAGCAAGGCTAGGCGGTATGCAAATGTGACGGATGGCGCCTTGTGACACCGTTAGCAGCAATGATATGAACCCCAACAACATCAGCTCTGTTTCCCCCCCAGTGTCAACAACAGATTAAGCATATGCACATTCATTCTATCATGTCCAGTAGACAGAAGCCATTGTATTGCAAAATGTACCTTCTTTTAGCTTCTGGAGGGCTTCGAACAACGCGTCCTGCTTGTTGTTCTTCAGGCACTGCAATCGTTACGCGCGACATAAACATATGTTAGGTAACAATGTTACACGCTTGTGTGTAAGGTTTGTTGGATGAGCATTGTGTGTTTATGATGATGCTAGTACCTTGCCAAGCTTATGAAGACCGCGCTCTGCGATTAGTGACAGCATCACGATCACGAAGCAGACAGCCGCGACCACCCATGTCGGGGTGAACTCCAACGAGGCGTTCGATTGTTCTTCGGCCATTCTCAAGGATTGGGGACCCCTTTCCTAAACCTTCCTATTCCTCAGCTCAAAGGGGAAACACAACAATTGACAACGACAATGATAAATGAAGCAATTTTGCGATATAAGGACTAGAATGTTGGTAAAGAATATGGTAATGCCAATTCCCAAGTTGAAGGCAAAGAATAATGGAACTACTGTTGTTTCCCCGACACCTCAATCTGTAAAGACTACAAGAGCCCACCATTCCAAGAAACGAATCGTTGTCTCTTCCTTCTTCTGGTTGGTTTCTTCTGTCATTCGCCTTATTCTAACTTGCCTTATTTAGCCGTGTTGTTTACGCCTTATCAAGCGTTTTGATTGAGAAACGAAAATATGTTAATTTGTATCAGCCGACTGTTGGACCGAAGACAAGCTAATCAGAAAGAATAAAGATCCAAAGACTTGCCTTTTTCTGGAACCAACAAATTTATCTCTTTCACTGTCAGACATCAAGAAGGGAAGTGTCAATTGTTTCCACCAAGGAATCCACGAGAGTTACAAAAGAATACAAGAGAGCCATACATACACATTATGCTATCGTATAACACACAAAAATTCAATCGAAGACCAACATTTTCCAGGAAGAGTTCAGTCATCCCATCTTCTTCTTGCTTCTCACATGGCCCTCTTTCAGAAATGCTGCACTGCATCCACTGTCTTCTTCACACACCCCATGCTTGTCTTTGTAAAAGTGTCTTCAACCATTCCTGACTTGCTCGAAAGTTCTAATTTACATATATTGCTGCAGTGTAAATCGTGTATAACCAGTAGGATCAGATGTGCTCGAGGAATGTCTTTCTCATGGCTTCCATGGTGCTGGAGGTGGAGGAGGAGTTGGGAACATGGGGGGCACCGCCGAGAAAATGGTGTTCTTGTCAATATTAGAGTCCCCATCGCCAGACAACGCTACAAGGGCTGCGACTAATCCTGCATTTCCAGCAAGTGTTGGCTCGGTATAGTTGTAGTTAGTTCGAACATCATGGAAGCCGTCGCGCCTATCAGGCCCTGCAACCATAGCTCCCACTATTGTGTTCGGGTTTGGTTTCTTTGAGTCCCTCCACTTCCATCCACCTTTGCAATTGTACTTAACTTTGTTCTTGGGGATAGAAGCACCTCTGTGATGGACGTGCTTCGGGTAATGGTTACCAAAACCAACAACATAGCTCATTTTTCTTGGATTTTTCCCCAGGATATAATCGATCTGCAAAATGAAGTAAAAAATCTTCATCGCGCTTTGAACAGGATTTCATCCAAACTATGATTCATTCTGAACGGCGAGGAAACTGAATTAGATACCTGGGTCTTTGCAAATTCACGCAGGATCTTTGTAGAATAGAAGTTTGGTCCACAGTACCATCCAGGTGTGTCTGCAGCATCAAGATAGTCGCTATATACAGTAGCCAAAAAAGCTGCATTCACTACATACTGAAGAGGTTGTGGCCTTCCATGGTTTAACTGGATCAAGCCACCTGCAGGATCACGTCACAACAAATCATTCTAAATCAGGATCAAATTGAAAGCATTGTCATCTAAAGAGGAGCCAAAGCAGTGTAAGGAGATAGTGTTTACCCTTGGTTCTGTTGAAGCTTGTGAAATATGGAAGGTAGGAACACATGACAATGCTAGTCTGGTTATGGAATGTCCTCAATATTTCTTCGTACGGATATCCAGGGCTAAGGAAGAGTCTCAAGCGGCTAAGGAGCACCTTTTCTCAGCAAAAAATAAGCCCCATATTAGCTCAATATGCATCAGTTAAATGAAGTTCGACCGAATAAGCAAGGTTATATTCGACTCAATCAACTAACCTGAGCACCAGTAAGCTTGTTGTCCCAGCTAAAAACACCGTAGTCAGGTCCACCCCAGAAAGCACCAGCATGCCTCGCAATACCATTAGTAGTAGCCAGCTGAAGGTAGGAATTATTCCCAGTAGCATAGTACAACCAAGTTCCAGCCCAAAGAAATTCATCCCAGTAGCTAGTAGAATTGTAGAACTGAGAAGCTTCGGAACTACCGGCACTGTATCTTCCACGCTGGTCCCTCGAGAATTTAAAGAGCGTTCTGGCACCATGGACAAGCTTCTGAGAATAAGCCTTATTGTCTTTGAACACAATCGACGCAGAAGCTAGAGCAGCCGCCATTTCCGCAGCAAGATCAGAGCAACTGCTGCACGAGGTCACCGGCCTGTCGTAATCAATGTCCTCAGGGCGCGTCCAGCAGTAGTGATCATTTGGAGTCGACATGCCGCCAGAAGTATCCCCTGATCCAACCTGAAGAAGTTTCCATTTCATTAATAACATAACCCACAGAAGCTGCATCATGACATGAAGTGACCATTCTTCAACGTTTTGCATGACAAAGCAGGATTCTTTACTACTAGATGAAGCCACAACTCCTACTTAAAACTGAAAAAATACTTCTACAGATAGCAGGGCGTCATTATACCTGGGCAACAAGTGTATTGATCGTATCAGCAGTGTGATTGAAGGTCTTGAGAAAATAATCAGTTCCCCACTTGATTATTTCCTTAACATGATTCAGCTCACCGGCAGCTTCATACTTTGCACTGTACTCAATCACACTCCAGCTCAACATGGTCATGGCAAACGATTTGGGGAAATTGAACTTAATCGCATCCCCAGCATCGTAATAGCCACCGACCAGATCTTTGTACGTGGCCCCGGACTCGCCTTTGCCATCATTCATACCAGAGTTCCCCCTCCACGACACATTGTTATGCTTGGGAAGCTTTCCTGCTGCAAAATTGCGAAAAACAGAACTAAATTACAGCTCCATCACTCCTTGGCAACAGAAAATACAAAGCAGGAAATCAAAATTAAAGTCAAACCCAGATCAAACACAGATCCCAGGCCCAAATCAGAACCAATAAAACGACGAAAATCGAGGCAGAGTGGGGGTTGCATTACATCGCTGGGCATTGAAGAACATGAGGGCCTTGTGCAGCGCGAGGGTGTAATTGTCCGGCGGGGGTTTGTGGTCGTGGTGACGGGGCACGAACCTAACGAGGATGGCGATCAAGCCGGCGAGAACCCCGGCGCCGACAAGCACGGCGACCGTCCACCAGAAGATCTTGCTGCTGACGATGATGCAGCCCAGATCCACGTACTTCTTCTTCTTCTTCTGCTCGGTTGGGCCCAGCAGCCAGCTCTGCTGGGTCTCGTCCAGCGGCCGGGACAGAGCAGCCCGGTCCAGGTCGTTGAGGTTCCTGCTCCGGTCGTCGTCGGTGGCGGAATCCGCGGTGTTGATCTCCAGTGGGCCGCCCCACGGATCTCTCCCGTACATGCTCATTTTGCCCCTTTCCCCTTCCCCTTCCGCAGCTCCGCCGGAATGGGATCGATCAATTCGCTGTAATGCTGTACTGAAAGGGAAAAAGAGATCCCCGCCGACGGAGGAGGAATGGGCAGATCTGAAGTGGAAATGGGAATTGGGGAAGATGAAGAAGAAGGATGAAGATGGAACCTTTCTAGAGAGAGAGAGGGAGAGTGGAGAAGGAAGGAAGGTAGTGAGTCGTCAATAATCAGCAGCTGCAATAATAGTAAAGTAGGAGTGCTTGCTGGATACTCGACGCTCACTCACCGTCGCAATCCATGTGAGTTAGAGCTTTGCTGTGTTTTTGCGACTGGCGAGGATTGTATCGGATTCGGTGCTGTCCTGATTTCATTCGTATTTATTTATTATTAGTAAGAAACACAGAAAATACTATATTCACTCCGGAAAAAATAGTAATAAAATCGTAAATTCAGACAAGGGCATTATAATTTATAAGTCTGCCCCTCGACCAGAGTTTTCATAACAGTTTAGTCCACAAACTAATCTTTGTTCCAACATTTTTCCGGGTACCTGGAGTTTTTGGTAACTATCGTATGGATGAGGCATTTGGGTGAGACAATTTGATTCGGTCGTTTTATAACGAGATGTTTGAGGTTAAATGACTAGTTCGACGATAAAACTAAAAATACAGTATTTTGATATTTGATAATTTGGATTGTTTTGTTTTGTGGTGATTTAGATTTTTAAGAAGAAGAGTTGACAATTTAAATTGTCACGTTTGTTCTCCAAAGACATTTGACGGGAAGTGTGAAAGTCCATTCAGATCATTAATAAGAAAAAGTATGGAAAAAAGAAGGGGGTAAAAATTGGTTATGTTGCATTATGGTTTTGTATAAGGTGATATCGGATACTTCCTTAAGAGAAATGAGAATGTTGTTTCATATCATCCTCTTTATCCAATAAACTAGGTATTATCAGTACATAGGAGGTGGGAATGAACTAGTTGTATGATCAAAATATGGTATGTTCTTTGGTTGTGATAATTGATTTTTAGTCATTATTTTACTCGAAATATTGTATACCGAAGCGCACCTTAGCTTACTTATTTCAAATCCTAAACATCAGGTTACTAAAGTAACTGATATTCTACCTTATACGAACATTTGATACCGGAACATTACACATGGTGTAAATTCCCGGTAATCTAAGCACTAAAATTAAAATATAAAAAGTGGGCTTGCGGATTTTATTACTTATGTCAAGATATTAAGGAGTGAAGTAGTAAGAAAGGTTGAAAGAGGGACTGATTTGTAAGGAAAATAGTATGTAGTGACTAGTGAGGAAATGAAGGGTTCGACGGTTCGTCAAGCATCGGTCCGATTAGATGACGGAGACCAACGGGCTAACCGACAAAGACAGCCTGTCTAACCATCCACTTTACACAAAAAAGATAAAAAGATAAAAACAAATAATGAATAAATAATAATACAATTCTCGTCTGGTGATGGGAGTGTACAGCAAACATTATTCTGTATTTGTATCAAACAAACAAGTTGACAATTATGAAACCTAATCAAGGAAAATAAATTATATTTTATCACGTATTTGTAGCGTAGCATAAAATTGATTAAAATTGGGTAGCCGACACTTAATTACTCCATCACGGGCCACCGACAGTTCTTCTCTTTGTTTACTCCTTTCCCATTTCAGTCACCAAACTAATAGGCTAGGGTTGCTTCAGAACACAATTTTGGTTGGTTTGGGTGTTGCTTTTAACAGCAACAATCCAACAAACATGCTGGCTTGCTGATTGGATAATAATGATCTCCTCTAATCTGCTAAGGGTTAATTTGGATATTTCTTAGTCCAGCTGAGGCGCAAGGGCGAAGCCAGGAATTCAAGTTGGGGGTCGAATTTTTTTTCTTCCAAACAAAATAATATTGTAAGAAAATATCGAATATAATTTATTAGTTTAAACGTACATGACGTATTTGAGATTAATCACATCACTCAAAATAGCATCTATGTGGAAAGTGTCGATTATATCTCGTTCAATATAAATAACAAAACCATGGCGAGAAAATCATCACTCATTTGTTGCATAGTTTAGAGTCACTAATTGCATGACAGAAAAAGCCCGTTCACCACTAGTCGTAGAGACTAGAAGAGTCAAAACAAAACTAATCATCTAAAGGACACTTTCTTGCAAGATTGCATAGCAGAAAGGGCGGACATACTAGGTTCGTTGATAATCCAATATCTTAACACAAAAGAAAATAAAGCATTTGTCTAAATTTAGTCTAAAGTGGAACGAAAATTTAGTCTAAAGTGGAACGAAAGCGGAAAACTGAAATTATGTGTACCTATATTGAGGTTCTCGTTTAATAAGAGTAAATAAGGTAGAAAACGTTAATAAATGGTAAAATTTAAACATAGGCTACCTCAGCATCCGAAATACTGACTTCTGGGTTGCAAGTTACAGATTCCACCACTACACTATAACTAGATTCACGTCTTACTTGTACCACTACCTCATCTTATTCGTGTTTCAGAAATTCCCGCTGGGACCATGACCCCCCTGATCGCTGCACTAGCTCCAAACCTGGTCCAGCTGTTCATCGCATGGACCTGGATCGGTCACTAGTAATAGGATCCGATGATGCATTAGTTTCATCAGGAATTCACTTGCAATGACTGATGTGTATATGCAATTATGGATATAGGGCAAAATACCTGTTTTGATTACTTTGTACGTGTACAATGTAATTTTTTTTTTCAATTTTTTTAGAGAATGGCATGGGATTTCTCTAAAGATTGAGTAGAGGTTAATGAAGGACAAGGATGCATTTGCATTCGACTAAAAATACATGTTAGGAGGTGTGACAAGAAAATAGATTGTTAGGAGGTGCGAAAATTGTTGGGTCGTTGGGAAGTAATAAAAAACAGTTTAGGGGACCAAAACTAATATAAAATCATCATGAATGATGATAAGAGAAGCCACGCAAAATTTTGAGGGGTTTAGTTGGCAAATTGGCATTTGCTTGTTTTCCACTACAAGCATGTAGCTTTTTCTTCTTTCCATCTGTCCCGCTTTTTTTTTTTTTTTTTTTTAAAGTGATCTAGTCCCGCTACCTAATTAGCAGCTGGTGATTGCTAATCATATTCATATGCTTACGCGGTTCCGTTCTATTTTCTTCATCCACTGTCCAAGAAGAAGAAGAAAGAGGACTTAGGAGCGAAAGGGATTGGGCTCTTTATTTCACATCATTGGGCTTCTATTGTTTAAATTGCTCCACAGCCCGATCCACCAAATCGGTTTGTACGGCCCAAATAAGGGGAGGTATCAAAACTCTCCATATGCTGCTGATCTCTAGCTCGGGAAAGGAACATGAACAACTGATATAGATGCCTGTTTATTTCCACATTTCTCATACTAATAATACACCCATTCATATTCACTGATCATACTAATTACATATACACCAAAATAGAGCTTAACATCTCTTTGTATACACTTGCTTTCTACATCAATACAAGTATAAGTATATCTAATCTTAGTGATAGGCAATTTGAACCCGTCCCGTGGGTATTACCCGACCCGCAGTAGCGTGGAGTGGGGCATGGGTAGCAACTTCCGCCCCGTTCTTAACCCATTCTATCTCAATTTCTTATATTATCTGTTGATATGACTTGAATCGGATTATCAGCCCCTGGTCTGTAACCGTTTCCTTTGCTAGATTGGATTAGGTTTAGACCCACATGGAGAAGTATTATAAATACTTCTCATACTCCTCTGTAATCTGTAATCTCCTCAGATATAGTGAAACTGGCTCTCTCTCGCCCGTGGACTAGCTAACACACATCGTGTTAGTGAACCACGTAAATCGTGTGTCTGTGTTCTTTCGATTCTCGCTCTCGTATTCTTGCTTTGTCGATTCCGGCGATTTCCCGATCCGTAGCAGCGCGTTTATAACATTATCTATACACATTTCTCCTATATTGACCTTTCTTCAACTAGTTAGAGTAAATCTTTCAACTTGTTAGACTCATTTACCCATTCTATTATCACTATTTTTCACTCATAAAGTGTTTTCACATTTAATTTATCATAAAAAGTAAAATTTGCGTCTATTTTTTTCAAATAACATGTAAGAGTGAGTTGACCCACTCCGCCCCGTACCCATGCGGGGTCGAGGCGGGGCTTGGGAATTGAGGTACCCTCCCCGCCCCGCCCCATTGCCATCACTACTATCTATATATACCCAACTTTTGATCACCTATATATAGTTATATACATATACTGCCACATTGGACTCAATGTATTTTTTCGCTATATAGATTTGTAGATCGAAGAAGACAATGCATGAATAGAGGAATGAGTATAATGTATAGGGGGAGCTATTTAGTAACTAGGCCAGGTTTAGATATCAAAACTGTGGCTATTGAAATGAAGCACAACGTCATGGGAGCATCTTCTTAAATTGTGAGACCGGATCTCTTTGGGCAACGGTTGTCTGCAGGGTTGGAGGTCCACAAACCATCACTCCAGCGTCGACATGGCCCCAATTCTTCGACGTGCTTTGAAATATCTCTTCAGTTTCAGTAGTGGTAGAGACAGAAACAAGAACAACATCAATTAGTGTCATATGTCAAAACAACACACAAAAACTAGGGGTGGGCATTGGGTGGGTCGGGTGGATTTTGACCATAAAATGCACCCACCCGCGTTTAAATGGATTGATAATTTTTAACCCACCACCCACCCACATTTAGTCTCGGGTTGGGTCGGGCGGATGGTGGATGATGCGGGTGGGTTTGTGGGTTCACCCACATCACAATGTATATAATATAAAGGAGTCAACTTGACATGATAATAGGTGAAGAGAATCATCGAGGGTAACCAGAAGTTGAAATAGGGCGAAAAATGTCGAATTAGTTCTTAAATTGGATAGAAATTCTATTATGAAGAGTTTTCTACAGATTGAGACGATTATTAGGTGCAAGGAACTAAGGAAAATAATTCCACAAAGGAAAGAGCGGTGATCTAGGCACAATAATTAGTGGAAAAAGTAAAGGGAAGAAGATGAGATCTCTATTTGGAAGGTTGGCTTTGAGGTTCAAACTTCAGGAGCAGTCTGAGTTTATATCTAACGTCTCCACTCTTCTCTCTCTAGCGCCAACGACTTTGATTTTTTTGTTGTTGGGTTGAGCGGGTCACCCGCGCACTCACCCACAACCCACCCACCACCCGGCGGATGGCTTCCAGCGCAACCCGTCACCCACCCACAGACCCACCCACTTAATGAAATTCGGGTCAAATGCGGATGGGTCGGCCCAAACCCGCGGATGATCCGCCCGCATGCCCAGCCCTAACAAAAACAATGAATAAGGTCATTTCCATATATTGTTCACCTCTGAAGTCGGGTCTTGAACCATAATTGATAGAGGTTGAACTTGCACTAAGCAAGTCTTTCATCTTCGCCCCATCGGTACTTTGAGGGGAATCTTCGTCTGCAGTACTTAATTCGTTCTGGTACAGACCATTGGCATCGTTTTTCCTAGGTTCCTCCTCGAATTGGTCCGAGGCTGAAACTTTTGTGGACCAAAGATGCCATAATGCAATGACCACACCACCAAACACAACAACACCTCCAACCATACATGACATGAGGAGCAATCCTTTGTACCACCACGATGAGATGTCGTAGGGATTGATGTAGTAGGCATCGATAAGGGTTAGCAAGAGGATGAAACCTAGTGTCGATGAGATAACATACAGGCCGGACCAAATGTTGTCACTGGTGCCAACCAGAACTGACATGTTGTTTCCTTTTGGGACAGAGCATCCAACAGAGAATACTGAAGAAGCCTCATGATGAGTTACTTTACCTTATTCCTGAAAATGAGTAGTGGTTCATGTAAAGAGATGAGTTAGAGACTACAGGCCTTGATCACGCGACATGATAAGATATGGCCAGAACTTAACAAAGGAGGATCAGCTTCTCGAGTTTCATATATCTGAGTATGTAAGTTAAGCTTGTCAAAGATGCCTGAACGTAAGTACTGCAAATTGATCGTCGAAAGCAGCCCGATTTCTTCAGACTTCTTCACAACCCACACGAGCAAAATTTCTCTTGGTAGGCAGGCTCTTCCTTCATCGAGACGATGGAAGACATCTCTCATAATCGCCATGAAAGGCAAAATCCCTATGCCTCCTTCTACTAAAACAAGGTATTCATACATGAAAATCACAACGTGACATACAGACGAATAGCATTTTCATGTGACAGTTCAAAAGTGAAAGAGAAATTTTGAAGATTTAAGTCATAACTGTAAGAGATCACATACATCAAGTGGTATGGTGACTCATGGCCATAAGGACCTTCAACAGAAGCTGTTAACTTCCGACATGGTTTAGAATTTTGGTCCATAATCATTGCTCCCTCGCCTTCTTCACCAACTGAGCTCGTCGACATGATCCTTTCTTTAAGCTTATCAGTCCATCCCCCTAGAACTTTGATGAGAACTGAGATGTGATACTTGCCATCCAACGAACTAGATGACACGCTAAAAGGATACCATTGTAGCCAAGAGCCCAAGACAACTCCTGGACTTGAATGAAGATGAAACTAAGTGCATTGTACCTTAGACCTACATTAATTTTAACCAAAGAAAGGAAGCAAATGGTTAGAAGTTATTACAATACCTATGCAACAGTAGCAAGATCAACAACTTAATCATTGATGTGGGGGATGTTAGGTAGAATTTCATTTACTTTGAAGTTTGGAGAGGTTCAATTCAAGTATTCAACAGTGCCACAGGGGAAGCATTTGGCCGATACTACATCAACAGTGTTCCGAGACTGGCAGAACCTCAAGAATCGATCCAGCATGAAGAGAAATATCCCACCAGCAGCAATGCTGAAGATGAAATCGCAACGTGGAACGCGAGGAAGATCACAAACACAATGTACAACTGATGGGTGTAGAGAAACAACTCAAAGTTCCACCTCCTAATGGCCGAAGGGATGTCACCCACATGATCAGACCAACCAAAAGGCTGATCACTCCGGCCAAGTTTGATATCCCAATATTCTTCCATTCCAATATCTACCACACACACACACAAGAGAAGAATTTAAACATTAAAGAGTTTTCTCTAGAAAGGCTATATGTATAGGAAGAATCTGAGAGCCAGTACTGACCTCCTCCAAAAGCTTGCCCTGAATAGCCCATCCGACGACATAAAAGAGGCCATGGAGAGTGAAGATGAGTATGGTGAGTTGGTGACATGTCCCAACCACACATGGTACCCCGTAGCGTGCTCAACCGGGATGTCGATCAGGTGAAGCAGCACTGAACCTCTGGCTATCAGTTGGAACATAACTGCCAAGCAAGCAGAACAACCCAATCATCCCCAACCGCAGCCCTCTCAGCTCCATCAAATAGATGCTATGCCAGCATAATTGTTCCTCCCAAGTAAGCTCACAATCACTGAACATAATCACCCAACAACGTAGCAAAAAATGGAGATGCAGTACATGTACCTGAACTATGCTGAAGTGAGCTTGAAGGTGGATAGAAGGGCGAGGTTTCTGAGTGTGTAGAAGTAGAGAGCCCACAGAATGTAGCCGACGAAGAACACGCCGCCAATGAACTCGGCGGCTGAAACGACACCGAGTGGCCCGCCTACGATGAGCGGGAATGTCCACAGCTGAGCTTTTGGGTACTTCTGAGTACTCTTTTTCCTGCAAATTATTAACAGGTTATCAATAATTAGCACCTAATTAGCCTAATTAAGGTGTGCTTTCAGGTTGACACGTGGCCTCTTTCTCGATTATAAAATCATTACAGTGAATGTATGTAAATTAATCGCCTTCACAAGTTGTTAAAGTACCTCCTAAACAATTAATTAATCAAGGAAACTGCAGATTACAGATATCACTAGTAAGCGTACCACTGGTAGAACTGATCATCCCATCTTCCCCAGAAACCAGAATCAGATGGACAATCACCAGAACTGCAATCGCCATGATCAGCCCGCTCACAAGCAACAAGATGATGTCTGCCACCGCAGCCACGACAAGGCAACCCAGTTAATTACCGGTATGTAGAATTTCAATCGACATTTTAAGTGTAATGGAGAGAAAATATCAATGTCGGACCTGTGATTCCGAAAAGAGATTTCTGACGATTCCACTTCTGGACGAGGGAATCGCCCAATTGGGTCGGAAAGAGGTAAATGAGAGCCATCCAGGCTATGAAGATGGCCCATAACACCGTCCTGACTCCTGAGAAGTAGGGATGGCAATCAAACCCATGGCCGCGGGTACCCGACCGCCCCATACCCAGTCAACGCGGGGAATACCCGCTTTGACCGGGTATGGGGCGGGTATGGGTAAAACCCGCAAAAGGTTTGATGGGTATGGGGCGGGTATGGTTTTAGCCTCCCCCGCCCCATACCCATACCCATACCCGCCCCACCAAGAGAATTTCTTCACATATCAAAAAATACGTGAATTAAATTGTAATCTATCAATGATGATGATGATAACTCGAGAAAATAAATAGTAGAAATGCAATTGAGTAACCACCTTAATCAAAACCTAATTCATTTCCCTCAATTCTCCTTCCACTCTTTCACTTTCCCTCTTGTCAACAAAATTATGTTAGTTAATTATTACTTAGTAAATGTATCAAGAGTTAGAGCATAATAATTTAAAAAATATTATAGTCTATATTATGTATTAATGGATGTTTTAGGATCATATTCTTTGAATCGTATTTAGAAAATGACCGTGTTTTGTTGACTTCGTGATATAATAGGTTTTTTATGGTTATAATTAAAACTTTTCTTGTAAATTTTAGGTATAATAATGTTGGATGTACGGGGATGGGTATTACCCATGGGTACCCGAAACCCACGGGTATGGGGATGGGTTTGCAAAACATTCCCCGCATGGGTATGAGGCGGGTATGGGTTTGGGTATTTGAAGATGGGGATGGGAATGGTTTAGGCAAACCCGCCCCAAACCCGCCCCATTGCCATCCCTACTGAGAAGAGAACCCATTTGAGATTCCACTTCTTTCTTTAACCTCATATATTAGTCCTTTACTTCCTTTCGTTCTCTTTGGTATTGGTAGGGTCGGACTCGGGATCCGAGAGGGAAAGGTAACAGTGCTTCCAGTCCAGGCCTGAAAGTTGTATAGGCCCTCAATATATTTAATTGGGCTAATCTGTGATATAAGCCCACCGAACCCTTGCGTTCGGATTGAGACAGAGGCTTGCTAATTGAGTTGGAATGTGAATGTCAACGGAGTCCACTTACTTAACTCTTCTGATTTGGCGTCATTTAGTAGTCCTTACTCACTACTAGGCCTGATAATCGGTTCGGTTGCGGTTTAACCGAACCGTTTCGTCGGTTAACCGCCACAAAAAATGAGCCTTTTCCACCAACCGCCACCGAAGCCGAGAAGCTCTGCGGTTAGCCGCCACCGAAACCGCTAACTGCGGTGCGATTATTACCAAAACCGACCCCGACCACTAAAATAAAAGGAGGGGAACTTTTGGGATTGTCTCTCTCTTTCTCTCTGGAAATTTCCAAATCAAACTCCCGTATCTCTCTTTCTCTCTCAAAATCTCATGCAATCTTTGAGATTGCCATCTCTGGCTCTGCTGCTCTTAGCCTCTTACCCTCTCACTTTGGGGCGACGGTGAGCTAGCAATTGGCTCCGACGAGGGGTGCCGGCGAGATAGATGGGAGGCGGCAACGACGAGGAAGAAGACATGGCAGCGACCAATGAAATTGCAAGGTGATGCAGGGGATGATGATGGCGACGACAACCGAGGATCGACTTGCTGCGCCTGCCGACGGCGACAGAGGATCGACCAAATCGACCTACTTCTACTGCCGCCAGGCCTTGGATCTGGAGGATGAGGAAGGGGCAACGATTGAGACAACTTCGACTCTTTCCAGATCTCGTCGACCTCTGAGGATGAAGAAGGACGGGATGGCGACGACGACCGACGATCGATCTTCACTGCTACAGAGACCCCTTTTCCTTCTTGGCCTTCGTTAGCTGGATCTCGATGGCGGACAGGCAGCGATTGAGGATGGAGGGGCAACGAAGATTCTTCTTCGAGAGAGCCATGAAGGGGTTGGGACTTGGGATGGGAGGGGGATTAGCCGATTAGGGGAAAAAGAAGAGAGCGGGGCGGTTATTCGGTGCACCGAGTTTTATCTCGGTTAGCCACCGACGGTTGCCGGTTAACATAATTCCCCAAAACAGTCCACCGACACCGCCACCGAAGACATTTTATCGATTTTCGGTTTGGTGAATAACCGCTCGGTTCGGGTCGGTTTTCGGTTTAACTGAGAAACCGCCAACCGATTATCACCCCTACTCACTACAATGCTCATTTGGGTTAATTACTGTGAGGCCCAACTGATGGGGACGAAATTTTATTTTATCAAATATGTGGAGAACGAAAAATAGTTTTTATTTTATTTTCTGAGTGATATTAATGGAAGAAAATAGTTAAACTTACAATTCTACCAAGAACCTCTAATCTAAAGAAGCCACCCCAAAAACTCAAAAGATTCCAGCTCTACACGAGACAAAAACAGTGTTTTACGCGCCACTTTATGGGCAACACTGTTGGCGGATCTAGGTACCGCCCTAAACTCTATACAAACGGACAAAGAGCTAAGGATCTTAAGACACTCTCGTAGCACCGGACCTCCAATCGAGTCTTCAATGACGCCTTGACGGATTTGGTTGACCACCACTTCGGAATCACCTTCGACTATCACGTGGGTCAAGGATCTTGAGACTACGATGGAGATAGCGTCTCTAAAAGCTAGAAGCTCTGCCAGATAAGGATTGCCTATTCCTTGATGCTGCAGTCCGAGCGCCAGCACCACATGCCCGTGTGACCCACGAATAACAAGCCCAGACGAACAACTGGTGGCACAAACAGCTGCGTCGACGTTGATCTTCAAAAAGTCTTTTGGTGGAAGACGAAAAACAGTTAGAAAGAACACAATTTGATGAAAATGTTATAGACATATAATTAAGACTGAATATTTTAAGAAAAACAAAGATAGATAAAATATATATACATAATATGCAAAAACTCTGTTAGTCGCACTCAAGGCTGTCAACCCGCGGGTTGACCCACGGGTCGACCCAATTTGACCCTGATCCGGTGAGAAAAACGGGCCGCATGCACCCGCTGGGCCGACCGCTATAAGGTACCGGGTTGGAGGTCAAATTGTGTCATTTTTTTCTTTAGTTTGCGAAATGCGTCTATTTTCCAATTTTTCTTTTCGCCTAACTCAATCTTTGGAATACTAAGTTGAACATTTGAATATTTATGTTATATAAGTGTGTGTGAATTTTCACTATATGTTGGATCTAAGTACGATATGTTATTTTGGTATAATATTATATGTTATACTCATATGTTAGATAAGATTTGATATAATTTAGGCAAAATACACTTGTATAGCCAAAACTTTTGAGGTTTTACCAATAATAGCCAATTTTTTAGAAATATCACTTATAGCCACTTTCGTCCAATTTTTTAACGGTGTCAACTAATAGGCTGACTGGACAAACGGAAAAGCTGAGTTGGCGAGTTTCTTTATTTTGAATTCCACGGTGGATTAACTTTATAAGATTAAAATTGAAATTAAAATTAAATTGGAACCGAAAAGTCTCCACCGCATTTTCACTTTCCCCTTCTCTCTCTTCGCTTCTCTCTTTTCAGAGACGCATCCTAATATTCCGATCCAAACCACCACCGCCCCGATTCCCCCACCGTGGCTACGACGCCGCTTCCCTCTTCGCTCTCGGGCTTGCCCAGCCACAATACCCTCCTCTCCGACGAGAACTTCATCGTCACGGTCACCAGACAGGCTATTCAATAAAGATGGCGGCGAGCTCCTCAAGGACGCGTCGATCTAATTGTAGAAGCTGGAAGTAGGGAAGAAGAGGGAGAGGCGAATCAATCTTCCCCACCATCGGAGACTCAACCACAGCAGCAATATTCAACCCGCCACCATCCCCAATTCTCAGTTCCGCCGCCAGAGATTTCGAGCCCGGAGAATCAACAACCCAGATCTGGTCTAGACTCTTACTTGGACAAGCGAATCGGTACTCTGTTCCAGCAATCGCTCCATTATTTTGCCAGCAGCATTCAGGAATTCGATCCTGACACTTCCGGCGCTGGCGACGACGATTTGCTCGATTCAGGTGCGCAAAGTAAGGTTTTACCCGCCGCCGGTCGATGGGAGACTTAAGTGGTGAAAAATGAAACGACGATTTCCTCAAATCAATCGCGAAGAAGAAGGCGGCGTTTGTGCAGGAAAGAAGAAGGCGGAGATTTTAGTCTTTTCCTTTAAGATTTTTTTTCAGATCTATCATCTATACCAGTTTTGTTTTGGGATTTCTGGGTTGCGAACTCCAAAGTAGAGGAGCGAGATGGTTGATGAACGATGATGATGCTGAAATTTGTTTTTTGTCCTAACAGTGGGTTTTTACAAGTCAGGGATATGGTGGGTGTTGGTGTGATTAATTTTTGGAGAAGAAGAAGATGGATTTTGAGTGATGAATCTACCAGCAGCCCGATTCAGAGGCGAGGATTGTTTTTGGCAGGGGTGAAGAATCGACGGTGATGACGAGGCGTCTTCGACCTTTGATTTTGTTTTTGGCAGGGGTGAAGAATCGACGGTGATGACGAAGCAGAGGACGCCGGATTCTTGTCGCAAGAAGAAGGGAGGTTAAATGAGATTCAATATACAAAAAATATATTTTTTTTATTTTAAAATGTGACGTGGCGGTTATGTGTCGTCTAGGTGGCAGCCACATAAGCTTAACGTTTATTTAACTGACAGAATTGTTAACAGTGTTAAAGTATTTGACGGAAATGGCTAAATTTGTCAAACAAGTTTTAAAAATGTGGCTATAAGTGGTATTTCTCCAAAATTGGCTATTATTGGCAAAACCTCGAAAGTTTTGGCTATACAAATGTATTTTGCCTATAATTTATGAGGATAAGTACAATATAATGACTCTTTCTATATTTTCGGGCCAAACCGGGCTAAAACGGTTGACCCATTAACCCTTGACCCACTTGACCCACTAGCTCGACCGGATCCTGGTCAACCCGCGGGTTGACAACCTTGGTCGCACTCGCCCACCTTGTATCTAACTTGTGTATGTATATATATATAAGCGTTTACGATGGCCAGGCACGTGGCACATTTATAGTTCAAAGTTGCAATTCTTTTGTCCAACTTCATTTTTTTATATTTCAAAATAAATCGAACTTTAAAACTATGCAGAACAACAAAAGGATGAAGACAAACTCCATAATATAGGAGAAGCGGGTGAAGAAAGAGGACGGCCGGCAGCCTCTAGCTGGCGAATCGCCACCCAATCAAATACTGGCTTTGGGCCTTTGGTTTCCCCGTCGGCGATTAAATTATAAGCCATGCAAAATTCATCGGCCGGCAGTCACAATAATACGGCGAAGATTCGTCACTAGGCTTAGACTCAGACCGCCATGTACGTTTGTGGTTTGGGGTTTTGCTAATTACTAGCTAGGTTAATCTCATCGGATGATCATGGTTCATGGGATTGTTTCTGTCGTAACTATATAAATTTAAGCCTGAGAGATATATATTTTCTATGATCTTATTTGGTTTATTAGTGGAGTTTGCATCACGATTAATCTTCTTTTTTTGTTGTGATCAATCATATGAAGCGATAACGATGGATGACAGAAGTGCAGAATGATCAGTTTCAATTTTTTTAACCACATGGCCAAGGGGATGAGGCGCAAACAATCATGCATAGGGTTGCACTAATTTGGTTGTTTTTTTTTTCAGCTCGGATTCTGTACTTTTTTTTCGACTCGTACTCGGCTATGTTACTTTCTCAATGATATTCCAATATATACGCTACGATCCAGCTATCTTTAATAATCCATTGCTAGGTTTTCCCGTGAAAAAACTCATGGGCTCTCTGCCGCCACAAAACACTTTTCGTAACTCTCGTTGCTTGAGAGGGGGAAAAAAATTCGGCTATATTAATGAAGTTTTATTTTGGTTAATTTTTAAAATCAAATAAGTATTGATAATGGACGACTGAACACCAAACCGAACCGAATTAACGCAATAAAAGCAATTAGACTAATTGGATTAATTAGCTAGTATAACATTTTCAACTAAAAGCAATGAGTGGAATCAGTAATCCTTCTTGTTGATATTCTTGCTGGAGTGGCCGAGAAGTGGGAAGAGATCAGAGCTAGCTAAGCTTGGTACAAAGTATATAATTAATGGCTTTGTAAACTAAAAAAGGTTCCTCCACCCTACAATGTTCCTTTAAATAATCGGACCAGGTTGTCCACCCCAAATTTTAAGGACGTCAATTAGGGTTCATAGAAGGAAAAAAAAAACAAGAATTCTAGGGGAGCAGTAGCTAGGAGTCAACCATCAGCCAACCTAGCTGTTGTTCTACATTGTTTTATAACTACAAAATTCGTTCTTTCATTTCCTAACACAAAATATAGCTACCTCCAAGTTGTTGGATATAACTACATTAATCTTTTAGGGAGAAGAAAAGAGTGAAAAATTCAAGTTATCAACGGTTATAAATTATTTTTGTTTGTGGAGTGAACATTATTAAGGAGCAACTAGACACCCTATAAGAAGTAGATTTTGCCCAAACAATGAAGTCTGGAAAGGCAACGACATGGAAAGAACGAACTAACGGAGTGTGCATTGTGAATTGTGATGGATCTTTTGTTTTGAAATCAAAGTTGGGAGAGGTCTTAAAGAAAGAATATTCTACTCTTTCATACAAACGAGAGGAGGAAAACTAAATTTTGACAGGGGGAGCAATAATGTCAAGGATCTAGATGTCAGGTCACAGCATCGAGTTTGAGTAACAACAAGAGTTATTCAAGCCGATCAAACATACGACAGTTTATGAATTTTTCACTTGAAATTGTCGAATTATCCTATCACACATCGACATCTCAAACCACACATTATAATTTTAAACATATCGCTGTGACAGTGCCTAGTGTGATTACAAAACGACATCTCACACCCCTCCCACCCAAAACTATCTTCTTTCGCTCGAAGAGACCAAGAAATACATTGACCTCTCGACCCAACTCGATGACTTGTGGTTCTATCTACCAGACGTTGTATACAGATAGTCCCCTCACCTATTTTGGCGACCTGGTGCCCTCGAGAAGCAAGCTATTACAGCGAGAGGCTAGAGCTACATGGGAGCCAATGAGCAAACAAGACAGAGACGCAAGTTTGATGTCTGTCTCTGCTTCACTGTAAGACTTTCAGACGAGGCTCGAACCCTCAGGCTTCACCTTCATAAGTCGGTGCTCTGACTAATTGAACTACAACCCCATAATGAAGATGCATGACCACCACCATATATACATATCGCGATCATCCCCTTCGGCCACTTGACACCTTCCTTGGTCCCCCCCTCGCTCAGCTCTCCCACCATCGCCCTTCACCAAATTGATCATGATGCCATCAGTCTGATCGTCACAATAGATACAATACCTTTGTCACAAAAAAGAACGATAAAAGCAAGGACAGTTGTGATTACTAAAATGCTAACGAACATGCATTGAGATAATTAGGTACTGACATGTTCTTAACCTTAGTATTTGATTGTTTTAGGATTATTGGCAGGGACTAGGGAAAGGTTAAGGCGGAAACAGAACTGCCGCTAGCTGGTTGAACTATTCAACGGTAGCAAGTGAAAAACAAGTTGGCATTTGGGTTGGGATTGGAATGGAAGGATCCAAATATTACTCGTTTAAGTTTAAATTATGTGGAAATCGATTTAACTCTCTTTAGGTTAATCTGTATGTGACGACAAAGAAGGTGAAGAAGGAGATTAGGAGATGAATTCAATTATCTTGGGGTTTGACATTTGACCAGCAGAGCAGCAGACTGGCCTGCTCTGATAAAATGAGAAAACTGAGAGATTTGGTGCGTCTTGTGGCCTCTTCATTTACTGTATTGGTTGGATTATTGCTCCTTGTATATCATCTGTATTTTACAATTTGTTTCTATTTTAGTTCAAAACAAAGAGAGAGGAAAAAAAAGTAATGATTTTTTAGGTTGGCTTGTTCAAACTAAGCCCTCCCTTTGACATGGTAATACAATTCCTGCCAATGCACCATTGCTGATCATACCAGCTTTCTTCTTCAAACCATCTCTCTCTCTCTCTCTCTCTCTCTCTCGGGCGTGTCAACCAAAGTTCCTCGCTAGGTTTCTCAGTCCTTCTCCTTGAGGAAGGATACGACGATGATAGGCCCTCATTCTCTTTGATCAAGCCTCAATCTTTCTCAAAACCATTTCAAGCGGACCTGCAAAAATCCTTCCCACCACCTTCAAGTTTCACCATATGGGTTCTACTGCTACAAGCATTGTCGGTGTCAGAATTTTGGTGCTTCTGCTGCTTGCTTTCTTCGCCGCCCGGATTTCCATCACTCAGGCGGCCACTAACGGCGGCGACTGTAAGCTACTTACTTGCTCTGTCTTGCTTGTGTGTGTGTGTCTGGGTTCTTTGATGAGGAAAAGTTGGAATCTTTAGCTAATAACAATGGATCCAAACAAATACTATGCAGTGAGTGTTCTGAACTCGCTCAAGGACGTCTGGACAAATACTCCTCCCAATTGGGTTGGTGGTGACCCTTGTGGAGACAATTGGGACGGCATTGGCTGTAATGGCAATCGTGTGACCTCCATGTAAGTTGTCAAATTTGATGGTATTCTATCTTTCTGCAGATAACTGGGTTTTTTTCTTTCTTTCTTCCTGCTATCTTCAATCGATGAATTTGACCGAAAACCTGAAAACTGCAGAACATTGTCGAGCACTGGATTGTCAGGTCAACTGTCTGGAGACATTGCTTCCTTGTCGGAATTGCAGATCCTGTATGTCTTCGTTTACTCTGCTTCCCAATCAGAATCCTGAATTCAATAATTGACCCGTTTGGAACAACGATACAGGGATCTTTCATACAGCAAAGGGTTGAGAGGGAATCTGCCGCAATCCATTGGGAACTTGAGGAAGCTAACCAACCTGTAAAGTTTTTACCTTTCGTTGTTTTCCTGAAAAGGCTCCACAAATGGTCCCTTTCGCATATACATACACCGTGGTCAACTATCCAACTGAAATTTGGATCCCTCACAATGTAAACATCTTTGTGGCAGGATCCTGGTTGGTTGCGGGTTCTCTGGTCCTATCCCAGAGTCTATAGGATCACTTTCTCGGATCAACACTTTGTAAGGATGCATTGCCCTCTTATCTTTCTTGGCTCAAAGGCTCAAACTTTCATCTTATTTGGTGTTGTAAAACAGTTACTTTGCCTGAATGTAGATCCCTGAACTCGAATGGCTTCACCGGAACAATTCCACCTTCAATCGGCAACCTTGTTAACCTGTATTGGCTCGATCTGGCCGACAACCAGCTCGAAGGAAACATCCCAATCTCAGATGGAGACACACCTGGCCTTGATCTCTTAGTCAACACTAAGCACTTGTACAGTTCTTTCTTTTTTCTCCCCCGAGAGTTTGTTTCCACATAGCCTTCACACAATTCTTTGAATCTGTGTTCTAATGACAAAGAATTGTTTGCATCAGTCATTTCGGAAAGAACCAGCTGACAGGCTCCATCCCGACTAAACTTTTCAACTCCAGCATGACTCTCCTACACGTGTAAGTTAATCAGGCTCATCACTAAATGGTTTCAGGGTTCTACCCAATCAACAGAATAGCTAACTTTCGTTTTTCATCCGGGAGAGCAGTCTATTTGACGGTAACAAGCTCACGGGCAACATTCCCCCAACTCTTGGACAAGTGAGCTCATTGGAGGTTTTGTAAGTTATCCCATCTTCACTCTTATTCAACTCATGATCAATCAACCACTCCACATTGGCATTCTGAACATAAATCATTAATAACCCTCTCTTTTACGTACCTTCTGATTGCAGACGGTTGGATAGGAACGCGTTAACTGGAACTGTCCCTCGCAGCTTCAACAATCTAGCTAGTCTCACTGAATTGTGAGTACACTGAATGGTCCCCAACTGAAACAAAAAGGTAGTATGTTGCCTCATCCTGTTGACAAGATGTTACCTTTATTTACTTATGCAGGAGTTTATCCAACAATAATCTGAATGGTCCTTTTCCAAACCTTACTGGCACGGGAGTCATTACCACTCTGTAAGTAAAATGCACCATAGCATTTACCCTCTTTCACTTGAGTAATAATGGGCAGTCACATAAGCCACTACTAATTCTTGTTTATTGTTGGCAGGGATCTGAGCAACAATAGCTTCAGTTCCTCGAATTTTCCTTCATGGCTATCATCCATGGAGTCCTTGACTACACTGTAAGTACAAAATTAACAACCATGACCAATCCAAATCAAGAGAATGAACACAGAATTTATCAGTTCATGTTGATGTTTTGCAGAATGCTGGAGAACACACAACTACAAGGGCCAGTTCCCACTGGTCTCTTCAGCCTTCCCAATATACAAACCGTGTAAGTATACAGCTGCTTGTTCTAGCTTCCTCATCTCATATATGCCTCCTAATGATGTTTACCTTACCTTGCCAACGGGCAGAAACTTGGCGAGGAACGATTTGAATGGCACTCTAGATATTGGACCGAGTCACAGCAGCCAACTCCAACTAGTTGATATGCAATCCAACTTCATCTCCAACTACAGACAAAGACCAGGCGCCAATGAAGTTGCAATAGTGTAAGTGTGCTGATAAAATCATGGCTGGCCTAATCAAACACTGAAGCCATGACTGAAAATTGTGTTATCTATGGGGTGTTATTCAGATTGTTGAGGAACCCAGTTTGCGATGAAACCCCAAATGGACCAACGCCGAGCTACTGCATCCCCCCAGACCGAAGCTCCAAATACACTACTCCTCCAAACAACTGCGTGCCAGGAAGTTGTCCATCCAACAAAACCGCCAGCCCCAACTGCGCATGCGCATTCGCATACACGGGACTGCTTGTATTCAGGGCGCCTTCCTTCTCCGACTTGGGCAACGCCACCATCTTCACCGCTCTCCAGAAGTCGCTAATGGATAGTTTCAGGTCCAACCAGCTCCCTGTGGACGCCGTTCAGCTCAGCAACCCTAGAAAGGATTCTTCCGAGTACCTAGACATTGACCTCAAGGTGTTCCCCTATGGTCAAGATTACTTCAATCGGAGTGGAGTTTCCCGAATTGCGTTTGCTCTGAGTAACCAGACCTTCAAGCCCCCGGGGATGTTTGGGCCCTTCTTCTTCCTCGGCGATGAGTACACACATTTTGATGGTACGTTGCGCATTAGATGAAAGATGAGTCCTTTTCGTGGTGTTTTTTGTTTTTGTTTTTTTTATCTTCCTCGCATTTTTGTGACGGCGAAATGGGTTTGGCTCAGAAGGAGGATCTGGATCGAAGAAATCAGCGAGCACTGGGCTAATAATTGGAGCTGCAGTTGGTGGGACTGTGCTGGTTCTTCTAGTGATCCTGGCTGCTGTCTATGCATATGGGCAGAAGAAGAAAGCACGGAAAGCAGCCGAACAGAGCCACCCTTTTGGTAATAAACCGATTCTAGACCAACCCAATAATCAAGATCAGTGATTTACTGATTTCCGGTTAGTGGGGATGATTAAACAGTTCTTTGATTTTGGAATTTGCAGCCCACTGGGACGCGACTGAGAACACAGGCGGGTTCCCGCAGCTGAAGGGAGCGCGATGCTTCTCCTTCGACGAGCTCAAGAAGTACACCAACAGCTTCTCAGACGCCAATGCCATCGGTTCCGGTGGCTACGGGAAGGTAAGAATAAGAACATTCTCAGCGGCATTTCATCGAACACCTTTCCTGCCTGTCTTCTTTCCGCTGGTTTGATAATTAGGGTTTACTCAACACAGGTGTACAGAGGGGTGCTGCCCACGGGTCAGTTGCTGGCCATAAAGCGGGCGCAGAGGGAATCGATGCAAGGAGGGCTGGAGTTCAAGACGGAGATCGAGCTGCTGTCGAGAGTTCATCACAAGAACGTGGTGAGCCTTGTTGGGTTTTGCTTTGAACAAGGTGAACAGATGCTCATCTACGAGTATGTTCCTAATGGCACTCTCAGTGACGCTCTCTCAGGTCGGTTTCAATCGATAAACCCTTTTTTTGTCCCTTAATTCTGCTTCATACCCAAATCCTTAGCTTTATTTGCAACAAATGAATGCAGGCAAATCGGGGATCTCAATGGAATGGACTCGAAGGCTGAAAGTGGCAATCGGTGCAGCTAGAGGTCTAGCCTATCTCCACGAGCTCGCCGATCCACCCATCATTCACAGAGACATCAAATCCGCAAACATTTTACTTGATGACCGCTTGATTGCTAAAGTGGCAGACTTTGGCCTCTCCAAACCTATGAGTGACAGTGAAAAGGACCACATTACTACTCAAGTCAAAGGAACCATGGTAAACTATGTCTATATGAGCATGGCGATCCAGTTTGCTTGCTGACTTTATATCGATCACCAAAAAACTTGAAATTCTTTTCGAATCTGTTTTGCAGGGGTATCTGGATCCTGAATACTACATGACACAGCAGCTCACAGAAAAGAGCGATGTTTACAGCTTTGGAGTCGTATTGCTGGAGATAGTAACGGGGAGGCGACCCATTGAAAGGGGGAAGTACATTGTGAGGGAGATTAAAATGGCAATGGACAAGACGAAGAGCTTGTACAACTTGCAAACCGTGATCGATCCTGCTATCTGCAACGAGTCATTGAAAGGCCTCAACAAGTTCGTCGACCTGGCCTTGTCGTGTGTGCACGAATCAGGAGCAGAACGGCCTTCCATGGGTGATGTGGTGAAGGAGATCGAGCTCATACTGCAGCAGGCCGGGTTGAACCCCAATGCAGACTCCGTCAATACTTCAGGGTTTTATGAGGAGGCAGAGAAAGGAAGCCCTCAACATCCTTATAGCAAAGAGTCGTTTGAGTATAGCGGGGCTTTCCCACCTTCCAAGGTAGAACCCCAATAAGAATAACAACTTTACTGTTATCCTCTGGTTAACAAAGAATGGGATGGTAATTGATGATTCATTGATGTGTAGTAGCTACAATGTTCGTTGTGCTAGCTTTGCTGTTATTTCCCTGCAACAAGAAGATATTGAGCATAGCACCAAAACTGTAATCGAGCCTTTGAGCAACTAGAAGATTGCTCCTCCTTTTTTGGAAACTTTTGTAGATATCACAGAGGAGGGTCTTGTGGGTTTCGTGATTTGATTAATTGGTTTTCGTTTTAATAAGCAGGATTTGGTTTCATCAAAGTCTAATGTTGCTTCTTGTGATCATTTAATTTGTTCCTAGTCCTACCTATGTGGTTGCAGACTTGCAGCTGCAGAATCCGGTTCCTGAACCAATGACTTGATACGCAAGCGATTGAATTGTTCAATAGCTCGAGTTATTATTAGAAATTCATGTATGAATCATATTCCCTTGCAGGATCAAATATAACAAACAACTGTCAAGTCTCTACTCAAACCAGTACAGAAAACAGCAGCAGAAGAAGAGGATGAAAAGAGAGGAAGCATAATATGGACGATGAGAGGATAGAACTAAGACATGGGTTTCTCCAGCAAGGCAGAGAAATACCACTCGTTCTTATCAGCGCCCTTATCGAGCTTCTTCCCAGCATGCCACCTGAGCTTCTTGAACCCGACCCTATCCAACATAGGAATATAGGTCCCATTGAGCTGCGAGCCGAAGCAGAAGAAATGATCGAGCCAGAACAACCCGCCAGGCCTCAGCACCCTGTAGATATCATACAGAGTAAACTCCAGCATCACGTCAGGGATCCAATTACTGAGAACGTGCATGGAGTGGACAATATCCATCGTGTTCTCGAAAAATGGAAGCCTCTGAGAGACGCTGAAATGGATCGAGATAAGCCCTCTCGACGCGATGAAGCTGTTGAACGGACCGTCCAAGTTCATGGTACTGGTTATGATGGTGATGTTCCTCTCCCTCATTCTCGCAGCAAATGTGCCACTGCCTCCACCAATGTCCATCCCGATTCGGATCGTGCCACGTGGCCTCGTCGCAAGCACCTGATCCATCCCGAAATCCAGCCCTCCTCTGTCGACCATCCACCTCACCTTCTCCCTGCCCTCAAGGTCGAAACAATCCTTGCAGTCGAAGAAACCGGGGAACTTCTTGCGGTCCACCAGGCACTTGTAGCTCTTGCAGGTGTATGGCTCCCAGACGATGCTTGTATCTGCAGGTGTGGTCCAGAGAGACTCCGGGAAAGGCGTGGGGTTGACGTAGTTTCTCGGAGATCGAGGGTGGCATCTCCTTCGAGGGAGAGGCTCGCACCCTCTGAGCATCATCCTCTGGGCGAAAACATCGTCCAGGGGACACTCACCCCCGACCTCATAGGTCAGGAACTGCTCCAGCTCCTTTGGGTAGTTCAGGCATCCTGCTCCCACAGGAGGATGGATCTCGTCGGAGCCTGTCCTCGGATGGAACCCCAGAGGCAACTTATGGGGTCCCATCGCGAGCTGGACCTCCCGAGGCAGGTTCATAATCAGCTGCCTTGCCGTGGTGATGGATTGATGTACATCATTGTCATCCTCACTGTTCGTGCTCCTGCGGGTGCTGAGCTCGATGAGGAGGGACTGGAGGAGGAGGTTGGTGGAGTTGAGGCGATGCAGCAGGTCGGTGATGACCGAATGAGACGTGGCCAGCTGCTGCTTTGTGGAGTGGAGCTCTGCGGCGAGGGTGGAAGAAGTGGAGTTCCAGTTGGTGAAGGACTGGAGGCGCGAGGAGGGGACCTCGAGGTCGAAAGAGTAAGGGCCCGTGAGGATGTAGATGGTGAAGAGGTTCGTCAGGACGATGAGGATGAAGGTCCTGAACTTGGAGGATCTGGTTTGTGGCTGCCCTCCTCCATTCTGCTTCTTCTGGTAGCTGGCGTGGCGATGATCTTCGCTTGCTCCAACTCCCATTCTGACTATTGCATTGACAGAGAGTTAGCCGTGGTTATGATATGAGAGCATGTGGAGTCTAGTCTAGTGGTTGTATATATATTAATCACAAGCAATGTGATTGCAGAGGGGAGCAAGACTGGCTAGAGAATTTAATGGGAATCCTGGATTCCTGGTAATGGAAGGAAAGCGAAAGTTTCAGGGCATGTGGGTTTTGGAGTATGAAATTGGGAAGGGGAAGCATTGGTGAATGTGAGGCGCCGGTTTGGGCGTTCAAGATACTCAACTCCACCCAAGTTTTCTGTGCTTTGTTTATTTGCTGTTCATGGCATGGTATCATGGGAAATTGGAGATATCTGAACGTGGAGTTGACCTGGGGGTAATTGTTTATGTGCAAAGTACTGGACTTTCTTGGTTCTGGCATTGAATCCGGATCTGGGCTTCAACTAGATCGAGATATAGTAGTGTATTTCCCCTGGAAATATGTAGTGCAACGGTACGTAAAGTAAAGGTCTTTCTGGGCTCTGGCAACTCAGATTTGATCAAGTGACAGAAACTAGAGAAGTTGCAAGTGGCAAATTGATTCAGCAAATGATGCACAGAGAGACTGGGAGAGTGGGAGGTCAAGAGTTCGGAACTACGCGGCTGGTTCGAAACAAAGTACTGACGAATGATGATGTTATGTTTGATTAATAATACAGGTTAGAATGTCCTAATTGTTAAATGGTGTGCTCTGTTTCTTGATGGCGCCATGGCTGAAGGTAAGGCTCTTGTTGACTTGTTAATGCATAGGGTCAACTATTAGCCAAAGAAATTGGATAAAGTGGTTTCTTTCCTTTGAGTTACCACTAATAAAGGTATCAAATGCATGGGATGGATCAGCTTTGAGCCGGCTATTTCTATTTATAGGTCAAAAAGTTTGAAGATAATTCGGTTGCCATCAGCAGGATGATGATGACGAGAACGAATTAAGTTTCTCGTTCATTTAAGTACCGTGTAAATTGAGTTTTATAATAGTTTTACACCATCTGTAAGCAATTATTGACACCATTTACGAATTATTAGTCAAAAGTCTCTTTCTTAATCACAAGCACTACGAAGATCGGTTGTTTGTTGGACATTTTTTGATAATGGATTGTTTGTTGGACTTAGAAAAGGAGGATTTTGAAAAAACTTAAATTTGTGATAGATTTGATTTATCATCGATTTAAAAATTTGATGTTTGCTTGTTGGATTTGGTTCTGAATTTAGGATTATATATTTTTAGCTTTAAAGGATAAGTTACTTTAGTTCCTACTTTGGGCGTTCTTAGCAGTGACTATAAAACATGATTTATTTTTGTTTGCAAATCCCTAATAAATCGAGCATGAAAATAGAGAGTAAGGGATGAAAGTAAATAGAGTGCATACCAAGTACGGGTAAATTGCAAATTTGGTCATTGAGTTTACTAAAAACGTTCATGTTTAGTCACTAAAAATATTTAATTCCATTCGTAGTCACTAAAATTACTTAAACGTTTCAAGTTTGGTCACTCTCCGTCCAATTCTGTTAACTTTGGCTGACGTGGCAGTCAACTCTCATAGTTGACCGTTAAATGTGTGACGTGACAATTAAAAAACTATAAAAAAATTAAAATTTAATCTTTAAACATTCCACCTCATTTTCACAACTATTCAAAAATAAAAATAAAACTAATTTTCTATAATTTCCTAAACCCAAACAACTATGTAATTGCGGTGTGGGAGTGAGTGAGGTTCACAGAGGAAGACAAAGCTTCAACTAATGGAAAATGTGGCTGATTCTCAGCCAAACCCGTCCCAACAACAAGATTGAATTTTGGACGATACCTTCACGGCGGTGCCGGAGAAGAACCTCGCTTGAAGAAAGAGGACCAATGCTTAGGATGGAATTGGGTTTAGCCTAATAGGGACTGTTCGAGGCAAGGGAAACAAATGTTGAAAATTGGAATTGGGTTTAGCCGATTCAGGATTGAAATTCTCGTTATATTTAAAGGTGCCATAGGTTGGTCTACTCAAGAGAGTTCCGGCGGCATGCCTGCGAAGCTGTAGACTGGCGATATCCGAGAAGGAAGCATAGGCGGTGGTGGTCGATTTCCGTTTCAAAAAAATTTCCGATCAGAGTCCCACGCTTTCCCTTGAAGTGCTTGAGAAACGCACTCGCATCGAGGGATCCGAGTCTGACCATCGACGATCTTAGAGCTGAGATGGAGAAGGAATCGCCATCATCTTATCAGAACGCTGGGAGTGCTAATGGAAACGAATTCGGGGGATTTGATGAGGGCGGCGAAGGTTTTGGAGATAGTGGCTTTCGGTACTTCATCTTCGTTTGCTGCTGCCGCGGCGACTCTGGCGATGCTTTGCTGAGCTGGGATCTGGAGGGCGAAAGGGTTTTTTATCGGAGAATGGCTTGGGATTTTCTTCGCAGGTGGGTTGAGGAAAGGATTACTTTAATTATAATTCTTTATATGTTTTATTTATTTCAGGTTTTTTTTGTTTTTTAATTAGTGTAATAATGAGGTGGAAAATGTAAAAGATTTTTTTTTATTTTTAAATTTTTTTTAATTGCCACGTCACATATTTAACGGTCAACTATGAAAGTTGACTGCCACGTCAGCTAGAGTTAACGGAAATGGACGGAGAGTGACCAAACTTGAACCATTTAAATAAATTGAGTGACCAAGATTGGATTTAAATATTTCCAGTGACCAAACGTGAACGTTTTCTGTAATCTCAGTGACTAACCATGCAATTAACCCTACCAAGTACCAACTAAAACAAACACATTCTGCTTTTCTTCTCCCTTTGAAAGAGCAAATGGATTTATGGAAAAAGGTGAATTATTAACAAACAAGGGTATAACTGGAATAATGAATTATCAAGCGAACAAGATAGTAATAGCTCACGAAGGTTTTGATCCTCCCCGTCAAATTCTAAGAATTGATATGAGATTTACAAGCTCATTAGATTCATAAATATGGACCAAAAATTTTAGCACCCGTTAAGCAAAAAATAAATTGGAATTCATCCACTACACAAATTGAACAAACAAACCATCTTCATGTACACACTCGAAATAAAAAGATCTACTGTAATTAATTAAAAATATTTCATACCTCAAAATACTAGGAATCTATAAAAATCGTAAAGGTGAACGACGAGTATCACATTACTTTTTTGAGCTCCCTCAATTGTTATCAATATAAATAATAAAAGTAAATAAATTGAGTTTAAAGGATAAAGTATTTTCTCAAACACCGATGACACTTTAATTACCACCAAACACCAATCAATCTGAGTGGACAATGGACGGTAAACTGGGGTTGCCACAACTTGTAAAGCAATGATCAACAAATTCATATCGATCAATCAAATTTCCCACCGGATGATTAACAGGCCATGTTTACAGATCTGGTGGGTTGGGGCCTGGGTCCAGTTTGATTTCACCTCTCTAATTTGGGCTTAGCCCTAAGAGTTGGGCTTGTGTTCTGATGAAAATGAAATTGAGCCGTCCTGGAGAGACACCCAAGGCCAGAACTCAGAAGAGACAGTGGCCAAGGAATCATTCAATTGGATGTTGATTGGGGAACAAGATACCCAGAATGGGAAAAAGATTCGGTTGAGTGGTGCCATCAAATCCAAGCAACAGTGGGAAACTGGGCCACAAGTTTTACAGTCTCTTCCATTCCACCATTTCCATGCACTTGCAAATTGGTTGGTGGCTGGTCATTTGATGAGCTGGTTACTCACTTGCACTGGATGATCTTAATCAATGTCCCTGTGGCCTCTGCTGTCCTGATAACGACCGCAGCCAATCACGACATATCTCCATGTTACTGAAAAAAGTGGTACTTGATTATCATCCTGTAACCAGCTGCAACTTAACAGCTTATGTATACTGCTAAAAGGAACCCACACAAGGCAGTTCGATTCGATCGATCTGTGACAAGATTATACGTCATTCCTGTTCATGATGATGGTGATCGGGCAACAGGGAGTGGGAAATTTGAGGAAGCGACTGGGCGATGAAGCGTAGCTTGTCGATGACCATGACCAGCTTGGTGTTGAGCCGGTTGACGAAGCACTTGGGGAGCCATCCAGCGCCTCCTGGATCGAGCTGGACGACGTACGTGACCATGCAGCAGGACGAGTCGTGCTGAAGCTTCTCCACCACCCAGCCCGAGTGCAGCACCAGCCCTCTGATCGCGTTGCTCTTCATCTTCTTTGCCCTGCTGCTGTTGTTGTAGCTGTGACGATGATCTCCGGGCAAACCTTCGGCCATCTCCTTGGGGAGCGACGCGATTGCCACTACAAGTGTCCCGTCTTCCATGGTTTCCCTCCTTTCGTACACCACGAACTCCCTGTTCCGGAACAAGGGCTGCTTCGACTTCTCCCCGTACCTTAACTGGACTATGCTCAGATTGTCGTCCATGTCTTTTATGTACCTTGCTTCCACCAGATCTGTATCCCATTGCTGTAAAGAATGGCACAATTCATCTTCTATAAGTTCATTCGCCCAAAATTACAAACTAGTTCGTTGATAAAATTTCATTTTCAACTTTGTGCATTGGAACTAAGAATCTATGCTTAAACTTCATCCACAACAGTCATTTCTCGAAATCCAGGACTTCTTTATTATTGAACAATCTCCATCACTTGTTTTTCATTACTAAAAATTAGAAAAGTATCTCATATCTCAATTCTACTTGTTCTAGAACCTTAACTAGCAGACTTTTGCAAGAGCAAAAACCAACCAACCCCACTCAGTTGATGATTGGAAGAGAGGGGAGCTAATAAGGTTAGAGTACGTTACCCTGGCAGCATCAATAGCATTGGCTACGGAGATGAACTGTTGAGGGGAGACCGATTTCAGGAGACAGCGGTTGCGGAAAGCAGGAAAAGACGACCCACCAGCACCCCTGCGTTTGGAGATCTCGGCTCCTCCATTAATGTTCTGCAGAGTGCTGACAATCTTCCACTCTTCTTCGCCACTGTTGCTGGGGAGGTCTGAGCTGGATGAGGAGGCTGATAGCAATTCCTGTATGCAGCTCTCGCTCGCGAAATGCACGTATCTCCTCAACGACTCTTCGCTGATGGACCAAGACCTTCTACATGCTCGGGGAATCGTCGGACTATCCATCAACACCATCGCTACTTCGCTGCAGAAGAAAAGTTAACTTAAACCCAAGATGGACAAGTGCTCATGGTATAGTACTCTCAGTCTGTAATACTTTATACCCAGCAGGAGAGAGATAGAGAGAATAAGAAGAAGAAGAGGATCATCAAAGGTTCAGAATAATAATGGGAAGTGGGGCGAAGTCATTGGAAGCCACATGGAGCTGCCAGGCACTCTCCATGATTAAACTGCACGCTGTGTGTGTAAGTGAAGATAAAAGGATAGCATCGAAGGGAATCAGCAGACCCACATGGAGTGTTTTTAAGCCTTCTTCTCGTCCTTGCTTTACTTCCTTTAACCTCTTTTTTTATAAGCAGGGATTGAGTAGGGAAAGGAGAGTTTCATAAGTGCTGAACCAGATTAAACAAAAGGCAAGCAGTAGAGGGTTGTGGCTCTAAATGAGTTCAACTTAAGCTGTGCAGGTTACATTGTTTGGTTTTAAGGGTGACAACGACCCCGCTCATTTTCCTAAAAGCTCTCCAGTCCAGTTCCCATCATCACGTGAGAGTTCTACTAACAATTACAAACCCACAGCTCAGCTAACTAACATTTTGGACTAACCTGCATCTGGTCCATCTTAGGGAGGTCTTTTCTTTCCTCCATCAACATCGCCATCGAGTTAATGAATAGCTCCCACTCTCCTTCGCCTCTGAAAAATGAGTTAATACCAGAGAGAGCAAGTTAGTAAAGCCTTTCTTCATCCATTTCATTTCACCCTTTCAAGTGGCAAAGTAAAGGGGTAATTTAATAAAGGTGTGGGTACCATTCATATCATCTTTTTCTATCTCATGATACCATGAGGTGGGGGGACAAAACAAACTCCTAAGCTACTTTTGCCAACATTCAGAGAAATTATGAGCATATAATAATAACGTTTAGATTAAAAAAAGGGTTTTCATTCTACTTTCTCAAATAGATCATCCATCATCTTCCATGGAAAGTAAAAAGAATTAACATTTCATCATCTATTCAAGACTGTAGATGATGTATATTAGCTGAAACTTAACTAACCTAAACTAGACTAAGCCTGAGGTGGCTCAGCAACCAAGCCTCTAGCTCTCAGACTTTCGACAGTTTCTCGAACAGCATCTTCCACAGGGGCGAACTTCAGTCCCAGATTAACCAGTTCCTTAGCAGCACCATAAAAAACAACCAGACCAGGCTGGGTCTCTTCAGTGAATCTGGGTCATGAAAATTCGTGCCAAGTAAGCACGGTCAAACGTGGTGATCAAACGATGACCAATCCAGGGTTGTTTCAATGAATACAGCCGTTAACAAGCTGTTGCAGTTGATCAGAAGTGTACTTAGTTTTTGGCATCTGCATTATCATCGAATAATTAAAACTGTGGCTTTCTTTACTCCAGGCTGTCCTGTTCCCCATTTGGATTCAGCTCTCACTTACCAACCAACGTTTTGTCCTGCCGCAGGAGGATCAAACACCATTGCCACCTCACAAGGTCACAAATAAATAAGATCCCAACTTGCAATGCGCATCCCAAGGACAAAACCAATAATCCCCATAGCAGGAATTGGATTGGACCACTTAAATACAACAAAGAGTAACCAAGCATCGCGACAATATACCAATTGCAAAATGATTTGGCGATGAAGGAGAAAATGCAGTCACTGACTGAAGAGCAATTATGCATTGATTTTATAATGCAGGGAAACTTCTAATGAATACTGACTTTCACCACAGTAATAAACAAGGGAAAGAATGTAGAAATGGAAGCTTCGATGGGCAGCAAGCAATGTGATTATGCAAAATGGATCCACCCATTGCAGAAAAAGCAAACCAGATTCGAATAGCTACACGATAATGTTTGGCGGGGCAACAATACCATCATGATTACGATTCTTCTCTTAGCTTTTGAGCAAAGAATCACTAAAAAATGGTGAGGGAAAAGGAAAGCAGGGAGAAAAGTAAACCTGTAAACAGGGACTTCAGGGAAGAGTTTGGAAACCCTGTCAGCAAAGTCTCGAAATTGGTACCTACCAGAAGCAGCATGAGTCTCACAGAGCAAAGCTTGCATTCAATCCCGGTTGCAACGGTGGCCCCAAGCACGTCGCCGGATGGATCGCCACCAAATCGATCCCTTTCTTCTCCGCAAACTCCCACGCGGCTCTCTCCGTCAGCGTCTTCGTCACCGGATACCATTTCTGCAAACCAATAGAAAAAACTCAATTGGTATAATTGAACTTAGCCATGGATTCGAACGATTGAATTGAAGATCAGGCTGACCTTTCGAGACTTGCAGTGGGTCGAGATCGGTTCAGGAGGACTCGTCGAATACATGGCCGGAGGGCCAATTAGGGTTTGGAACCAAGGCGGAGACGGAAGAAGTGAGGACGACGCGAGAGAGGTTGGAATCGACGGCGGCTTGAAGGGCGTTGAGGGTGCCATGGAAGGCAGGGAGGAGAAGATCGCAGTCTGGGTCGGTTGTACCCGAATTCAAGTAAGGTTCGGACCACCCACGAGCCGATGAGTCCGTTGGCTCCCGTCACGCGAACCGGCGACTCTTCGTGGTTGTTGTTGGTTTCGGGACTCATCGCCGCCGACAATTGGTTTACCTATAATATTTGGTCAGTAGAGTCGTCGGAGAAAGTCAACTGTCCTCTTCCTCCGGATAATGTATTATATTCACACCCTTTTGTTTTGGGCAGAAGAAACAGTAATGTGGTGCTGGAAATCGGGTAATTGGACTCTTGTCGATGTGTACGGCTCCTATGACGACGGCGACTCAATCACGCCGGCGGCGTGTGTGTTTATTTGTTTGGTAGTTATACTTACATCATTTGGTAGTCTACTCGATATCATATAATTAATCCACGGCGACTCAATCCTGTCCAAATTCTGATCTAAATCACTCCATTAGTGAGTATTGACTAATCACTAGATAGCCTAATTCATAACACAAATTATTACTGGTCATTCTAATAGTGAAAATTTATAAGTGTATATCACGAGAATCATATCAGGATAATCATTTTCATTCTTACAAATATAAATCGTGCAGACATAATTAAGAGTTGGCTACATCCAAAATATGATAGCTATATCTTCGTCATAATAGTAACTACTTAAAAAAAATCTAGCATAATTTGACGTTAATTTATCAACTACATATGAGTCTTTGTGTTTAGATGATTGTTATTTGTTGACACCCAAAATTAAAATTTGAATTTGTAAATGTTATTATCATATTACCACTCAACCAATTCTTTGAAATTATCTATAAATATTTAAGTATGAATATTATGAATATTTTTTCTGAAGTTAAATTCCGATACACATAACCTAAAAGGAGGAATTTTACAATGCTATATAGCATTGGTGCTATAAGTTTTTTCTTTATGGTACAACTTGAAATTGTATCTTTAACATTATGGCACAACTTCAGATTGTACCTATACTTTTTGTACAAATTCTTTTATGGTACAACTTAAATTTGTACCTTATGTGATGGTACAACTTCAAGTTGTTAAGTTGTACCATAACATAATTATACAAATTCCTTTATGGTACAACCTAAACTTATACATTTAATGTTATGGTACAACTTTGAGTTGTACATTAAAGCACCAATACTATATAGCAAAGTAGAAGTACTCAACCTAAAAATAATTAACTAACTAATTATCAACTTAATTTTTTTTTTTTTTTTTTGCCAAAGATATAATTATCAACTTAATTGGACTACAAGTAACAAGATTGACCCCACTTTACCGAATTAACAATTGAGCTGAAATTCTATTTGTAAAGACCGGATTGGATAATACATGCTGATCTATTTGTTCTTCGCATACAGAACTGCCGAAAAGTACATGTGGCTGGAAAACAGAAGAGTAGTGTGTAAAGGCGGGAGATTGCGAGGTTGGCGGGTGGATGGTGCTGGCTTTTGTCCATGAAAATTGCTCTATCTTACCCAATTCCTGTTCTTCGCCATGGCTCTGCCGCTGCCCTTACTGCTGTTTCGTCCTTGTCTTCTCGTGCTTACTGCAACCGCGAAATTAAGATGATTCGCGCCATGGCCAAACGCAAGAAGCCTACGGATTCCGAGGTTTTCATTTTCTCTCTTTACTGGGTTTATTATTCTTCGCTTTCAGTCAAAACCCTCAATTGCCCTTCCACTGTTGATTCCAAACGCAGGGTTCCACCGACCCACCTCCCAGAATTACATCAAATGTGAAGCAGAACTTGCAATTTCTTAAAATTTGGAAGGTAAATGATTCATACTGCTTTGAATATATGGAATGGGACTGGAAAGGTAGATTCTTTGGGTCATTGATGAATCCAACTTACCAACTTCATAGGAAATTCAAAGGCGGAGCTCTAGTGCTCCGAGGCCTGCTACTAGTTACCGCAGGAAGAAGGTGGAGAAGGAGGATCTGCCTCCAGATACCCAGGAGATTTATCGTGATCCAACCTTCACTCTATATCAGTAATGGTTCCTTTTCTTGGATTCTCTTTACCCTCATTTCCTTCCATCATTTTGGCTGTGTTGATTTTGTACTTGGGGTTTGACATGCCCTCTCTTTGCCATAACTGACAGACACATTTTGCAGCACAAACCACATTCCAGACACTGTTGTCCCAGTCTTGCTTGTTGATGGCTACAATGTATGTGGCTACTGGATGAAGCTGAAAAAACACTTCATGAACGGAAGGCTTGACGTTGCTCGCCAGAAGCTAGTCGACGAACTTATAGCATTCAGTGTGCATAAAGGTTTTTACTGTTTTGTTCTTTTTCACACTTTTATGTGGGGGGTTGAAGTTTATCTCCTCAAAAGTATGGCTGTAGGACTCAGCATAGTAGCTTGCTTGTTCGTACATTTTAGAATTTTCCCACTGCTATGGATTGGAGTGAAAAAATTGGAATCTACAGACATTCTCAGGGGAAATAGGCTAACATCTTAAACAGCCCTCTCAAGTTGCTAGTTCGCCATTGGAAGTTGAGCGATGATGATTGAATAAGCTACTGCAAAACAATCTTAGGAGACATGCATCCGTGTACTGCAGATGGTGTCCTTTGGTTGTACCGTAAAGTAGAGAGCTTTCTGAATGATGAACGTGTTTCTACAAATTTTGTCACTTAAGAAATGATATTTTCCTTTGTAATGCTTATGTTCTTAATTGGATAAGATGTACACTATAATCTATCAATGCATTTAGTAAGTTTCCCTCAGTTCTAGTGCTTACAGACTCTTTCAGCTTCCTGATTCTGTTTATTATTTATTGATTCCTTACACTTTATGTTATTTTGTCAACAATTACAGAGGTGAAAGTGGTAGTTGTCTTTGATGCGATGATGTCTGGACTGCCTACGCACAAAGAAACTTTTGCATGGTACTTTAAAAGAGAACCTCTTACATTTCTGTTTCATTTTCATACGTTAGGTCATCTGTGGCAGTGTGTGGACAAATACTTGCTGATCTCCTTTATTTACTGTCACCTTTTGTCAATGTTCAGACCTCATGTTTTGGTAGATTTAGGGATGAAGTTGGATTTCGTACTTTCTATAATGAAGCTTAGGTTGATTCATTTTATTCGCTCTTTGTAGTATTTTTGGTGTAGAATGGTTTTTATGTGTTGATAAGATTAGTGTCATGACTTGAAGGATTCACCATGTTGCAGTGTTGATATAATATACTCAGGTGAAACATGTGCTGACTCGTGGATCGAAAAGGAGGTAAATTTATCCTTCTCTTATTATATTCTTTGTTTTCATTTTTCGGATTAAGCCAAGTAATCTTAATAGAAATCGCAACATTGATTATGATTTTGCTATGTGAATCAGATATTTCTTCACTATCATATGTAAGTGGGATCAAATTGTATAACCATCAAATTTTGAATTAACATTCTCAGAAAATTGTATCCTTCTTCTGTTTCTTACCGTTCCCACCCAAACAAATGGACCTGTATTACTATGGCATATTTGTCTTCTTTGGGTCTACTATATACATGTGTTTGGTTAATGAGTGTCAATGAACACCCCAAAGGTGGTGTATAAACTTTATCTTAGGGTGTTTTTGTGCTCCCCTGCAGGTTACGGCCTTGAGGGAAGATGGCTGCCCCAAAGTGTGGGTTGTGACATCCGACAATAGTCAGCAACATGCTGCACATGGAGCGGTATGCATTCTTTCTTTTTCTTGGTGATTTGCTTTCAGGGTTTGTCAAATGACTTATGCTTCTGTTCTTTGCTTTTGAGCCCACATCTTTTTTAGGCAGTATTGAAATATTGTATATGTGGGGTTTGGTCTTGACGCCATAACTTGAACTCGTTACGTGGCATTCTATTGCATTGTCATACTTGTGCCCTCTAGAAATTCTGATAGGGAAATGCCCTGTTTTCTGGGGTGGACACAGTTTTGGCTTTGCAGGTGGGATAGTAGTATCTTGTTAAATCTGCCAACTTGGCCTAGATTTTAGGTATATGTCTACCATCTCATTCATTTCGCATGGAAGTTCCAACGCATTCGTTGGATGCTTTTATCAGTAATATACTAGTACCAAGTTGTTGGATGAGACGGCGTTTGCAGGAAGGAATACAGTACCACTAGATAAAGAAGTGGTAGAATGGATAGACATATATATGTGGTCTTAGTCCTATATTTATTTCTGATGTTGACTTGATTATGAAGAAGGTGACTTTTGTGGTAATGTTGCTGCAGGGAGCCTTTGTCTGGAGTTGCAAAGCGTTGGTCTCTGAGGTGAGTAAGTAGTGAACCTTGCTTGACAAGGAAAGCTCCAACCAAATGCAAATACAGAGTGCGAGACGTTTAGCATTGAGTTGATGTACCAGGGGGGTTGTTTGCAGATTAAGGCGTCTCAGAAGGAGGTGGAAAGGATGCTTGAAGAGCAAAGGTTCGGTGGACTAAATTTGAACTAGAGATGGATGATGCTATTCTTAAATGAACAGTGGATGATGTGTGTCATTTTCTTTTGCAATGTTGTTTGGAAACAAAAAAATGCAGGCCGACCTCTTTCCAGGGAAAACTGTTAAAGCACAACCTTGACTCGGAAGTGGTGGACGCTCTCAAGGTCTTGAGGAACAAGCTGTACGAGGATGAGCGGAGAAAGTAGTAGAGCTGTACCTACGGCATGCTGGCATCTGCTAAAGACGTTACTAAGTTTGGTTCGGACTCACGTTGAATGGAGCGTTCTCGGCTAACCCTTTTAGATAAGCGAAAGCTAGCTACTGACTTGGAGTACATTTGCTTACTGCTAAGTAAGCTGCTGGATCAGATGCAGCGAGGAGGCACATGGGTGGATGATGGGCAGCATTCAGAATTGGACGAGGACTTTGATATACTTGAGATTGAAAGTGTGCATGAGCTTTATGTTATGTACGTGGGGAAGAGGGTAGTCGAATTGATTCATCATTGACCAGTTTAGCAGTGTCCAAGTAAGTACAGGTGGTGGATGACTGGATGTGTAGCCTTTGGAAGCAGAAGTTGTTGCTGTATCGACGTCGTGGTTCATTCATACAAGTGGTATATGGTTATACGTCTTCTTCAAGGATCATAAGATCACACAATGTTTGTTAATGTTATATTGTAAAATTTGGTGCTTCAAGGTCTTTGTGCCCGGAAATACTCTCATATATAACTGAGGCATATAGTTGAGAGCTGCTGTTAGTATGATATCTTTCAAGGTCTTTGTACCCGTAGAAGTTATATGATATCTTTCTTCTTGAGGAAGAAAAAAAAGGCTTGTCTGTTAGGATCTTGACTCTTGAGTGTCTCTCAGACTCTCACAACGGGTCTTCACTCAATGCAACGAGTTTGGGCCAAGAGATGTGGACTTAAAAGTTTCTATGTCATTCATGATCTGCATACGCATCAATTTTACGGTAACGATCAACACAATTTAGGGTCAGATCGAGTTGAGCCTTAACTAACTCAAATTAGCCGTCGAGTTAGCACTTAGTCCTGTACTCATCCCATATTCCATAGTTTATCGTCGTGCTTTGGATGAGTTCTATTGTTCGGTTTACAAAAGGGTCATCATGCCATATGGACTCGTAAATTACTAAATGGAGTGAGCTGACATGTCGATTTGGACATCTTCGTCGACAACTTCAACAACACAGATTTGTTAAAAAAAAGTGAAAATTAGTAACGAAATTGGGTAGTGAGCCTATAGTGCATGCAACAACTCCACCTCTCCTCCATTTATTAACACACCCCCACCATTTCATTTACTAATTATTATCAAAACGTTTTTATACACTCCATTTATACATGAAGCTTGAGACGACTGTGAGCATGCAAATGCGACAAAAATCACAAACTTGGTCAAACGGTCAAATGGACACCTATTGGTTGAAAAAGTTGTCCTTCAAAGCTCTCTCAACTATAACATCATTTCGTGGTCCGGTCCTAGAGTCAACACACTGCTTTTCAATCACTCATTGCATTGATTAATTAACACCTCATCATCATATATTATATTCGTATCATATCCTAACTTCTGATCCAAACAGTATATTTTAGGTTCGTAAAATTCTCGATTATATATTATGCAGGGACGGAGCCAGCTTAGGATTAGGAGGGGTCAAATTCTGGAATTGAATAAAATCAAATATGGGTAACTTGTGGCAATTATAATTCCGTAGCATAGTTGATAGAGGAGTTTTCTATTATGCTTATTTAGGAAGGGATCGAGGTTTGATTCTTTTATTTGTCTTCTTCTTTTTTAACTTTTGTTGTCCATTTTTCTCTTTATTTTACTTTTTTTTCTTGTCGGTCGCTGGCCCCAAAATTCGAACTTTTGATATGGTGGATGTTTTGATCTCGCATTATCATTAGACTAACTTCGATGTGGTGGTCTGGTGGATGTTCTCATCCCGCATTATCATTTGCCTAACTCTTGGAATTGTCTTTATTTCACACTTTAAATTCAATTTCATGTAATTTTTCAATGAAATATATTTTTTTTCCATGTGATTTTAACATTTTAAATTCATTTTAACTTTATTTCATCTTTTTTAAAGTGAATGTCATGTAACTTTAAAGTGAAATTTTACCATATGTCAACCTTTGCTACCATTATAACATATATCCTAAGTTTCAGTTACAACTCCCATAAATAATATATTCCGTGATAAAATACACCGAACAAGATATATCATAATGCTTATGTTGGATGCACTTTTAATCTTTTATATTGTCTTGTATAATAAATTTCTGCACGATTCGAAACTGATATTTCCTTTTACATATGATTTTTTTTTTTTTTTACTATTAGTTTGTTGGCCCCTCCTACCGAAAAATCTTGGCTCCGTCCCTGATATTACGATAAGTATTTTGTAGATCTTATTACAGAACTCTAGCTAGCTAGCTAGCTAGCCAGGCCGAGAAGATGAAACCATCATCACCGCTCGGACGCCTTGCCGCAATTAAGACTCGCTAGCAAGTTCCTTCATTCATTATGACCTACCAAACTTCACCGTTTCTTCCCCATCACACACCTCAACTCGCTCTCTCTCCATCCATGGCGATGAAAGTGGTGTTCGTGGAATAAATAATACTGTACTACGATTTAGCGTACGTTCTTCCTCTTACGTGCACTACTGCATCACATTAATTTCCAGCGGCGCCATGTATATCTCATTCTCTTCTACGACAGATATGAAGCACCATCCAATATACATGCATTTTGGCTATGCACCATATCCTTTTTTCACCCGTAATATCAAGACAATAGTTCGAAAGAACCACTATCCACAATCCCTCCCCAACCCACTAACAATTCACTCTACAAAATCAAAATAAGCTAACTCTAACCGAGACAACAACATGACTTTAAGTGCCACTCTATCAACAACCCAGTTGGCAATCCGCGGAACTAGGGGTGGCTATACGGTCCGGTCCGGTTAAATTGGCCCGAATTGATCCGGTCCCCGTCCTGTCTTTTTGGGAATATAAGGACCAAAGGTTGGATTGGATACAGTTCGATCTTGATCCGGTGATCTGGTCCCAATTCGCTCTTGATTTTAGATTGAGTTTGTGGAAATTCGAGTGGCCTGAGACCTCAAAAGGTGAGGAGTTGGTTAAGTTTTGGGCGTTGGGCTCTCTTATGCGGTCTTTATCCGGTTTTCGATCCGGTCTCAAACGGTTTTTTACCTAAAATCTAAGCCTGAAGATGGAATTGAATTATTTGCTATCCAGTCACGATCCAGGTTATACGGTCCGATTTCGAGTAAATCCAAAACGTCCGGACCAAATAACCAGCCCTACGCGGACCCACAGTAAAATCTATACAATGAAAAAAAACTCAATAAAAAAAACAACAAATTCAAAGGATTACCGTATACATGCGGGATAGGAGCGAAACCGGGTCAAACCCAACCGACGTTGGTCCTGTTACTAACCCAAAAAAACCCGGTTCTTCATGGTCAAACATCCAATGTGACACACTGTTTTCTGAAAATTACATTGCGGTACCCAAACCTATTCTTCCTTGCAATTTGGTACAATTAACAAAAAAATCAAGAAATTTTGGTAGTGAAACCACGTTTAAGTACCTTTATATTTTTATCTTGGATTATAATACCTAGATTTTTAAAAATTTACAAACAGGTCCACTGTATTGGTATGAAATTTTTTATATCACTAACAATTGTTGATACTTGATACAGTTTATAGGGCAAAAAATATCCGACCCTAGCTAATTAACTGACTCTATAGACAACCTGACCATTTTAGGAGGATATATATACTATCCAGCCATTTTAGGAGATGGGCGATTGACTTCGTCAAAGGGTTTATATGATGATATTTTTGCAAGTTGTGTATTATTGAACTATTTGGATATATGGAGCAGAATCATCATCCCCCAGATATGACCCTTAATACCTCTAAAGTAGGGGTGGTTAATCACTTTTAGGGTTTCGATTAACCCAAAATATGAACCAACTAATCATACTGTCTTTTCACAACTTGCTTAATTAGCTAGTTATAGAGACCAGCTGAATATTAACAGTGATGATTGAAGCATACCATATATATATGGATTGATAGGCTCTTATATCACCCAATTGGCTCTTAAACTTAATTAGTTTCCTGTAATTATATTTGTAAGCAAGCGAAGTTCATGCATCTTGAAACATATACATACCAAACATGTTGCTGTCGCACTACATGAACATTAATTAATAAATATGCGGCAAGTGGGCCAATAATTAAGAAAGGGGGGGAAAAAGTAGGTTTTTGTTCGTTAGTGGTGATGATAGGATATGGGCGTGTATGCTGTTTCGTGGGGTTCTGCCGTTTTGCTAAAAGTTGGGCTCCAACAGTATGTGGAGATATTTTCAGAGGCTTGGAGGAGCTATCTATCTATCTATCAATCTGTAGGCCACTTTTTCATGTGTGGTAAGGACGTGAAAAACAAGCTTTTGGGTAGGCCACGAGACCTGTGGAAAATTATACAGCGATCGAGATAGATAGCAGGCCAGGCCAAGGTAGGAGAGGACGACGACGATTGCTTATTTGGGTGGTTGGGCGGTTGAAATCAGTGAATGTGGCAAGCTGATTAAATTGGAAAATTCGTTTTCTCGGAAAGTGAACATCAGTTGTGTTGGTCGATTCGCTGTTGTGATAAGATGTGGCAAAATGGATTGTATTCACGGATTGGTGGTCGGAAATTGAGCATTACAACGTCTTCTTAGCGTGTCGAACTTGGGTCTTGAAGCAGAGGGCTGGTAACCCCACACTTTCCTACGGTTTTTAAGTCACTACAAGAAAAGAAGAAAAAAACATTTTCTGCTACCAGATTCTTGGCAACCATAGAAAGATGGTTGCTTATGACTAAGTTTCTACAACCATTCTTAAAATGGTTGCTGATACTCAACTCTAGTGCAACCATTATAAATAAATAGTTGCTGATAGGTCAAAACTTCGACAACCATTCATAAAATGGTCGGCGATAACGCTTCTCTCAAGCAACCATGAGGTGAATGGTTGGTAATAAACCAATACATCAGCAGCCCCTCACAAAATAGTTGCTAATACACAGCTCTCTAGTGCAACCATTAGCAAAATAGTCGCTGATATAGGCCTAAACTTCGCCAACCATTCGTAAAATGGTCGGTGATACGCTACTCTCAAGCAACCATGAGATGGATGGTTGACGATAAATCAATACTTTAGCAACGCTTCACAAAATAGTTGCTGATACCCAACTCTAGTTCAACCATTAGTAAAATAGTCGCTGATATATGGTCGCTCCAATCTTGTTGCGGCCATTTTTCAACTTCGGGCAACCATTTTTTATGGTTGCAGATAGTAGTTTTTTTTCTTTTTCTTGTAGTGAATTTTCCGCTAGAAAACCATGCATGTCAATTTCATGTACAGAATGAGCCCCATGGGAACAAGTTTCTCAGTTTAGTTAATAACTAACATAGACAAACTGGAGATGTCATTTGTGGAAAAGTTGGAAAGGATTTTTACTAAAATGATGGTTTGGTGGCATAGTAATAATGTAGGAAAGACAACAAAAGGATTGGGAGAAGAAAGGGAATTAGAGATTGATAATGATTGGCCACCGCCAATTTCCTCAACGCCACTAGAAAACCCTAATGCCTCCTGGCCTGGCTGCTACCGTCGGCCGACGTAGGATTTTAATTCAATACGGATAAAATCTTATATCCATCCATCCATTGATTGGTTAACCAATAAAAGATTCAGCACCCAAATTAGTGATATCGAGAACGTACATGTAAGTAATAACCAGTCACGGGCAATTAATAGATTCATTATTGTACGTCTCCAATTTTATTGCGTCTCAAATTAAGCAAATTTATGGTCGTTGTTATGAAAGTCTAGGTGTGAAAAAATGGATTGACCAAACTATCAAGGATATCGTCAATACACCGAGAGGGTTATCGGGATTCCTAACGAGGCGGATCATTATCGACGATTCCAAAAAAATTGACTTCGTGATAAATATTTTCTAATCGGGCTTGCATTTTGCCACCGGGCAGTGTATAGTTGGGCGAGCCTAACATTTTCTTATTGTTTGAGAATTTGTTTGCAAAACAACCTTGCTGAATTCTGGTCTCTAAACATCTTAACTGAGAAATATTTATTTTTAAAATTTTGGAATTGAAGGAAAATTTATTAACGTAGAGGAAGAAAATCTCAGCAAAGAAATTATAGCAAAGGGAAAACATTTTTTTTCTTCTTCTTATGAATAAGGAAGCAAATATTTATTTTGGTCGTAAAAAGGAGAGGACAAAATAATGGAAAATAGGTGGGGCCCAGGATATTTGGACGAAAAGAAGAAGTCACGGGTATCCCTTGAGTCTCGTTGACTCCACAATGTATAAAACGTCCATTTCCATTTCCAACCCACACCAAAAATAAAATTTTCCTTTTGTCTTTTGATGGAAAAAAAAAAAAAAATTCGACACAAACCCCACAACAAAAGAAAAACAAAATGCTTATTTTGTACGAAATGAGAAGTAATTTCAATATTTCTCATCCGATTGCTTTATTTGTGTTACAAATGCAGGTAACATTTTTTTGTGTTTTATACACATAAAAATGTCATGATAAATTTTAGGACACTTCTCTTTTCTAATTGATCGGCTACGGCAAAGAGCTCCAAACTAAAAATAATGTACGAAACTTCTACCTCATGCGATGATGTATGCTGTTCAACGAATCAAGGTAAACAAAAAGTCGTCGTTAATCATGTTATTCTTTGAAGTGCATGCAGTGCATGACATTATCGAGGGGAGCCAAGTGCAATCTCTCAATCGTCTCCTACTTGGGCGATGGATAGTACTCTACTATATAGCTCAAAACCTTCACCTTCTTGTTCATTGTTATTATTTGTGAAAGGGAGACTGATCGATGATGATGATGATTTGCAAGTTGCACATTGGCCATGGACGTGCACATGATCTATAGCTTTGCTAGCTATGAACACGCGAGGGGAACACTGCAGTCTGCAGAGAAACATACACACGAGTTCTGATTTGGTCTTTGAAAGCCACATGATGCTTTGTTCCATCTGTCTCTAGCTAGCCAGCCAGCCAGCCAGCGCATATGTGCAAGCAACAAGCTCATGCAAAAACGCCAAAATCCATATATAAATGCACATGCACTACGGGAAAAATAGCTTCTCGCAACCCTCATAAATGTGTTGCAGAAAGTAAAAAAAGAGTTACAAAATCCTAACGCAACACTTTTGTTAGGGTTGCATATAGTGGGGGTTGCAAAAGGAATATGCAACTGTTTTTTCATTTTTCGTAACCAAAATAAAAAGGGTTGCATATACTTACCCCTTACGCAACACCATTATAGGCAACACATTTTATAAATTTTGCAACAAGTTTTAGAAATATAGGCAACATTTTCTACAAGTTTTTGCAACATCAAAATTTTATCCATGACGAGTCTAAATCGTCATAATCGATAAATTCAACTGTGACAATTTTGTTCGTAACAGATGCTAATACATTCATGACCATATTGTCGTTAATATAGATCGTTTTGGTGACAAGTTAGTGTTCACACAAAAACTACAATATTGACATGTTTAATTGTCACAAATAATTGTAAATTTTGCAACAAGTTTTAGAAATATAGGCAACATTTTCTACAAGTTTTTGCAACATCAAAATTTTATCCATGACGAGTCTAAATCGTCATAATCGATAAATTCAACTGTGACAATTTTGTTCGTAATAGATCGTTTTGGTGACAAGTTAGTGTTCACACAAAAACTACAATATTGACATGTTTAATTGTCACAAATAATTGTAAATTTTGCAACAAGTTTTAGAAATATAGGCAACATTTTCTACAAGTTTTTGCAACATCAAAATTTTATCCATGACGAGTCTAAATCGTCATAATCGATAAATTCAACTGTGACAATTTTGTTCGTAACAGATGCTAATACATTCATGACCATATTGTCGTTAATATAGATCGTTTTGGTGACAAGTTAGTGTTCACACAAAAACTACAATATTGACATGTTTAATTGTCACAAATAATTGTAAATTTTGCAACAAGTTTTAGAAATATAGGCAACATTTTCTACAAGTTTTTGCAACATCAAAATTTTATCCATGACGAGTCTAAATCGTCATAATCGATAAATTCAACTGTGACAATTTTGTTCGTAACAGATGCTAATACATTCATGACCATATTGTCGTTAATATAGATCGTTTTGGTGACAAGTTAGTGTTCACACAAAAACTACAATATTGACATGTTTAATTGTCACAAATAATTGTAATTTGTGACCAAAGTTATGTCACAAATACACTTAACAAGATTGAAGCTATGGTATAGGGGTCGGGTTGATTATCACTGAAGTAACTATTAGTGATGAATCTTATTGTCATGTATGCAACATTTATATCTGATGATTTTAGTTGGTCATAACAAAAACATTTTGTGAAAAAATGTCATCACAAAAAAACATCAACGGTGACAACATGACATATCAGAAAAATATTATTATTAAACTCCAATCTTGCTACTAACAATACTAAACATCGGTAACAGGTTCTACCAAAGGCTTTACTTCAAGGTTAGATACATATTATATCCATTTCTTGTTACTCAATATCCTTGTATTCATGGGATCCCTCCTTCGGTGCAATGAGCCAAACTTCTCCCCCGGTTCTCTTGAATCCTTCCTCGCCATTCTCTCAATCTTATCCTCTGATACCTTTAGTACCTGCAATCATTTTCATTTTCAGCAGGTCAAACATAAATGTTCAATAGAAAGAACCATACTGGTAAGTGGTAATCATACTACTGTAGGGAGGGGGCTTATTACTTATTAATTACCTTATATTGTTGACGTGGCATACCTATTAGTGAGGGCTTCAAATCAAAACCAAAAATTTGTATTAATCTAGACATATATAATATACCAAAACACGTGAGAAGAGAGAAACCAATTGATGAATCATTGTACCCTGGCGATCATACAAGAGGAGAGACACAGGTTGATGCGATGAGCTTGTCGATCGGTGAGATGGCCGATTGGGATTCCTGGTAGATCCGTTGGGATCCACAAAAGAGAAGAGGAAGGGAGGCTGATTGGGGTTTCCTTATGGTGGTAGACTGAAAGACAAAGGCTTTTCACTTTTGTAATCGGCGAGGGTTTCTTCCTTTGGCGGCGTGGGAATTTAAAGGCGAGGGCATGTATAATATCAATTAGAAGAAGAATAGGAAGGGACGTGCTTAATTGTTTTACCTGTATAAGGAAACAAATATATTAGGTAATTAAGAGATAAAGGAAAACGTAATCACATAGGATCTTCTGCTTCCCCATTTATAGGATTTATCTCTTTTTAGTTTCTTTATATTAGGAAGATATTTATATATAAAGAATAATAACAATACGAATTGTTAAGTGAATTTTTTGCAACCCATTAGGTTAAAATGTTGTCTAAACTATATAAATAGACAACCAATAAATAGTTGATGATATGAGTGTTGCGTATAATAGAGCAAATGCAACATATAACCAATTTGAGTTGCGTAAACCATCCAATACGCAACCTAAAAATAAAGTGTTGTCATTATATAGTTAACGCAACACTTTCAAATAATGTTGCAATCCAAGTGTTGCAAGAACCCCTTTTTCCCGTAGTGATGGTTCATGCATAGTACTATAATCATATAATGTGAGACAAAAGATCAAAGAATCATATGAACCATGGTGTCCTGTATATGAGGATTAATATCCATGCCGTTGACTCTGACATATACAACTAATTACCTAGATGAAGTAGATGACATGGTAATTAAGTTGATTGCCGGGGACCATCATTACTGGTAATTAAAGAGGAGAAAGTAAGACAATGTGTATATAGGGTTTATGCGCTAATGACGAGTCAGGTTATAGCTGTAACGTTTATTGCAAACAGAACATCTTATCGTGTTGATGCGACTGAACCACCACCACTGCTAGTAATTAAAGAGGAGAAAGTAAGATGTGTACAAATGGTCACGCTGATCTAAGGAGTCAGGTTATAGTTATAGCATAATCGTTTATTGCAAGTAGAGCATCTTATGGTGTTAATGGATTTAATCGATTATGGGCACTTCCAAGTGAAATTGATTGAGTTATAATGCCATCTCGATCCTTGATTAATTGGAATTTGATGCATGGTATCATATTCTAAACTCAAGTAAGTAATTAATGTTACACACACTCTTTCTGTGAATCGTACATTTACTGTGTGAGGTGTATTTCAACGAGACCAGGATTATATCGATAATTTTTCTTAATGAATCTTACCTTAGGGTTTAGAGAATTAGAGTCAAGGATGTTATGTCGTATCACTAGTTAATTCGTGGTTTAGATTGTGTAATCTTACCAAAAGTACAACGTACCCTAGATTCACCGGAATCACGAAAGAAGTTTCCAAAGAAGAATAACAATAGAGTACGAGCATCACTTATACCATCTTATACTAGGGCTGGCTATTTGGTTTTACCCAAAACTGGCCCGTATAACCCGGACTGGGACCGGACTGGAACTAGATAGCAAACATCCAATCCAATATTCGGGCTTAGATTTGAGGTAAAAAAAATCGTTTGAGACAAGATCGAAAACCGGATAAGAGAGCCCAACACCCAAAACTTAACCAACTTCTCACCTTTTGAGTTCTCATGCCACTCAAATCCCCCCAAGCTCAATCTAAAATCAAGACCTAATTGGGACCGAACCGGGTCAAGACCGAACTGTATCTGATCCAATCTTTGGTCCTTATATTCCCGAAAAGACCGGACTAGAACCGGATAAATTCAGACCAATTTAACAGGATCGAACCGAACCGTATTGCCACCCCTATCTTATACAATACCTTATGCTGAGAAACATTCTTTTAAAATAAATTGAACTTGAAGGAAGATTTATTAATGAGAGGACAAAAACCTTGTTTTGATTATTAAAGGGAAGCAAAGATTGATTAGGGTTGTAAAAAGGACAAATAAGTAATAGGATTGTGGCCTTGTGGGGTCCAGGATAGTGTATTTGGAGTTTGGACGAAAAGGCGGAGGAGAAAGAAGAAGAAGTCACGGGTATCCCTTGAGTCTCGTTGACTCCAATATATAACGTCCATTTCCATTTCGAACCCACACCCAAAAACTGAAAATAAATTAAAACAAAATTTCGAAACAACCCCAAACCAGAAACAGAAAAGGACTATTTTGTCCGAAATGAGACGTAATTTCAATGTTTGCAGTCCAATCATCCATCAATTAATTGCGTTAGTGTAATTTTCATTGATTTCTCCAAATAATCTACTAGTTCAGGGCGCTCTTATTCATCTGTTTTGGTTTAGATGGAGTAATTGCGAAACGGAAAATTTTTAGTCAATTGATCTTATTTTTTATAAAATTTAAATTTTTGAACATGATATGATACCAAAATATTTATATGATTTCATTTTCGATACACTCACTTTGAAAAACGAAAATAGATTGGTCAATTGATCTTATTTATAAAATTTTTATTTTTGCACATGATACTATACCAAAACCCTTATATATAATATGATTTTGTTTTCGATGCACTCAATTTCTTAGTGCATGTTATTCACTCGCCTCATCTATAATCATCATTTTGAGCAGGTAATTCATGTCAAAATCATTTTATCGTCACTCGTGATATGATGGATGGACAAGAAAACACAAGAATTTGTACACCAAAATTGATTTTGATTTGAAGGATTTAGAGTTTGAATTTATATTTGTGATTTAGGTTTAGCGTTCAAGATTGAAGATTTAGTGTTTGGAGTAATGCATTTATTATTATGTTTTAATGTTATATCATCATATTAGACAAATGTTACTGATTAAAATTTAAAATTCGATATTTTAAGAACATTTTCATAGTGAGGTTCATAGTATGCGCTCAAACTTTACAGGTGCGTCAAAGAAGCCACCAAATATATATGAACTATGATGCGTACAAAGCACATAACATAGTGTGAGACTAAACATCAAAATATCATATAGTTAAATTGGTGAATTAATAATGAGGGACCATCATTACTAGTAATTAAAGAAGACAAAGCAAATGAGATCTCTAGGATTATGTGAATAAGGAGTTAACTTATTTTCTCCTCACATAAAAAAAAATGAATCAGGTGATAATTATAACGTCTATTACGAATAGAACATCTTATCATGTCAGATGACTATAACTGAACAATATATGTTTTTCTATTCACAACTTGATACTTATCATACGAAATTATCATCGTGTGCATTCACCTATATCCTTGTTAGGGGTGTCAGTTTGTGTTATGTTAACCGAACTTAAATGCATTAACAAAATCGAAAAATGAACTAGGATGTTTATCCGAAACCGAAACCAAAACCGTGGAACACTTATTGGTTTCCGGTTAACCAAAACTCCTACATATCTCGATTATAAAAAAAAAAAATCGAACCCCCCTGCAACTCTCAGCTACTGGTTTCGATTTCTATTTTCCAATTCAAACTGGTATCGGTAAGATACAAACCAGTTTGAATTCGAAAATTCAAAATTGATATTTACTTACCGGCCGGCTCGATACTAAATAAACCGAAACCAACATCTCAATTCTCAACCCTAAATTCCCGACTAAGAGAGAGAGAGAGAGAGAGAATAAGGAGTGAGGAGGGGAGGGAGGCAAGAAAAGGGACAAAATAAAGGGGAGGCACCGCAAACAAAGGGAGGGGAGGTGAGGTGGGACCCGCCCTAGTTGTACCGGTACGTGACATGTCATTTTCTATCCCGTCTTAAAACTGCGGCCCGTTGGATTAGAGGCAGCCATCAACCTCCGGCCACCACCTCCACCGCCACCCTTTGTGTCCGGTCCGGTGGGTCCGCTTCTCTATGTAGATCTTTCTTCTGATCAACTACTCTTCTCTCAGCTCTTCCTTCTAGCCCTTTGAAGAAGAAGAAGAAGAAGAAGAATGGCTGATGACGTACACGCATTCCGGTCAATATTTCCCCAACCTAATATTTAACTTACTTACTTAACACCACCAATCCACTCCCTGTTCTGTTCATGACTTTTGGGGGGGTACTAGGATCACGTTTCTCAAATTTGCAACATGATGATATAATTACTAGTTGATGTACAATAAAAAACGGATCGTATACCATCGCTGGCGGATCGAGCTGGAAAATCTGAATCATACGTACTAATTGAGGAGAGGGACCAAAATCGTGCCCATTACTGATCTATTACCTATATTTGAAGAGGTTGAGGGGGGTATAGCACTCCCTACCTTCAAGCTAGTTTCTCCGCTGATTGTACTATAGCGCAAATGTGTAGTAGTTCTAACGTACAGCTGCAACTGAGTTGCACGAGTATTACTGAAAACAACGGTAATCGGGCAGTAGGATGATAGCTTATGAGATTAAAATGTTTAACTCGCGTGTGAGTAAGATCTTATAATTAATTCTTGGTGTAGTCCTTTTGTACACTAATAAAAAAAAGTTACATGTGATATAGCTTTGTAGCCCCTTGTGATTTTAAATGTTTATCAGAGAAGCGAATTAAATTGGATTGGTGAATGCTAAATATTAAACGCTTAATCGTTGAAATAATAATAATGAAAAAAATGGTAAACGCTGATAGTGATGGATGTAGAGAAGTTGGTACAATTCGGAAGTATGTAGAAGACTATTAAAGTTATATATTTTTCTAGTTCAAAATCAAAGACTTCTCATGAGTGTAAAAGGAGTAATATATGGACTTTTTTTTTGAAAGGAATACCTGGTTTAAATTACAAAATCCTAACTTTTATAAGATGCTGTATTGGTTGGATAAATCAATTGCCTTAACTTATAGTTTTCATTTTTCAACATATCTTAATAGGTAAGCTCACTCGTCCCATCAATAACCGAAGCTATTTTTTTTAGTACCGGTGTGTATTTCTACACAAAATACACGAAAGAATGAAATCGTTCCACAAACTTCAATCAGTAAAACTACCATCCATGAGTAGATACCGTCGAAAACGAATACCTTCGAATTTATTACAATGAGCGAAATTTACCTTAAATTCGACAAATTTTACCCTACCACAGAAAAAAAAAAAATTTAAGAAAAAAGGCCGAAATGCTGGGGGGTGCGTGCCCACTTGCTGGAAGCCGGTCGCGAAGCCAGCAGCTCCAGTTACTGCGTCTGATGTGCTAAAGAAGAGTGAGTCACTGAGTCAATCAATTTGCCAGAAAAAAAAAACTAATTTTTCTAACAAATCTCCTCCTCCTCTTCTTCTTCCTTCATCCACACACACCACCGCCTCCTTTCTTATTCCCTAATTAATTAACTACTTCTCTTCACCCTCTGGAGGCCGCGTCTATATATCCATCCCTCCATTCCCATAAACCAACAAAACACAAAGCCAAGTGAGAGTGAGCTGAGAATTGAAGTCGACGGCGGCAGTCGACCCTAATTGCAGAAAGAGAGAGAGGAGGCTAGGTAGAGAGTATGAGCAGAGAGGAGGAGGAGAAGAGCGGTGAGGCGGCGGAAGGGGGAAGTAACAGCTGCAGTGGCGGTGGGAGCAAGGAACTGGCAGTCGGTGGCGGAGGAGGAAGGGATGTTGCTGCTGTTGTTGGTGATGACGAGGATGAGGATGATCACGAGCATGACATGGTGATGCCCGGGTTTCGATTCCACCCGACGGAGGAAGAGCTGGTTGAGTTCTACCTTCGCCGTAAGGTGGAGGGCAAGCGCTTCAACGTCGAGCTCATTACTTTCCTCGACCTTTACCGCTACGACCCCTGGGAGCTCCCAGGTTCCACTTCCCTTCCCACTTCCTTTTCCTATCTGTCTGTATCTAGCTAGCTATTTGTCTCCTACCTTTACTTCCCTATATATATATAAAGTAATACCCTTTCCTCTCCAAACCCTCTCAATTCTAGTGGGTTTTTGGGGAATTGAGTTTGTGGATTGATTGGGTGTTGATTTTTGCATGCATGTGGTGGGGGTTTAATTTGTGTGATGTGCAGCGATGGCGGCGATAGGGGAGAAGGAGTGGTTCTTCTACGTGCCGAGAGACAGGAAGTACCGGAACGGGGACCGGCCGAACCGGGTGACGACGTCCGGTTACTGGAAGGCGACGGGGGCGGACCGGATGATCCGGACCGAGAGCTCGAGGTCCATCGGGCTCAAGAAGACGCTGGTGTTCTACTCCGGGAAGGCGCCCAAAGGGATACGGACCAGCTGGATCATGAACGAGTACCGCCTCCCTCACCACGACACCCAGCGCTACCAAAAGGTTAGCCCAACTATCTTCCACACTCTTTAATCATCATTTTGATTCTCTTGATTAGCGTAGTAACTGATGGTGGTATAAGATTTTGATATGCATCCTTTCCTTCATCTCAATTACCACGCCCCAACCCTAGCTGCAGATTTGGAGGGGCTGAATTTTCCAATGTTTTGTTCGACGATTTAGTTGCCTCTCGACTATAACCCCGTTTTAGTGTTGAAGGAAAAAAAAACGATTGATGTGATGAAGGAAAGAAAAAACGACAAGTGATGGATGGAGATAGGGGAAAATACAAAATCCGGACCTGCAAATTCTTCTGACAGTCAGCAGCTAGATAGATGCATGCTCTCTAATCTATTTATTTTGTTTGCTTTCATTTTTTTCTCTTTCCCGTTTGGTGAATGATAAATCTTCCCCCTCTGACAGTCAGTCCTAAGCTTTGTCTCCGACCCAAACAGATCCTCTATCCCTCCCATGACGTTGTTCTTTTTTTTGAATCAGCCGTTTGCGGTTTGGTTTCTCTCTCTCTCTCTCTCTCCCTCCTCCCAGTTTAAATTTGCTTCACAGAAATTACAGTGTGAGAGTAGTATTTATTGAACGCGAGGGGAAAAGCATGATCTTTTTAATTGCTAGCTGCTGCAGCAGCCATGAAATTAAACGGCTACCCACATAGCTGAGAGGGGAACGGCTAGCTAGCTAGATTGTGAAACAAAACGGGATGAATGATGATGTGCAATGTTACATTTCCCGTGATTATGCTTGCTCTCCCTGGTTAGTAGTACTCATCATTAGTCCTGCCAATGCCATGACTCTCTTCAATTGCATTCCCCCGTGATTATGCTCTTAAATGGTGATCTTAATTCTAGATTAAGTTTTGGAAGCTTAGAGCCCTAGTGCAAGAGACTAAGTTACGGGGGGTTGAGAGTCTAGAATGAAACCATTTTGGATGGTGGTCGGTTCTACTTTTATGTTTTTCTCCTCGAAGTTTTTGGATGAACGAATTAACGTGCCTTTCCGTTTTAGACATTGTTATGGATTCTTTTAATCTTGCTTCGACAAAGAGACCATATATTGTTTAATATATCATACTCGATATATAAGACATGATTGAATTTGAACATATATATAAAGAACATAAACAACGGTTTGATTTTGGATCTTCGAATCTTGCGGATTCTCAAGTTGCTGTCTTTTCCGTTCACTATCATATGGTTGATGTATAACTCGTGAGAATTTTTTAGTGAATTATTCCATAACTTTAGTCAGTTTCTGGCATCGTAATTTTTTCAAGTTGCTGTCTTTTCTATTCACTATCGTATATATGCCTAGCGAAAATTCCTGGTTAAATATTCCACGAGTGTAGTCAGTTTCTAAGTCATATACGTTTGTATTTGTCGATCCTAACTTACACGAAAAAGCGCATGTTACATTCACTTGCAGACGGAGATATCGCTTTGTCGGGTATACAAGAGAGCCGGAGTGGAAGACCACCACGGCGGCCCCTCTCTCCCACGCTCACTCCCTTCAACCAGAACACCTCACCATCATCACCACCATCATCAAAAACAACAACACTTGGGCGCATCCACCTCTAATTCCTCCTCCTCAACCTCCAACAAACACCACCACCACCACCACCTACAACAACAAACTCCACAATACCCACAGCTCAACCTTCAACAACCCTTCACCCAAGTCCTCATGGATGTCGACAAGCTCACCTCCTCCTCCTCCACCTCAACAGCAACCCTAGAAAACACCGCCGCCACCGCCGCCACGACTCTAGGGTTACTACTTCCCAACCACATGATCACACTCGCCACCACCACCGCTGCCGCCACGCTGCAGGCACCAGCACCCCCACTTCCCCCGCCGCCGCCGCCGGATGAAGTGGTGGCCGACGAGCAGTTCCTCATCCTAAGCGGCAGTAACCCTAACAACAGTAACGACAACAACAATAGTAACACTACTACTCTCAATGCTTTGGATGATCTACACCGGCTGGTGAACTTCCAGCAGCAGCAGCAGCAATACTACACCTCACTACTTCAACAGCAACAGCAGCAGCAGCAAATGATGTTCCTGCCGCCTCCACATCAGCAGATGCCGAGCTTTAGCAACAGCAGGTCGCCGCTGCAGATCTGGGAGTGGAACAACAACAACAACAACGTTGTTCCCATCCCGCCGCGGCCTGATCATGACGAAGATCATCAAGCTAATGATAATGATCGAGTTGGAGGTCATGGAACGTCTGGTGATAATCATAATCATCACTACGACGTAAACCGATATTAAAAAGCATCCCTTCAAGAAGTGAGCCATCAGCAGCCTTAATTACGTGGGATTAAACTTAGCTAATAGCTACGAATATTAGTCAAAATTCTACCAATCAATCACATGCATGGCGTACGTACGTGTTTAGTTATTTGTGTGTGGTAATTAGCGCAGATATATAAACTCAGCTTTCTACGACTTAGACGCATATATATATATCCTTTAATTACATGCCTGGATACACCTCTTAATTGCTGCTGCCTCCTGATCATAAGATTACTAATATTCTAGCTACCCTTTCTGATTACTTGTAATTAATACCAGTCCGGTAGCAGGGAATGGCTAGCGCTTAATTAGCTAGCTTCTCAATTACCTGATGATGACTTGAGCACCAGTGTTTTGTGGTCATGCACCAAAACAGACTATATATACCTTGATATGGATTGGTATATTTTTAGCTTTATGGATTAGGGTTCATGCATGTCTTTCATGATCAATATGCAATAAACTATCTGTATGTTTTAACCTATTTGTTCATCTAGTTCTTGATTGCTACATATTGCACAACAACTATATATGTCACTAAATTCCTGATTGCATTATCACTTGAACTGAATAGTACGTAGTTCTGGTTTAAAAGTACAAACTTTCCTAAGAAATCAACAACCGTGAATTGAGTGCTTAATTACCTCTCCACCATGCTTGCTCATGCACTTACAGCCTGTTTGGATAGACAAAAAAAAAAATCTGAGGAATTGGAATTCCTGAATTTCGAAGGATGAGAAAGTTGAGAAATGAATTCCATTTAGGCTAAGTTTCGAGAATTACAATTCCTATCAAAAGTGATAGGAACCGGATTTATGAAGATGGAATTAGTGGGTCTCATCAGTGTTTATTATTATTTTATTAACCAACTATCACTCTACTCTCTTTCTCTATCATTCATATTCCATTTTCCGAAATAAAATAAATGTATTACATTATTAATTATTGTTAAAAGTGCAATTCTTTTCTATAGTTGTAGGAATTATACCGAATACTAAAATTGGAAATGGAATTCTATAAAAATAGGAAATGGAAATAGAATTCCATTTCCATGTCTTCCTGAATTGTATCCAAACAGGCTGTTAGTAGTCACACGGGTACTAATGCGACTTGTCCATCAAGGTCAATACAGTTGCCATTCCGCGCGAACAATGAAACTGTCATAAACCATCTGATTCCAATAAGTTGAGATTGTTGAGAGGTTCCCCTTATGAATATTAACCACTTCCTTACACGTCCCTTCAAGCAAGACTGATCAACTCGCGATCGCGTGCCATGAGTTTGAAGTTTGCACAGGTATTCTCATACCGTGTGTTTTAAGATAACAGCTAATATTAATTAACAGACTACACACTCCCACAATACAACTCCAAGGTATATATATATATAGCTCCACATCAAGGTGATGAGAAATATAGAAAGTACAGCGTACCAACAGATCCACCATACATCCCATTATCAAGAAAGGAAGAAAAAAAAAACGAATGTAGTCAGTAAATTATATGGTCATACTGTCAACATAAGAAAGACAGACACATAACAGTTTACAAACTGAAGAACCAAACACACAAAATTGAAGATTGAAAAAACAAATGATATGACAACATGCATCTCAAAATATGTCAAGATTTTGCACAGAGACTATCTAGCAAACCTGATAAAAAAAAGATTTACGATCCTTCCATGATTTCAGTTTCCATCGAGGAGAGATTCAACTCAGCGGCTCCTCGCTTGCAATTAATTCCATCGGGACCAGGACAGCAATGTATCTAGGGATGTCAATCCAACCCGTAATCATGGGTACCCTACCCGACCGTAACTGGTCAACGAGGGTAATTACCCGCTTTGACGGGTTAAGGGGCGGGTACGGGTAATACCCGGTTTCAAAATAAAGGATAGGGTACGGGTATGGTAATCGATAATACCTGCCTCGTTATACCCGCTAACCAAAGGGTCAATTTGCCTTGAGAAATTTAGTTTAGCTTGAGAAATAGAGTGTAGCTACCATTATTGATGATGAAGATGTAGACGATTATTATGTTTGTGTAGATTATAGAAGCAAGAACAATTATTATGTGTTTGTTGTTTTTATTTGTGTGGATTGTTGAAGTTAGAACAGTTACAAGTATTGAGAATTTTTAATAGACAATAGTATATGTATGTGCATATATGTGTTTAAGTTCATAGTTTAGAATTCATACCCATGGTTACCCGAATACCCGTGGTTAACCGGTGGGTAGGATATGGTTATATAATTTTTATACCCGGTGGTTATTTGATCGGGTATTTTAAAAGGCTCTACCCGACAGGTTAGGAGTTGGTATAGGGTAAACCCGCACCCGACCCTACCCATTGCCATCCCTAAATGTATCACTCCCACTTTGGTTCTAGCTAGGTTGAGCCCTAATTAAGAAGTATGAATTGAACGCAAATTTGCCCAACTGGAGTTGTTTTACGTAAATATATTGGGCTAAGGGCCTTTATAAATTGGACCAGGGCCGAATGGGCTTGAGCTGCGGCCCAACACAGAAGAAGGAATGTGCTCCTTTTAAGTAATCAAACTTTTACATAAATCTTTGTTTACTTTTCAGACAACCAGCCCGTCTAGCTCAGTTGGTAGAGCGCAAGGCTCTTAACCTTGTGGTCGTGTGTTCGAGCCCCACGGTGGGCGTTTCATTGTTATCTCTTTTTTTTTTCCCTGCAGCTGCCACTACATGTTCTCATAGTTGCTGTGTGATCAGATGCCTTCATCATTTCTTTCTCTCTTTTTCATTCGTTGGTGGTGGCCCGGCCGCCTGCCAATATAACCTTGATCGTCCGACATATAACACCTATCCAAGCAAATACTCTGCCGCAGGAAATCACGTACGCTTGCTGCTAAGACCAGAAAATGGTGATCATATTACTGCTTGATCAGTAACCAGTTGGTAGTGTGCTACCACAGCTGGTTTCCAGTTTCCACGGCTATATATGTACCTGGAATTAAATTTGGTCGTAATCAGTCATTGCTTCTGGTAGAAATGTCGACACAGGAGACAAAGATGATGAAACCGAAAGGACCCATGTTACGAAATCTTGACATGGTGGAGATTGAAGAATGAGAAATTGCTAGCATAAAACTGTATTGACATAAAATTCAGAACAGAGAGGGGTGGGGAAATTGCACATGAAAAGCTATGGTAGACACATATGAGATATGATTGAAGAATGTGTTTAATGCTTATGCTTATCTGACATCATTGTCTCGTTTCTGAAAACCACACACCATAGACCAATGAAGCTAACTTTTACATCATAAACAGAGTATCAACAGCAAATAGGTTTTCATGCCTTCTAACATGGATTGCATTACCATACCTACAGTTCCTCTCTGGGTAAAATTTTAATACATTAATCGAGTCATACCATGGCAAGTGGTCTATTTATGCTTGAACATTCAGAATGTATTTTTTTTAGTCTGACCATTTCAGAATGTATTTTTTTGCTAAGATGTCATGCCCTTTGTATAAGCATAAGAGGTGTGCTGAGTCTGTAACCAAGAACTCTAGTATAGTATGTGTGACCAAAATCTCAACACATATTAGGCATGAATAAATTACCACTAGAGAGTGTGTAACACTGGTGTATGTAGATATCCAAGGAGCACCAAGGTAAAGATTCAATAATAAAGTGTGAAGGGCTAGATTCTTAAATAGATATCTTAATCAGCTAATGGAGATGAATTGATGACAAATATGGTCAATACACTAAAATACTAGCGTAGGCCCCGGCCATTTGGCCGGAGGAAGGTGAGGTATGAAATTTGATAATGTAATGGGGTGTATAGCTTATTGTTTTATATTTTTTTTTTTTTTGAAACACGTGATAAAAATAGTGAACTTTAGTAGGAAAGAGACATGAATGATGCAACGAATCAAAAATCATCCTTATGAATCAAAATCAAGTACCTGTTACCTTGTGAAACAATATTGTTTCACGTAATATGATGAGGTGGAGTAAGTTTTATAGAAACCGAATTCTAGAAAATCGAATAAAAAATCGTCTATCCCGCCGGTTTTCGGGAAATGAGCATATCACAATCATTGCTAGCTTTTACTCGGCCCGTTGGCCGATTAATTTGCTTTATAAAACTTTCATCTTGTCATCATTGTGTTTTCTGGTTTTTTGCCAAACCATGATAAAATCTAAAGAAATCAAGAATGAATAACACGATTTGGGATAGGAACCACCGTTCCTGTATCCCTAGAAAATGGTGGTAAACACGGACTCACCTGGCAAACTGGTTTGGATTGAGATTTTTATCAAGTATCATGGGACCATGTGATTATAAATTAGACTTGATCAAAACGGGCCAAAACTTGAAATTCAGCATGTTTGACCGACCCATTCCAAACTCTAATTATTCTTTACTTTTAAACTTTCTATTTGAAAATAAAAAATAATGAAAGAAAAGAGATAACTGCAATTCGCCATTTCCACATCACTGATTCGGGAATAAAACTATAGAATTTCAAAAGGAAACTGAAAATGTTTAGGATCGTTTTAATGTTAAAAATAACCAAATAGATCTTTCTGTTTAGTTTTTTACAAACAAAAACCAAACGATTCCCTATAATATACAATATAATTTAATCATTATGATATCAAATAATTACATAATATATATTTGAAATGATAAAAATTGGACTAACTGAGTTGGTCGAGGTTGAGCCATTGAATAACTTTAAAATACATTATATTTTAGCCACTAAGATATAAAATAATAGCATAATATATATTATGCTAGAGAAAATAGCTTGTTTTAGAATGGAAACCCATGATGTTCATTTGTTTTACTTGATGGGCAAATCCCGTGTAGGTCAGACCCATTAAACTCTTTTATTTTATGATTAGCGGTTAGCCCATTAGAATCCATGCATTAGTTTATTGTTAACTTTCTTCTTTTTAGCAAAAAAAAGGAGTATTGTTTTTGCCTTTTCACATATATTTTACCACCACGGAGAAATAAAAGGACTTAAAGAAAAAAAATTGACACTCCTGGACTCGTTTAAATCCGCATGTGTACGGTAAGTTGGCCCGTTCTACAGAGGAAAATGAAAAAAATTGACACTCTCTATTCTACCCTTCCTACAAATGCTCCTAGAGCAGGGAATTTGAAATGGGGGAAGAGTTTTTTCCTCTCTACGATTATATGTTTTTAATATAAAAAGATACAACAAATGTACTTAGTGTGATTGGTTATGATTTTTTCTTTTCTTTAAATTGGTCATGGTTCGAATCCTAGTAATTGTCTTTTTTATAAATAAAAAAAAGTAATTGTGAAGACCAAAATGTTCTTCCTACTTTCACTCTGGATGCAGGAAATTTGAAATGGGGCTTCAAGTTTTCTCATTTGGCTTTTATTTATTGTGTAGATATAAGACAAACTGAGCACGGAAATCCAATTTGGAACAAGTTAAGCACTAAACTCGGTCTAATCAGTCAACTCACGAAATATGTACGAATATTCTTCAAGTTAAATTTTAGCTTCTGTTTGGCAATTTAATCCGTGTTAACTCCAAGTTAATAGTTTGTTTGTAAAACTATCATAATTCTATTTTCTTCTTACCCAGATTCTAATACCAACGATGTGTTGTGATTATGCACTTAATTAGGAACTACTCAGAGATTTTTGTACTATTATAGTCCTTTTGTTATGATTTTATTTCCCTTTCCATAACATGTAGGTTTGGTTAGTGAAATTTGGAACATCATGTCCTACTATGTTTTATAACTCTGACATTTCTTAGGGAAGTCTCAACAAATTTTTTTATACCAAATATTGGATCTCGATTTGTCATATAGAGTGTTTTAGTTATTCTAAATACGAGTTCGATACTTGATGTGTCGTAACTCTTCGAGTTAATGACCTTCCTTGACTTAGCCGTAACGAAGACATAAAACTTTGTTGGTACATATAATCTTTTCCCTTTGTCTTTTTAAAACTTATAGATAATCTTAATCATCTTAGTAATGAATTGGCCCTTTGAAACACATCACATTTCTTTTCTTCGTTCTATTCATTCAAAATGTTCAACTTATTTCTCCTCCTTAGATCTCTGTTTACCAAACATAATTGAATTATGTCATACTCATTTTATATTAAGTTCAATCAAAACCAACTTATTCTAGCAAAAGAAGTTATTCCTAATTGGATAACTCTCTCAATAGTTGGAAGGATTGAAATTTTTTTATGCCAAATTAACAAGCTATTTATTTCCTTCAAAGTTATCGGTTGCGAGTAATAATTTGGTGCACGTCAAATTAACAAGCTATTTATTTCCTTCAAAGTTATAGGTTGCGAGTAATAATTTGGTGCACGTCGGATTAATTTTTTTTTTTAAATGGATCGAAACACACTTTGAATTTAGAGGTAAAACTAAAATATGCTTTGATTGATTAAATTATCAAATCACAATACATTTATGATTAAGATTCATAAAAATGACATTAAATCAAAAGAATAAATGGGTTGTTCTGAAATTGAATTCAACTTAATCATATAATTTAAAGCTGAGAAGCGATGTATGTAAAACTAAAAACTCGATATTAATAATCTTTTATTTTTATTTTCAAGTGATATGAAGAGAGGAAAAGAGTTATACAAACAAAACTACCTAGGAACCCCCTATAGACACCCTAGTGAAGCCCCCAATAAAGTCGAAAGACTAACTCTAATTGAGACAATAGCAGATTAGCAGTGCTTTAAGCGCCACTCTATTGGCAACACTGTTGGCAGTTACCGCCCTAAACTCTATACAAATTGAGAGTTTAGAATCTGAAGACACTCCGGGAGCACCTAACCTCCTAAGAAATCTGCTAGGACACCTTGTTGGTTTTGATTGACGACCACCTTGAAAGTTTCCTGAAGTCTCGATATTTATAATCTAAAGTTGTAGTTTTCGAACAGTACCTTAACTATAAAAAAACATATTCTTAATAGGCTAAAAAGTAGCCTTCACTAGAACAATGAATGACAATGAGGCACATTTGGGGCGGGTTCCTGAACAATCCCCTTCCCTATTTCCAGAATTCCAAAATTCATACCCGCCCCTATACTCATTTGGAAAAAGGTTTGCAGCTTCATCCCATACTCGCGATTTTTAGATCCACACGTGTACTACTATATATACTTAGAACTAACACAATAAAAATAATTAAAACAGAGCTAATAAACCTAGAATAAACAAGGATATAACAATTGTTAATTCAAATTCAAAGCATCCAAACCTACAACATCCATTAGTTCATAAGAAAATCAATAGTTTAGCATCTAATCATTCAATATTTGTATTTTCAGATATATCCATTATGAAGCGAATATGGTATGGAGCGGGAAACCTAAAACCATATCCGCCTCATCTCCGTTTATTCTTTTGTAGTTTCTATCTATACATTCCTCGTGTTGGTTGCCTCGGGGAGGTCAGTTATCCATGATTTTGGGTTTAATTCTCATTCCTAACTGTACATAAATTTAAAAAGCTTAGGGACTCAATTGCCATAATCCAAAGATTGGTACAGTGGAAGACTAATAAACTAAAAAATCTAGGAGCTAAAGGGAACTTTTCGTATCCTTTCCTCAATAAGAATAAGACTTGGGGACCAATCTATAAAATTACAACAATCAAAATTTCAACTTCTCGTTCTCCCGTCCGCCATAGATTGGATTGACAGAAAGCAACTTCTTCTACCCTCCGTCCTCTCGTCGCTCTCTTCGCCTCTCTCTCTCTCTCTCCTTCCTTCCTCTTTTCCTCCTCCCCCAAATCTGAAACAAATTAAAAACCGCACCAGCGGAACCCTAGCCCTAATTTCCTTAATTCACAATCTTCTTCCTCACCCACCCGACTTTACCTCCAAACCCTAATTCCTTCTCCAGTTTTGTTCCTTCAATTCCCTTTTACCCATCTCGCCTGCATTTCACCCTCGTCTGTGTCTGCTCACAGAACCTCACTGTGGGAGACTGAGAGCGATTCACGCAACACACCGAACAGCACAAGTTTTTTTTCTCCAGCTCAAAGAACACGGCATGGAGGGGATACCGCACCCAATACCTCGGACCGTGGAAGAGGTCTTCGGTGACTTCAAAGGCAGGCGCGCTGGCTTGATCAAGGCTCTTACTACAGGTCTCTTTTTTAGCCCACCTCTTCCGAATCTGTTTTTCCCCCCATTTTGTTGTTAAGCTTCGTTGGTGTCTTGTTACTTTAAACGCCCTAAATCTCCTCTTTCTTTGGCTTTTTTTGAGTTTTTGGGTTCTCCAATTGGCTTAAGTCTTGCCTTTATTTTTTATTGGACGTCTGGGTCTTTTTCTTTTACATGTAATTCTCTTAATTGTTTTCCCCATTTTTTTCTATCGCAGATGTCGAGAAGTTCTACCATCAGTGCGACCCTGGTGGGTTCCGGTTATCCGTTCAAATTTCTGTCTAAATTGTTTATTTTTATGAAGCTCCCGAATATTCGTTAGTGGCTTCCTGGGGTTCATATGTACTTTTTGTGTTCGCCCCTGGATCGCAAAAAATGCTTTTCTAGGTGTTGAAAGTAAACTTGTGTGGTTATCTTGTTTGCTCTGGTGTTCTTTTAATGGGGTTCTCTGCATAATATTGGCCGCATTCAGCATGAAAGTACTCAAGTCTCTTATATTGAGCCCCTGTGCGGGACTCACTTATTACTGTGCGGAAAGTTTGTGTTAATGGCACTTCACTTTAGACCTCATGTGGCTAGTTTCATGCTTATGTGTGTAAAGTGCAGGTAGACTTGAGCTATGTAAACACTTATGTAGTCTGTTGGTGAAGGAAATAAGGCAGAATGTAAAATTCTGACCATGGAATTCAGTCGTTTCTTGAATGGATGTGAAGAGTGAATGTTTGTGCACTGAACTATAACAATTTTTAATTGACTGAAGAATAATTGCTGCATCTAGCCTTGGGACATTGTTTAAATGCTTCTGAAACCAAATGAGTATTTGAAACCAAGCAAATGCATTAGTTGTTGTCATTTCCGTCTTTGGTGTGTGTTACCTCCTGTAAATTTAATAGGGCTTCACTTCCGAAAATGTCGGTAAAGGGTTCATTTACTAGTATGAGAAACAGCTAGTTTGTCTTTTAGATGAATCCATTATCCGCATCCACTTATCATGTATTCTCATTCTTGATATCCTCCCTAAGCTTCTGTTTTTCCTCATTATAGTACTTGCTTGTGTGGCTGATTGTGGTGAATTGATAGAGTTTTCTAAATTTATATTCCATTCTGAGTGTGCATGCCTGCAGAAGCTGCATTGCTCCCTCACTTCAAGATACTGATTTTTAGTGAGCAATATAGCATGAGGTGTGCCTTTATGAATGTATGATGTAGGTATGGTTTTGGATATCTGCAGCAATCCTGTACATGTGCGCATTTGGTAAATAATTGGCTGTTATCTCAATCTATATTTTGGCTGGCTTTGGCGACATAGATGCTGGCCAGTTTACCAGTTTTTATGTTTTTTGTACTTTTGACAAGTGTATGGCAAGCTAAAACGTGTTCTGCACTGCTTCTTCCCAATAACCACTTCATGGACATTCATGAACCATGATAATGGTCAAATAGTCACACCCTAGCCCATAGTGGCTGTGGCATCACGTTTTGACTTTTAAGGTTAAGCTCGTCAGGATTTTGTCTTCCAGTTTTTTTTAAGAGATAGTTGTCTGTAGTGTAACCATATGCTTGGTACTCTTTCCTGCCATCCGGTGGAGTTTGTGAACTTTTATCATAAAGGAAGACTTGTTCCCTGTGTTCTAACCCTATGTGGTTCTATGTGCTCTTCTGTCATTTGTTTAGTGTGAAGTTTTTTTTTTTTAGTTGGATGCCTGGTTTGTATTTACAAGTCCAATTTAGTTCATGCTGTCCCTGATGGCCTGATTTTTCCTTAACAGAGAAGGAGAATCTGTGTCTTTATGGGATGCCAAATGAGACATGGGAAGTTAACTTGCCAGTGGAGGAGGTGCCTCCTGAGCTTCCTGAGCCTGCGTTAGGCATTAATTTTGCTAGAGATGGTATGCAAGAGAAGGATTGGTTGTCACTTGTTGCAGTTCACAGTGATTCATGGCTGCTTGCTGTTGCTTTTTATTTCGGGGCTCGGTTTGGGTTTGGCAAGAATGAAAGGTATGGTTGCATGATGTTTCAGAGCTATTCATTACTGCTTTCTGTTTATTGTTAAATTACCTATGTGTTGTTGGTCGGATTGCCTGTCTCCATTTTAGTAAACTACATCCTACAAAAGCCAAACTGTCAGGCCTAGCTCTAGTGGTTTACATTTAGTGGAGTTGGGAGTCGTTTTGCTGGTATTATGTTCATTTCTCCATGCTTTTAGTAGGGGTACCATATTCTCACTGTCAATCATATTTCATTAGTTTGCACTGCCGTTAGTATTCCATTACCTTCTGATCTGGAAAACAATTTAACTAGGTTAAAGGGCATAATCAACATTGAGGATGGTTATTTGATGTACTCTTAGCTAGGCCACTGTTTTATCCTGTATATTTGTTCACATCTTACAGTCTTTAAAAGTTGTATGCAGTTCAGTAGCCGCATGATTGTCGTCTTGCTTATTTGACCTTCCTAAGTAGAATGGGAAGATGTAGATGAACTGCCTTTTATCCTTCTCCCTATTTCATCTTCCCTTCTGATTTTTTATTTATTTATTTCGGGTGTAACCAAACTCTCATAGGATTGCCAATTGGGTTTCATGTATTCTCTTTCTTCCTTGTTATATTTGTTTGGTGAGTTAGGACATTAGGAGGTAGGGGGTTTGAGTGTGGATAAGTTGGAGGGACGTGGATCAGATCAGTATCTCAAATGTCTCTCTCCATTGCTGAGGAAAAGGCTTAGTTATGGTTTCATTGATGAGCTTGACTCATTAATATCTGATACTGGGAGTTCTTCTTTCATTATGAAGGCTGATAAAATTGATTGTAAGCTTGCTTGCCTATTAAGTTTCATTTGTGACTCTCACCTAATGTGAACCTGGCCGAACTGAATACACTTTTTCCCAATTTTGACCTTGATCTTTGGGGATTTTGATTCGCAGGAAGAGGCTTTTCCAGATGATAAATGAGGTCCCCACAATATTTGAAGTAGTGTCAGGAAACGGCAAGCAACCAAAGGACCAGTCTGCAACTCATAACAACAGCAGCAGTAAAAGCAAATCAAGCTCAAAGATGGTAAGAGAATGAGGTTGACGTGTCTTGCAAATTATCATCTCTGGATGCCCAATTTTATTGCTAGAAGAACTCGTTTCTCATCGCGAACTGGGTTCTTCTCTTGTTGTATGTATGAATTTAAAGCAAGCTCGGCAACCGGAGCCCCTCACAAAGGCAGTGAAGATGTCTCCACCGCCAAAGGACGATGACGAGAGCGGGGAAGACGAGGAGGAAGATGATGAACAAGGTGCAACCTGCGGAGCATGCGGTGAGAGCTATGGAACGGACGAGTTCTGGATTTGCTGCGACGTATGCGAGAGATGGTTCCATGGCAAATGTGTGAAGATTACACCTGCAAAGGCTGAGCACATCAAGCAGTATAAATGCCCTGGATGCAGTGGCAAGAGGGCAAGAGTTTAGGCATCATCACCATCATATTAGTAGCTGGAGGAAAGCTTTGGGGTTGGAGGAATTCAGTTGGTAGGGTGGGTAGTAGAAACCTTTTTCCTTATTCTAATCCGTCTGTTGCAGCCTTTAAAAAGTTGATGAAACTTAACCAAACCGGCCCCAATTTAGGCGCCCATTTTAGTTCAGGATCAGGGATGACTCTGGAGATGTGTTTGAATTTTCGTCTTTTTTTTTATTTGTTATCTTGTTAAGTGTCTATGGGTTTTCCTTTATGTCGAAATTTTTTCGGGTTAATGTGTTTCATCTCTAATGTTGTCGGGAATCTGTTGTTTTTCTATTAGTTGTTGGGACTTGAACCCTATTATTATAAATAGGTGGTGACTACATCGTGTCATGTTATTATATTGTTGAATGACTGTCTCTTTGTTAGCTTCGAGCGTTCTGGTTTATGAACTCTGCTGCTGCTGCTGCTGCCTTACCAACGGTTTGGTTTATCCATGTTGAATTCATAGTATCAGAATCACTGATGAATTCTGTTCGCTCCATTTTTTTCTTCCACTTTGGGGTTGGCTTTCTTTGTAAGAGAGAGAGGGAGGGAAGACCTGAAAGTACAGGAGGATCAAATCTCTGCTGCAGGCCAGAGAATCATATAGATGCTGTAATTTGCTTACATTGACTTCTGTCCTGCCTTTTTGAATTTAGGATTGTTATCTCTACACATCCATGGGATTCTCTTACATTTCCTTTACATGGAAATCCTGACAATGGACCAGTCCATGGAAATGATGAGTTCCTTATAGCTTGCCTGCTAATTTGGAAAAATTTTAGCTGCAGGTTGTTTCTGAACTTTTCTGCAGATTGTTTATGAACATTTATTTCTGGGAAGGTTGAAACAAGTTCTGAATGCTTTGTTTGTTCTGTACACCAGTCTATATGTGAATTGGGGACTGTGTGTGTGAGAGAGAGAAATGTAGTACAGATCAGATCTTCCAAGAGTCAGAAGACTGAAGTTATACTGGCTTCCATTGAACATATATAATGCTTTTGATGGCCATAAGACCTGGCACCAAATCAACACCCCCAAATAACCATCAGGAAAGCTGTTCAAGATTGGCCTTACTTGATTACCCTTGGCGAAACAGTAACAATCGAACATGCAACCCCATCTGCTGAAGTGAAACTGCTGTGGAAGCAAAACTAAAATGACTAATATCGAGTTTGGTAGAGAAACAAACACGACGGATATGACACAGTACATCAAATCACTAAGAGTCTAAGACAATGAAAGGATAGCTTAGTTTCTGAAACAGATCACCCTAAAGTAGCATCAGCAAATTCCCACAATCCCACTGAATCTTCATTACCCATCAGGCCCTAAAGATATGAACATGAAAAACCTTGTCCTTCATATCAACGAGCTCCAACAAGCATACATCTCCTTGGACCAAGTAATTGGCCTGACAGAACTCACCCCAACACAGGAACAGCAGGACCTGTTTGTGGTTTCTGGTGGTACAAATCTCGAATTCGCCCACGAATTCTCCCCCCTCAAAGGCACGCAGCACTATCGTTTCAGAATCTCTGCGGAAGTACTCCTTGGCGAACTTCGTGGGAAGGTACTACATATTCAGGGGGGAAAAAAAAAGAACCTCTCATTAAGGTCAAGTAGAAGAACATAAACCATAAACGAAACAATTCGATTCTTGTCATCATATTCCATTTCAAGCAAACAAGTAGATATCTCTGCTACTGCTAATAAGCTAAAGAACACCTAAACCAACAATTGAAATAGTACATTGCTGCCTCTTCACAATCATACTTATCAAAAAGAATATCAGACCCTTCTGGTTTTCATAGGGAGTAAGAGAAAGACTTTACCATAATGCCTGGATGGATATTGAATTTCTGCATGACCATTAATACCGAAGGGTTCCCTTGCTTGTTGCAAGAGATGGCCTTTTCTATCCCTTTCTTGCTCACTCGAGACAACTTCGCGAAAGTCAGCTGGAACTTGGCCGAGAACATGATCTTCGATGCCAGCAGCCTGCTCCACAGAACTTTGTCCCGCCCTGATGCTCCACCAAAGAAAAGGAATGTAATGATTTCATTTCATGGTAAAAAAAACAAACCTTTTTACTGGTTTTCGTTTCATTACCTGAAGCAGTTTCAAGATAGCGTGTTGCTGCACTGGATTGTGTTGGCTGGTGGTGTCGAGACCCTGAAGCGCCATTGCTGCTCCCCGCCGCTTGTTTTCTCTTTCTTTTGCCCCTGCCTACTTCCCAGTCATCGGCAGATTGGGAGTCCTCTGTAGCACCATCACTATCCTCCTCCGTCGGAATTGGCCGCTTTCCCCTGTTTCGTTCCCCTGCTGCTGCTGCTGCCAATGTCAGATCACCGTTATACCAAATGAAAACTGTTTCTAAGATTCCAAAACTCTGTGGGAATAAGAATTTGGAGTATGAACTTCTATCACAGTAACATAGAATTAAACCCAGCCCAAAATTGCTACTGAGGTGGTTTGATCAAGCTAATTTCCGGCCGGCGGGAGCTTTAACTGATTTTTACCTGAAGAAGTGCCGGCGGATCGTTCCGTGGGTGGTTTCCGGCGAGACCCTGAAGCAGTACGGCGTCTGCCGTTTTCCCTCCGAGGAAGCATACGGGGGACTTCTTCATTGGTGTCAGAATCAGAATCTTCATCGGTCTCCTTGGTACCAAAGTCCAAATCGGTGCTTTCTTCTTCCTCTTCCTCTTCATCATCGTCTTCTTCATCGGAAGAAGATGACAGAGGTATTGGGCGCGGGTACACAATCTCGCAAGCAGACTTGTCGCAAATAATCACTTTGAAACTGGAGAAACCATTATACTCAAACATCAGCAGATAGCCCTGGTCGGTGATGGAGTAATAATCCAGAAAATGGCCGAATCCGAAATCCAGCCACGCTTGCGGTTCTCCGTGTTCTCCCCGTTCTCTTGTCAAACCCACCGTCCAAACTCTGCCGGTTGGTACTTGCAGCTGCACTTCATCGTAAAGCTCGTTTCTGAAAGTCCTCACAAACCTCCCCGGCAGCATCTGTAGCGTCGAGAAAAAAAAAAGAGAAGGGTGAAACGAGAACAGAGTACGAACTCAAATTCAGGGGAGGTTAAGAATGCAAGAAGAACAGCGAAATAGACTAGCTTTCTCGGTTGGGGCTTACCAGTTTCTTGCTTTGAACGGCTCCTGCCATAATCACCTTGAAGAAATGCCTGAAAGGCTGGTGGGTCTCATGGGCCCCGGAGAACTCCCAACGGTAGCCTGCCATTTTCCCTTAGACAGAGTGTTGGCTTAAGCTATTATGCAGTCGTTATGCTTGGAAAGAAGAGGGTGTTGCGTTGATGTAACAGTGTCAAGGGAATGGAAATCAGGGGAAAGAGAAGAACAAGAAGAGAAGTGATCCTTTAATTGAGCCTCACTGTCAAGATATAATTAAGGATGCTCTGTTTCCCCCCCCCCCCCCCCCCCCCCCCCCCCCCCCCCCTCTTTTGCTCTGTTTTATTGCTGTTGAAGAGAGGGGGTAGTAAGCTTTCTCAGAGTTGTCGTCACAACTATAAGCTTGTAAGTCAATGAACTTAGACCAGCTGCAGCTGATGCAATAGCCATTAGTGTCAGTGGCTACAGATTTCCTTCTTCTCCAAAAGTGTCAGTAGCTAGCATTCCAGTTTGGGCAAGTTTCAGTCCAGACACCAGATTTATGAGCAACTTTGCAGGCCTTTCTCTGATCGGCTGGCTGCCTGTCTCTCTGCCAAGAGAGAGCGAGACCAGATATGTACGCTACAAAGGATCAAATCCCGGGTGCAGGGCAGACGAGATATGGTAAAAGAATTTGACTGCTATTTCAGTGGGATTTAACCACCTGAGTCTAACACCAACTTGGCAAAATAGCAGCGTGTAAGTACCTAAACGCATCAATGTAACTTCTTGGGTTACAATGGTTAAGGAGGAATAGGAAGGATGAATTCGAACCCCTAAACAGAAAAACCCAAACGAGTCCCTTCTAACTATGGGCACAACAACACTATACACCGTACTCAGCTCCTTCACTTGGCCACGGTTCCACTTTTACTGTTGGGAGAAGATTCGGGCTCGGCCTTGGTTCATCGAGAACCCGAAATATGATCACTTTGAAGACGATGTTGATGGCATCAACCAGCTCGAAGATGCAGACATCCCCTTCTTCCAACTTGTTTTCGCACACAAACTGCGACCACCCTTTGGTTAGCTCGCTTTGGCCTAGCGATGTGCTGCACTGGACATACCATTGTTCCCCACTGCCTACTCGGAGAGTGATGTTCCCAGTGAATCCATCCAAGTACTGCTGCCTAAACCGAGATGGGACATGCTGTCACGAAATGTCATACGAGGATGTTAATCAATTGGTAGTTGTTACAGCTTCAAATCTCAAGAAAGTTGGAGCCAAACTTTCAACTCACAAGTAGAAAGCCATCGTACACATCGGATGGTCTCAAGACAATCTGGAAGAAAGGGTAACTCGGCCTGTACATATTTGCAGCACGAACCGTTCTCATTTTTTCTTCCGCTCTTACATCTCTCCACCTCCTTGTGGACAAACTCGGTTCGAATTGTGCACCACCTCCTGTGTCATTCAACAATGTGCGATGCAATTTTTAATAAATTGAATTGGGTAAACAAGTCGAACCGAATAAGTATAGCACATAATGGATAAATCTTGGAGTAGATATGAAGCTTACCTGTTTCAGCTGCTTGTGTGTTACTTCTCTTGGTTATTACTCCTACACGACTACCATGTACAAGCTCGCTCTCTGCAAACTGGACATCGACATTGCTCGAAACTCGAACGCTCTTCTCTAAATTGCAGGGATTCCATTTCAAGTCACATTCAGCTTGCTCCTCAACATGATCAGGAGCCAAGCATTGCTTAATCTTATCCTTACTACCCTGCAAATCAGGCTGCCTATTTCTACAAGGATACTTGATCTCAGCAGCTGACAAGTCGAAGATGTTTACTGCGAAAGTCGAACACCCTTGGTAGCTGAAGGTCAAGAAATGTCCTGCCCGAACCGAATAGAATTCCACAAAGTCCATCCAGCCATTGCCGAACCATAGTTTCTCCTTCGATCTTTCCAGCTCTACGACCCAGGCCTCACCATTTGGAGCAGTCAGGATAGCAATCGAAACGAGTTCCGACCCATATTTCTTCACAAACTTGTCAGGGATCCTCTGGTTGGAACCAACCCAGAAATTCAAACGGGAAAACAATAGGGCATATGCCACTATCAGTAATGCGCCTCGCCAAGCAAAGAATCATTAAATCAAACTAACAAACAAAGAACAGCTGAAGTGGAATACAGAATCCCCCACCTCACAAATAGAGCAAAGGTCAAACTCGATTCACCTTCTACACAAACTATTAACTTCACTCATAATAACCCATGCCCACAATTGAAGTAATACCAAACCCCAGATAATTTTCTCGCGCCCAAACCTTTCTCAGCAACCCAAACAAAGCAAACAGGAAGGGGGAAAAAAAGAGGAAGTCTATGCATCAGCTGGGGAGGGAAAGGGGAAGTGAGGCGCACCAGCTTCTTGTCGTCGAGAATAGAAGAGACGATCAGCTTGTAAAACATGCAAGATTTCGTCGACGCCATAGCTGGGAGACGAGAACTCGAGAAGCAACTGACGACCCTTGGTCTTCTTCTGATGGAGCCACAAGTAGTGCAGTATTCTCGGTGCCGGGCCCGAGCTTGAAACTTCCCCGCTCGGCTTGCCTTTTTATTCTCGTTGGTTGCTTGACTTGCTTCAACGTGCAGCGTTATGTTGCTGGTTCATGGTTTTGAACCTTTTGACACATGGGTTTTTGGGTCATTGGAAAGGGAAGATGGTTAGGGAAAGATGGGAATTGGAAATCCTGTATTAAGCAGCCTACCAGAACCACGGTGGTACTCTCGTGATTTAACGGTCCCGATGGTTACATTGGTCGTTTGGATGGATCAATTTAGAAATGAGTCAATTTGATCAATTGACTCGTTTTATAAACGAGGCAATTAAAACAATTTCGAATTACCTGCCCCCACCCCAGGTAATTGAAATTGACTCAAAACGGATCAATTCAAAATAACTCAGGCAGATTGATCCATCCAAATTTTTTGTTGGCAAACGAGGCAATTTGGTACAATTGTCTCAAAACGAGACAATTATGTCAAATTGATCCGTTACAATTCCTCATCCAAACGACCCCTACAGTTTCGTTACCAAGTATACAAAGTGGGTAGTAATTTTTTTTTTTTTTACAAAAGATAATCATACATTGATTCAACGAATTAGATGGCTACATCCTGAAATTGTTCGGAAATCGAAGAACGACTCATAATCAGGTACAAAGAGATGACCTTTTTTAGCAACAGTATGAGCTATCCTATTACTATGCCGACTTACAAATCGAACACTAAACCCAGAATGAGTGTTAAAATAATGGACGACTTCTTCAAGAACAGCACACAGCCGGTTATCTCTGGTGTCAGCCCGATTGATTTTGTCGATGATCACTTTGGCATCGCCTTCCAATCTGATGTTCGTGAAGTTGTGTTCCAGACACCATAAAATAGCCTCTCGGAGTACAAGCAATTCCACCACTATAGGGTCATCAATTAACTGAAATTGAAACTCATTAACCATAAGGATATCCCTAGTCTGGTCCAAAAGAACCATCCCGACCGCCGAATGAGATCCACTCCTAGTGGCCCATCCCACATACAAACAACTCTAGTAGCCCCCACTAGACCCGGTTATTGTATTAGAGGTATAGTAGCCTGAGGAGCTTGGCTTATCAATCCCAATGGTATGTATATAAACAAAGTGAAAAGCCCACCTACCAAGCACAATACAAAGCATCCAAAGACCATAAAAACAACTCACAACACAAACATAACCGTATACATAGTCACATAGAGAACCCCCACAGACCACAACCCTAACCGAATTGTATCTCACAACTTGAATCGCGATAATTGGGGAGGAGTTAAGGCCTTGCCGACTAGTATGTAATTTTACCTACAATTAAAATTTGGGGGGGGGTTGTTGTCTATAGTCTATCCTAGCTTTAACCTAACTCCTTCACTGGTTGTCGATGAAAGCATCTCCACAAGCCAACCACCAACAATGCACAACACCGGATCGAGAAACACCCGATCCACTAGACAGATAAGAAGCAGGATTGCTGGAATTTACCAACTCATTGAAGATCTGAGCAAGACAAAGCACAAGAGAACCATACACTCATCTCCAAAACTAATATTTCTGAGCAAAATACCTTCGGTTGCTTCAGACAGAAATTCACGTAAGAGACGAACTTTTAAATGATGGGCATCTAATGATGAAACACATATATCAAATTCCAGTCTTCTTATCTTCCGATTGCATTATAGGCTATTCGCAGGAGAAGGTTAGTTATTAACATCTTCATATATGTAAAAATTCAATCGTTATCATGCTCGAATTCAATGATGGTCAAATGTATAGGGTCTCAACTTTTATTTTCCATATGTTAGCATGCAAAGCTTGATCCATCCCCCCTTGAATAACGGCTTGTGCCAAATATGCTCCAAGATGAGATCTTGCTAAATAAAAGATAGAAGGTTAAAGACGACGACGGCCAAAAATCATCGCCCGAAAAATCAGGCTGACCAGACCAGAGACCAAACAACAAGTGACGACACCTCCGACTCCCTCCAAGAACATGTTTCTCCTCAATCATTCGCTGCAAAGGGGAAAAGGAAAGAAAGAAAAAACCAAAAACAATTTTTCCCTCCTTTCCTTCTTTCAACTTCGCTCTTTCTCTCTGCATTCGGATTCAACATTTCGGGGCGCCAACTGAAACCCTAGAGAGAGAAACTTACCTAGAGAGAGAGAGTTGGTGATTGAGGATAACGAGCTCGAGAAAAAAAAAAAGAAGTACACTTTCACGTTCACGCGGGGCAGAGAGAGAGAGAGCAGAGCAGAGATTGTTTATCATTCGTATCTCCAGCGGCCCCCCCTCTCTTCTTCCATCTCCTTCTCTGTAAGCTTCACTGACTATAATATCCCCTTCTTCTTCTTCTTCTTCTTCTACTCCATCACTATCTCCCCTCAGATCTGGCAGCCACGTCTCTGTTCTGCTTCCCATCTCTGACCTTCAAATGACCATGATTGAACCTTCTCACTAGCCCTTTGACCTGTCCTTTGACTCCCATGGCGGAGCTCCGAGTATCCGATCCCAGCAGGCTCCACCTCAGAAAAGAGCTGACCCAAATCAGAAAAGCCTCCCGCGTCCTCCGCGACCCTGGCACCTCTTCCTCCTGGAAGAAATCCCCTCTTCCCCCTCCTTCCTCATCTGCCTCCAGATCTGCCGCCGCCGCTCCTCCTCCATCCTCCGATTCCCACAATGCCGCCGAACCCATTTCCGACCGCACTGTCTTCCTCTACAATTGGAAGTCCTCCCATCACAAATCCCTAAATGCGGCTGCTGATGGTGACGGTGACGAAGGTGATTACTACCACGGCGAGTCCTGCTCCCTGCAGGAACAGAGCATCGACGGCAGCCTCACGGGGGAGGACTCCAGGAGCGAAACCCATGCATTCTCCTCCTCCGCCGCATCCAAGATTCTCCGCTGCCGCGAAGCCGCAGCTCTCGTTTCTCCATCGATTAACAAGCGAGCTGCTTCGAACAAGAAGCAGCGGGGTAAGAAATTTGGTGCTACCCGGTCGGATGTTTTGTCTAGATATAGCCACCACAACCACAAACCCCACCTTAATTTGACACCATTGCTTAGAAATCATCCTTCTCTGGCTTTAGCCCTAGGCAGCAGGGATGGGACTTCCGTTGACCATTCCGATGCTACAACCGAGGACTATGGTTATGCTCGTTCGGAGGATTTGAGGAAGTTGCCTTCTTCCGCTTCCCCATTGCTGTCGAAGCTTAGGAATAAGAACTGGGCTCGTTCGCCTGCTGCGTTTTTGAAGAAGGGTAGTCAAAAGGAGGAGTCTTTTTGCTCCTACAACACGCCTGCATTGTCTACTAGCTCGTACAATCGGTATTACAATCGTAACGCGAGTACTGTTGGATCTTGGGATGCTACCACGAACGATGGAGTGGATGATGATGAGGAGGATGAGGAGAATTTGGATTTGCCAGGTGGTCATGGATGTGGCATTCCTTGCTACTGGTCGAGGAGGACGCCGAGGCACAGTAGAGGGTCGTGTGGTGGTAGTTGCTGCTCTCCTTCGCTCTCGGATACATTGAGGAGGAAAGGAAGTCGGATTCTTTGTGGTGGTAGTCAGTCGATTGGTCATCGATCGAGGCATTCGTTATCGGTGTCTAATAAGCGGAGGATGGCGTCGAGAAGTGCTCAGGGAGTTCTGCCATTGCTGGCTGGTGGCAGAGGGGGATCATCGATTGGTACTGCTTGCAGTGCCAGTGATGATGAGCTATCTACAGCAAACTATGGGGAGCTTGATTTGGAGGCCTTGAGTAGATTGGATGGGAGAAGGTGGTCAAACTGTAGGAGTGCCGAGGGACTTGAGATTGTTCCAGTGAATGGAGGAGATCTTGAAGGGGAAACTAGTCCAGAAAGTATCAGAAGTTTCAGCCATAAGTACAATCCAGTCTTCTTCAGTGAACTAATTGGCCAGAACATTGTTGTTCAATCTCTTACGAATGCTATTTCACGGGGGAGGATTGCCCCGGTCTATCTTTTCCAGGGACCTCGCGGAACTGGGAAAACATCAGCAGCCAGGATTTTTAGCACTGCTTTGAATTGCACTTCTACTGGCGTAACTAAACCTTGTGGGCACTGTTCATCTTGTGCTGACTTCGTTTCTGGAAATAGCAGGTCTATGTGGGAATTTGACGGGACAAGTAAGCAATGTGCTGATAAAATGCGATACCTTCTCAAAATGGTTTCTCAAGCTCGCCAATTGAGCTCTTCACATTATCAGGTGTTTCTGGTTGATGAGTGTCACCTGCTGCCATCTAAGTTGTGGTTGGCATTCCTCAAGTTCCTTGAGGAGCCACATCGGCGTGTGGTGTTCATATTCATCACAACAGATCCTGACAACGTGCCACGAACGGTGCAGTCCCGATGTCAGAAGTACCAGTTTAACAAAATTAAAGATGCAGATATTGTATCGCGATTGAGGAAAATTTCTAGTGAAGAGAATCTGGATGTCGAATCCGATGCACTGGACCTTATAGCTATGAATGCAGATGGTTCGCTTCGAGATGCTGAGACTATGTTGGACCAGTTGAGTCTTTTGGGGAAAAAGATAACTACATCATTGGTGAATGAACTTGTAAGTTCTCTATGCAGAACATAATGGTCCATCTACTCTGCTTTAATTTTTGTAATTTTGACTTAGTCATTTCTGATACGGGAAGTTCCTTGATAAGCTCTTTGCAGAATACCTACTAGTTCTAACTCTGAACAATGTCTTGGAACTTGGACAATTGCGGTTTGAAACTCATAACTTTTTGCATCTGTAGGTTGGAGTTGTCTCAGATGAGAAATTACTGGAACTCTTGGAGTTGGCATTGTTATCAGACACTGCGGAAACAGTGAAAAGAGCCAGGGATTTGATGGACTCAGGGATTGATCCTATGGTATTGATGTCTCAATTGGCTAGCCTTATAATGGACATCATTGCAGGAATTGGCAATGCAGGTGATGCCAGATCCAGCAATTCATTTTTTGGTGGAAGAAACTGTGAGTACGATGCTTATTTGAAAATTTTGGATCATTTTAGAATTGTCTGTTAACAAATTAAGCTAAGATCTTGAGAGATTGAATGGTTTTGGTTTCGTCTTTTGCATTTTGTTTAGTTGCTCAAGTAATTTACTCAAAATACGACAGTTTAACTATGTACTACCCATAATTTTATCAGTGCATGTTTGATGGCAAATTTTTGTTCATGTGTGTCAGAGTATGGCAGGATACTAATAGTTGCTCTGTCTTCGAACTGTTCTGTAGTGACTGAAGCAGAAGTAGAAAGATTAAAAAATGCCTTGAAGATTCTGTCAGATGCTGAAAAACAACTACGGTTTTCCAGTGATCGTTCAACATGGTTCACTGCAACCCTTTTACAGCTTGGTTCAGTGCCTTCACTAGAACTGACGATCTCAAGCAGCAGTAAAAGGGGTAGCAGCTCCAGGACAACTGAGGAAGATCCTTCAAGTGTTTCAAGAGAAGCATCGGTCTACAAACGCAAGTCAGATGCTCAGTATCTACAAAGGAGATCTAGTTCACCTGCTTCCTTGTATGATGCAATGAATGGTAGCTCATTTGGGTTGAATTGCAAGTCCCCTCATAGCCAATTGATGGGTACCTGTAGCTCGTCTCTCTCTCTGGATGGGAGCTTGTCTGGTGACACACCATCTCGACTTAGGGACTCGGAAAAGTTGGATTTCATCTGGGAGAAGTGCATTGAAAAGTGTCACTCAAAGACTCTGAGGCAGCTGTTACATTCACATGGGAAGCTTTTGTCCATAGCGGAAGTTGAAGGTAAGTGCATGAATCTCTCTTGAAAGTTATCCAAACGTAGAATGAATGGGTGAGCAATATACAATACGACTTTCATGATGGTGGGCCAAAACATTAGGACTCATGCAGATGCTTCTTCATGTGAGCTTTATGAATTACATGCTTCTTTCCAGTTTCCACAAACAACTATGCATTTCATGCTTCTGGAGGTATAGTTAAAACGTAAAAAGAATAATCTTGCACTGACATGAACAAAGTTGTCCAAGTTATCTTGCTCATTGGTAGTAATAAACTTGTCAAAAATATTTCCCTTAATATGCATTTATTTTGTGTGCAGGTGTGCTGGTTGTGTATATTGCATTCATTGATAGAGAGATTAAAGCAAGAGCTGAAAGGTTTATGAGCAGCATCACAAACTCAATAGAAATGGTCTTGAGACGCAATGTAGAAGTTAAAATTATCCTCGTCTCTGATGCTGACTTTCTTGTAAATGGTTCGCATCAAAGTGAACCCAAAAGAGAGGGAAGTCGCTCAAATCCACTAAATGGTCATTCGGAGCGTAGTGGCCAGGAAAGTAAGCTTAAGGGAGGGGCAGCAGGTGACCACTCTAAGTTGTCACAAGAATTGCTTCCTCAAGCTGATGGCAATGACATGAAGGAAACTGGGGCAGGGATACCAATGCAGAGAATAGAATCTATCATCCGGGAGCAGAGGCTAGAAACTGCATGGTTACAAACAGTAGAGAAAGGCGGTACGCCAGGGACTATAAGCCGGCTAAAACCTGAGAAGAATCAGGTGCTACCTCAAGAGGGGATATACCACCATCAAGAAAGTCACATGGAAACTTCAAAGTCAACAACGGGGTTGTCTCCTCATCAATGGGAAGATGAGTTGAATCAAGAACTGAAGGTTCTAAAGATGCAAGAACCAAAGGAGGTCTTGATAAAGGATCAGCTTGGTAGAAGGGCTGGCCACACTCCAATGTCACCTAGCATGCTGCATAATAACGACTTCACCAACTTCTCGAACAAAGAAAGCTTGTGAGTCTTCTTCCACCCATTTTTTCTTCTAGCGGATTTTGTTGGTTCCCAGATGGATGCATTAATGTATTAGTACTAGTAGCATTACCTAATGATCGGATCTTTTTGTTTTCTCGTTTTTTGGTTCAGTGGGGGATATGAGTCGAGTACGGCAGGTGGAGGTTGCAGCGGGCTATTCTGTTGGAATGCACATAAATCCCACAAGCGAAAGGTGGTAAAGGCTGCTTCTTTTTCTTTGTTTTGTTCCCTATGTCTGGATTTTGTTTTCTGACGAATGATTGCTGCATGTCTTTGCTTGGAAAAACAGGGGAATGTTGCTACCGTGCGTTCTCGTCGAAGAGTTGGAGGTTTTTCATTGTTTGGTGAGTGTGGGAAGCAAAAGAAGAGTGAGAGCAGATTTCGAAGAAGGTAGCTCATTTGGCAAAAATCTGGATGCACTTGTTGAAACCTGTGGGTCTGTTGTTTCTTCTGCATTTTAGATGGTATTCTTTTGCCCTCTATTTGTTTACGGGACATTTTTTTCACTCAACAAGCCAATATTCTTTCTTAGGATGCGACATTGCCCAGGAACAATAACAACAGAAATGTTTACTTCACTATGTAAAGAGGGTCCTCACTTTCGTTTTTGCTGCTACACACTCCCATTTTGGTCATGCTTTTTCCTCCGCTGATGAATAAGAGAATCAAGGTTGTAGATTTGGTCTTCATTCTGGGTTGTTCTCATTTGAATAGTTCAAGTTTCATGAATTATCATCAGTGCATAAATGATCGATCGTCTACATCCTGTTTATTTTCCTTTCCTAGTTAGGCCTCAAAAGAACAGTAGGCAAACAATCATTTGAAAACTCAAGACTTCTCCACTGGAGCTCAATTCATGTTCAGAATCCTCTCAGCAAGCAGCATGTCATCCGGGGTTGTAACCTGCCATTCCCACTCAAAGTCGTCAGCAAGCAATAAGGCGAAAGCTTTTGTTTGAGTTGCTTCAACTAGGATTTCACAGATTACCTTGATGTTAGTGTATGATCCTTCAGTGATGAAAACGGGATGTTTTAGATGCTCTACAATTGAAACGTCGTCCGTCACCTCTAGGCCTTCCCTGTGAAGAAAAAATGGGTCACTATCTCATTCTTGGTATTCATCACATTTGTGAACATCTAAACGAAACTTTCCTTAATGTGGGTGTCAATATATATTACAGAACCAATTTAAAAAATGCATATTTTCACCTATTGACTAGCTCGAAGCCCTTCCTGAGCACTTCTGGCTTGATAACCTGTCCAGAAAAGTAATACCAGACTTTCTTGTAAGCACAGTGTGCCCACAACAGCTATTCTCTCACACTTGGGTTTAGTGAAACATCTGCAATATTCACTATACCTGTGGTGTTTGCATCTCCCATAGTGTTTTGCGGTCAAGAGTTCGCACTACAAATGACTTGCCATCTGCCTGCATCAATGAAATTTTACCCAAGTAGAGGATCATTGTTAAACTCATCGGTTTTCAGAAAGGGGGATGTCTGATTCAATATTGCAACCTTTAATATCTTTGTCTATACTAAACTGTTCAGAGCAATATAGATTAAATTACCTCCTTAATGGTTGCTTTGAGAGGCACACCGAGCACTGCTGCTCCATTCACTGATGCATCCTTAATGACCTAAACCATGGGCCAGACATACAGGTTGGATTTGATGAAGTATAATTCGGCTTAATCCAAGAAATTCTTCTCTTACAGACTAGTTCCTGGTCACAGACCTTCCTCACATCAGCTGCCAACACCAGAGGTCTTGCAGAGTCATGGATGCAAACCAGCTCAGAGCTGAGGTCTATCTCCTGTTATTAGATAAGGCATGCTTGATCAACTACTAGCATTTCCTGGTTATATCATGAATCGCAACAAAATTTGAAGCATTTCTGATTCACCTGAAGACCACTGTAGACAGAATCCTGTCTTTCCTTCCCAGGCAGTGCAAATTTAAGGTCAATGTTGATCCTTTCTGTGGCATCTGAGAAAAGCCATCGGCCATGAGTCAGTTTCGACTAGTTAAGCAACGTCGAAGACAGTCACAGGGCAATCGACATGGTTAGACTACAAGCAAACAGAAATGCAGAGATAGCGAAAAACAGATGTGGAAACCTTCAAAGACGTCCCTGTAGGATGGATCACAAACCACAATGATTTCCTTCACTTCAATCATCTGCGAGAAAGTGAAGAAACTGCCAAGAAGCAACACAAGATCATTTCTCCATAGGCATATACAATGCAGCTTGTTGTAGCAGTTTGAATTACAGAGTGTTAAGAGCAGTTTCCCAAGGTAAGGGTGAACTCCAATTTGCTGGCATGGCATTGTACTACTACTATCTAAGATTCTTCCAAGAAATGTGCTTTGGTTCTTGAAACATATCAATGCTATCGTCTAGATCATTCTTTCCTCAGGATTGCAATACAATCAGCTATTGTTTGCTAAATCAAGGAGAGAAGGACGATTCGTGTGTTACCTGTAGAGAGCAATTGGTTGGCCGACAAGTGGGAGATACTGCTTTGGCATGCTCGCCTATTCTGGAAAAAATGGAGAAATAAGTAACCAGTGATAATCAAAGAGGCAGGAGGGCAAGTTAAATAGATGAGTGGGGAAAGCAATTCAATCGTACACCCATTCTTTTGCCCTGTCCTCCAGCTAACAGAACCACTGAAACACTCCGCTCTTTCACAGCTCCAGAGCCCTGCCCAAAGAGATCGAAGCATCAGAACTAGCCCACCATACAACTATCTTATAGAAAGCAAGCGAACTCAGCAAGGTGGGGGGAAAAGCAAGTACATTTTCCTGGGCAGCGGAGCATCTGATGGGGGAGAATCTGGGCTTCTGAATGGAATTGAGTTTGTGAACTGAAAAAGAGAGAAACAAACAAAACCCAAATGATCAATTAGGCAAAGAATGCAGGGAATTTGTAAGAGGGAAGAGAAAGAACGAGGTGGAAGTTTGGATTCACCTGGGTGGAAGGCAAGGGAGGAAGAGTTGGACAGAGAGGAAGAAGCAGCAATTGAGAGATTGGAAGGCAGAGAAAGGAATGTGGAGTGGGTAGTAGTAGTAGCAGGTGCAGATGAATGATTGGAGGTGGTGTGATTGGGAAGAAGACGAAGTTGCAGAGTAATCGACATCTCTCTCTCTCTTTTGCTGCCACCCGGCTCTGTCTTCCTCAGCCTGTCTATCTATCAGTAATTCAGTATCCAAAACCTGAACTTTGCCTTTGTAATCTCACCAACCACCGTCGTCTAAATTAGACTCCTCTGTTTCTCCCCTGCCGCCTCAATTTTTCAATAAAATATTCGTACTCCAGATAAACGGAGGACAATCGCCGGTCAACTTTTGTCGTCCGACTTAACCACCAATGGCTGCCTAATTTCTTTTCTTTTCTTAAAGCACACAACTTTAATGGGCTTGAGCCTAGCTCATATTGTACTGGGCCGTGAAAAGCATTGGCCCACGTGGGCATCGCGCTGCTGTGAATTTGGGAGGATTCCCAATTTCCAGAGCCAACACATTTGAGAGCAGGGAGACCGGAGAAATTGAGAGGGGACACACGGTAGTCAAATCGGAGAAGAAGAAGATGGGAAAGCAGTTGGGAACGACCGGGGAATTCTTCCGGCGAAGGGATGAATGGAGGAAGCACCCCATGATGATCAAGCAGTTCCGCCACGCGACTCCTGGGCTCGGCATCGCGCTTGTCGCCTTCGGCATTTATCTCGTCGGCGAGCAAATCTACGATAGGGTTGGCACGCCTTCCTCGCACCACGGGTCGTCCTCTCATTGATCGGGGTTCTCGATGCTTGTATCTCTGAGGTTGGCTTTTCCTCTTTCTCCAGTCCAGGGATTGTTTTGAATTTTCGTGGCCACATTGGTTTCCAATTGGATTTACTTGGGGGGTAGGGATTTTGCCTTCTTTTCAGTTTTGTCGAGTTGTTGCTTCGATTGCGTTCAGAGATCCAGGATAGTTATAGTTTCCTGTTCGAATTGAATCTTACTAGGAATTGGGTGTTCTTGAAGCTGCTATCTTGTGTGATTACGTTTCTGGTACCCAAATGCTGGATGAATCCTGTTGCAACTTAGGTGCTGCTGTCTGCAGTTCTAGCGCCTTTCTTTTCATTGGTATTGTACGATACGAATGTTATTTTCCTAGGCTCAGATATCCTTTGAGAGGGTTCCAAGAACTTGTCATGTTATGAACTTTGTAATAAGAGTTGCCCAAATGTTCCTTGCTGGTAACAAGTTGGCATAAAAACTTCAGACCAACCTAAGCAAAGAAAGGTGATCCCTTGACCCTTGCTGGACTCGGACTGATTAATCGGCTTACAATCTTAAAAAGAGAACTATAAAGACAGATTGTTCTGTCTTACTAAGTACTACGCTAAGGAACCAGCCACCAAATGTTGGTTGTGGCAAATTATGTTAGTACAATAGTCACCATCTTGGTCCTCGCTTCATCACGTTCCCGTCTTGTTCATTTGGGAGCTGGTGGCATTCTGCTCTCACCGGTCACCCCTTCTTCCCTCAAGGGCTTCGGTAGTTGTGTTATGAGCTTTTGTGGATAGTTGAGCTCCGCCCTCAAGTGAGTTGTTAGAGTTCGCTGGGAGTACTTCACCTTTTCCTCGAACTATAGCGAAGTAAAGAAGTTCATAGCAGGATGTATGTTATTGCTTTATGGTTGAGTAGGAGCCTATCTGTTTGGGCCTCTGCAATCTCTCACTCCTCCTAGTGAGCATGCCATAGTGTTCCGCTATTAGTAGATGTATCATGTATGGTCGTTTTTTTAAGTCCACAGTTTCAAGTTTAAGTTAAAATGACAATTATTTAGGTTTTGCTCTGTATTAGAGCATTGTGATAAGTGAGAACTATGGATGAGGATGAAAAGTTTGTGAACAGCTCTGTGGAAAGTTGTTTGTTCGCAAGAATGCATGTCCGTCTATGTTACTTAGCATAAACTTGAAAGGGAGCTCCTGTATCTATGGTGATTCATCGGTTTGATCCGTGTATTGGTTTGTGGCAGATGTTGAAGACGGGCGATAGGATTCCAAGTCAATGCTGGGATGGGATGGCTACATTTGTGGTTTTGGAATGTTGCCTGCACTTTGGTGAAATTAATAATTTGTTGTTTTGGGACTGATTTCTTCCTTCTTTTGTATCCAAAAGTTGCAAGTTGTCCGTGTAGAAGTTTGGGCTTGCTTTACTGTTAGGGATGAAAGCTACAAAAGGATCATCTTCCCTTATGAATAAGAATGTAGTTCTCAACTCAACTCTATGTTTATCCTTCAGTTCTCTTTCAATCGGCCATATAACCTTTAAGCATGTTCTAGCCTCATGTCTGCTGGACCAGCCAAGTTCAGTTGGTGCATCTATTGCAGCAATCTGTTTGCCTTGCTTTCAAGGTGCTTTAGCCTCTGTTTGGCTTCAAGTCTCTGTGCCTATTGTGGTTACCTTTTAAACAGAAATGGAAGGTTAATAATTATGACTCAAGGGTTGTTACCAAAATCCATGTTCTGGCTCTTAAAAATATGATGGAAGGAACAACTCAGTAATCAAGATCGTTTGGTAGTTATGAGTAGCTAATTGTTAGGGTTTCTTAGGTTGGCAATATAAGTTTTGTTCCTAATGTCGTAGTTACTAAGATGGAAAGTAACAAGATTGTGAGCTTTTGAGATGGTCAGCCATTCACTTTTTTGGCAAATCCCCGGTAAACACAGGATTTGGCAACATCACATTGCATCTCTCAGTAACATGCTGAATCATCACAATACAACGCCAATCTTAATGTGGTCTGCATCTCTCAGTAAATAGTACACCAGGCAAAACAAACCAATCTCGTCCTTCAAAAGGGAAAGAGGCATAGCAGAGAGACGCCTCTATCTCCGCATGACACGATTACGCTCACGCTTCCGGAAAAGTTCTAACATGAACTGATCCGTTGCAGCTTCCCTGCGAGCTGCTGCTCCTCCTGCTTCTGGATTACTGCTATCTGCTGCAGGCTTAGGTACGCCGCTAACAGCAGATCTGGAACTTGAAACCCTAAAGCTTGTATTGATTTGTCTCAAGGATTACAATATATATCTGATGTTCTAGTGCTAGCAGACAAGCTTGAAGGTACATGTTTGTAGTTTTCTTGAAATAGAAACAAAGTCTGACTTGAGCTAAAAGCAAACAACGTTGCAGCAGAAAGCAGAACGACAGCGTCTTGGAGTGACATCAAAGTGGAAACGGCAGCGTTGCAAGGAAACGGTGCGCAGCACCAAAGTGACTTCGAGAGGAACAAAACGCAGCACTTCAGGTTGTCTTCTTCAGCTGAGAAAAGAAAGGTAAAGTGCAAATAGCCGTTGGACTTTGAATTTCAATTTCCCGGCGCTGTTACCCCCCCGCAAGCTGGTGGGCATAGATTATGCACACCAAGCTTGGAGAAGAGCTGTAGGAATGGCGCTGGAGAAAGAGGCTTTGTGAATAAGTCAGCCAGCTGATGAGTCGATGAGACATGAAGAAGTTTCAAAATGCCAGATTGGAGCTTCTCTCGCACAAGATGGCAGTCGAGCTCGATATGCTTGGTTCGCTCGTGGAAAGTAGGATTCTGAGCAATATGGATGGCACTTTGATTGTCGCAGTACAGCAAAGCAGGCTTGGGATGATCAACCTTGAAGTCGCGAAGAAGGAAGAGGAGCCATTGAATCTCACAGGCAGTATACGCCAATGCTCGGTACTCAGCTTCACAAGAGGAGCGGGAAACAGTCAATTGCTTCTTGCTTTTCCAGGAGATCAAGGATTCACCAAGGTAAACACAATATCCTGTTGTTGAGCGCCTAGTGTCCACACAAGCCGCCCAATCAGAATCAGTGAAGGCTTTTAGTTGTAGTGAACCTGTGCTTGGTAGAAAAAGGCCTGTAGCTGGAGCTGTTTTGAGGTATCTGATGATTCTCAGAACAGCCTTGTAATGAGTATTAGTTGGTGTAGACATGTACTGACTCAACTGTTGAGTGGCAAAACTGATGTCTGGTCGAGTGGTTGTGAGATAGATCAATTTTCCAACCAAAGTTCTGTAATGTTCTGGATCAGAGTATGGATCATCAGTTGAGCTTGAGAGATTTAACTTGTAATCCATAGGTGTTGTCACTGTTTTGGAATCAAGAACCCCTGCTTCCTCGATAATCTCCAATGTGTATTTTCTTTGAGATAAATGGATTCCTTTTTTGTTTCTTGCAACCTCAATGCCCAAGAAAAATATGAGGACTCCCAGATCCTTAATGCTGAAAGCAGTGTGTAGAAACTGCTTGATGGAGTTGATCTCTGTAATGTCATTACCTCCTATGATTAAGTCATCCACGTAGATGAGAATACAGGTGTAGGCAGTCTCAGTAGCTTTATAGAATAAAGAGTGATCAGCCATGCTTTGAACATATCCAACTTCCTGCAATTTATCTGTTAACTTGGAAAACCACTGGCGAGATGCCTGTTTGAGGCCATATAAAGATTTTCTGAGTCGACAAACTGGATGAATGAAGCCTGTAGGAGGGTCATAACCCTTAGGAAGTGTCATGTAGACCTCTTCCTGTAAATCACCATGTAGAAAAGCATTGTTTACATCCAACTGATGTATGTGCCAGTTTCTGATTGAAGCAATAGCCAAGAATGTTCTGATTGTTGTCATTTTAATGACTGGGGCAAAAGTATCCTGATAATCCACACCCTCCTGTTGAGAATTGCCTTTGGCAACCAACCGAGCTCGCCTTCTGTCTAGGGAGCCATCAGAATCGAATTTTGATTTGTAAACCCACTTGTTGCCAATTGGCTTTTTGCCAGCAGGCAACTCAACCACATCCCACGTCTTGTTTTTGAGTAATGCACTAATCTCATGAGTCATAGCTTGATTCCATTCATCTGATAAAGATGCTTCTTTGTATGTTTGGGGGTCACGGTGAGAAGAAATGTTAAGAATGTAGTGACGATAGTGAGGTTCAAGAGACTCATAGGAAATAGTGGAGGAAAGATCAAACCTGTTGCCTTGGAGCTGATGCTGAGAAGAGTGAGCAGGGCTGCTAGACTGTTGAGCAAGGTAGCAATGATAATTTTGCACAAGGTGGGAGGGGGGTTTGTGATGTCTACTGGATTTCCTAGTAGGAACTTGTTGAGAGGGAGGTTGTGATGTTTGTGGCTGAGTAGAAGAGGAGGAGGGATTGGTAGGCAATGTTGTTGCAGAGGGACCTGATGAAGAAGGCTGAGAAGTGGAAGGACCAGAAGGAGAAAGAGGTGGTGATGGATCATGGAAAGGTTCTTGGGGAGGAGATGAAGGATCATGAGAAGGAGGAGATGGGGTGTGAAAGGGTAGGTCATCAGGGAAAGGAATGGAGTGGGTAGGAGGTAGAGGATAGAGGTTGTCTGATGTGGGGTGAGTGTCATCATCTGGAGAGAGTGATTTGAATGGAAAATGGGATTCATGAAAAATGACATCCCTTGAGATGAAAATGTCATGGGATAAAAGGTCATAAATTCTGTATCCTTTAATTCCAGGGGAATAGCCAAGGAAAACTCCTTTTCTAGCTCTAGGTTGAAATTTAGTTCTGTGACTGCCTAGAGTACTAGCAAAACAAAGGCTGCCAAAAACTTTCAAGTCTGTTAGCTCTGGGGGCTTGTGATGAAGAAGTTCATATGGAGTTTTGTTGGCCAGAATGGTTGATGGGACTCTGTTTATGAGGTAGACAGCATGTTTGACACAGTCTCCCCAAAAACTAGGTGGCATAGAAGCCTGAAAAGAGAGGGCTCTAGCAACTGAAAGAATATGTTGATGTTTCCTTTCAACTTTACTATTTTGCTGTGGAGTTTCCACACAAGACATCTCATGAACTATACCAGTAGACTGAAAGTAGTCATCCATTTGAAATTCCTTTCCTTGATCACTCCTAATTCTTTTAATAGGCATCTGAAACTGCCTTTGCATTTGGGTGCAGAAGGCAATTAGTTTAGGCCTAGCATCTGATTTGAGAGAGAGGAGAATAATCCAGGTCATTCTAGTATGATCATCAACTATAGTGAGAAAGTATTTAAATCCATCATGTGAAGGAACAGGATTTGGACCCCAAATATCAACATGCAGCAGTTCAAATGCATAAAGTGTTACAGTTTGACTGGAAGGGAAAGGAAGCCTTCTTTGCTTAGCAAAGTGGCAAACATCACAGGGCTGATCTCTCTGAGTTTGTATGGAGGTACAAAAAGAGTGAAGGTGAGGGATTTTTGAATGGGATACATGGCCCAAACGAAAATGCCAGAGATCAAAATTTGAAGAACTAACAGCTGAGATGTGTTTAGGTTTAGTATATCCTTCTAGGTAGTAAAGTCCATTGTGTAGTCTAGCAGAACCACTCACTTTCTTCTGCATCAGATCCTGTATAAGACAAAGGTTAGAATGGAAGGTTAAGGAGAGTGAATTGGTGGTGGTCAATTTGCTGACAGAGACCAAATTGAAGGCAAAATGAGGTATGTACAGGACATTTTCTAATTTGAGGAAGTCATTGAAGTAGGTTGTGCCAGAATGAGTGGCCTGAATGTGTTCACCAGTAGGTAAGGTAATGAAGACATTGTCAACAGGTTTGTAGTTGTGCAGGTGATCAAGAGAGCAAACAATATGATCAGAGGCTCCTGTGTCTAGGATCCATCTATCATTTTGATGAAGACTAGCATTCAGAACTGGAATAGAAAGGAGACAGGAAGAAGTAGTACCTCTGCTGGAGACAAAAGCAGCTGAGTAAGAAGGTTGGGATTTCTGGGAATTCATCAAGCTCATCAGCTTGTCATAGTCAGATTTGGTGAGTTTAACTTCATCTTCATGATGAACAGCTGGAGCAAGATGAGCTTGACCCCTGCCTCTTCCATAAGTGGAAGTAGATTGAGACCTGGGAACATAATCAGCAGGGAAACCATGTTTTTTGAAACACTTGTCCTCAGTATGTCCTTGTTTCTTACAGAATGTGCACTCAATGACCCTTGACTGCTGAGGAACAGGAGGTCTAGCAATAAAACCAGGTGGCCAGCCATGTTTGGAGTAACAGACATCTTCAGTGTGACCTTCTTTCTTGCAAAAGGTGCAAAAGGGCCTCTTACCAGTGGAAAAGGGCCTTCTGTTGGGGCTTTGGAGAGCCATAGCAGATGGATCTGTAGTGACAGAAGCTACCATCTTGCCAGTCTGAGTTCCATATAACTGCCTCTCATGCTGAAGGAGTCTTTGAAAAACACGGTTAATAGATGGTAGTTCTTCTCCAAAGAGGACTTGAGAACGAACACCATGAAAATTTTCATTAAGACCCCTGAGAAACTTGATAACATAGCTAGTATCATGGTATTCTAGTACTTTCTTCATGGCTCTACAGTCTATGTGACTTGTAGGTGAACAATCACAGGGGAGAAGTGGTTGATAGTTATCTAGTTCATCCCTTAAGGTGATTACTCGACCATAATATTCTGTAATCGTTTGGTTACCTTGCTTCAGGGTAGCAAGGGCTTCTTCAATCTCAGCAACACGAATGATATCCCCAGAACCATACCTTGTTTGCAGACTTCTCCAAGCTTCATAAGCAGACTTGCTGGAGAGGATTGTCTTCCTGATTTCACCTTCAACAGACTGCTGAATCCAGCTAAGTATCATCACATTGTTGCGAATCCAAGCACCATGCTTTGGATCTGTGTCTGGTGGTTCTGGTATGCTTCCATTGATGAACCCCAGTTTGTTTTTGGCAGCTAGAGCGTTGAACATTGCACGACTCCAATCGTTGTAGTTGATGGTGGATAGACGTTCAGCAACCAGGAGAGAGCCAGGCTGCTCTGAACCATGAAGGAAGTAAGGATCTTCCATCTGGTAAATGATTTGAGGTGGTTGGTCTGCAGCCACAGCTGCATCTTGTTGTTGTTCCATTGACGGCGCCTAGGGTTTCACAGGCTCTGATACCATAACAGCAGATCTGGAACTTGAAACCCTAAAGCTTGTATTGATTTGTCTCAAGGATTACAATATATATCTGATGTTCTAGTGCTAGCAGACAAGCTTGAAGGTACATGTTTGTAGTTTTCTTGAAATAGAAACAAAGTCTGACTTGAGCTAAAAGCAAACAACGTTACAGCAGAAAGCAGAACGACAGCGTCTTGGAGTGGCATCAAAGTGGAAACGGCAGCGTTGCAAGGAAACGGTGCGCAGCGCCAAAGTGACTTCGAGAGGAACAAAACGCAGCACTTCAGGTTGTCTTCTTCAGCTGAGAAAAGAAAGGTAAAGTGCAAATAGCCGTTGGACTTTGAATTTCAATTTCCCGGCGCTGTTAGCCGCCTGCACCACCATCACCATTCGTCTTCCCGTCCTTGTACAGTTCTGGATGTTCTGCATGTTTTAATGTAGCAGGCCGATCAACAATCCCCAAACGAATACATACACCCGCATTGTGTTAGCAAGAATTCCAAAGAGGTCACACCCAATTGCAAATTCAGATTGCAACCATGGTATACAGCCACAAGAGTAACAAATGCCACAAGAGTAACTCTAACTCATTCTTGAGTAAAAAGCAGAGAAATAGAGAATCGGAACAAACCTCTTCGAAGTTTCTCAGCATAATCCCTCCCACGCTGGAAATAATCTACACTGTAACTAGATGGGATATTAAGGTCAGAAGTTTTGGTCCGACCCATTAACCTCTTTTCCGGTAACAGCTTCTTTGCCGCCTCAGTTTCTTCGATGTTCTACAAACAGCGAGAAATAGAGAAACCAGTGAACAATAGCAGCACAGGTGTACTGAACAGACTCTAAAATTCTTCTGTTTCTGAAGGAAGCTCATACTATCAAGGCAAGGCAATGCTGTAACAATACATGCTGATGCTGGCAAATGCACATCTGCCTTTCCAGGCCCCCCCAGCGAAGCCAAAACCAACAACAATGTGACATCCATTCAAAGAAAATTGCAGCTACAAGTTTAACCACACAAATCGGGGGAAGTGAGTGAGGGGGAAAATTGCATACTCGATAGGCAACTGAATTTCTGCAATTCCTGTAGTCCATTGGGTAGAGCTCTCTTCTGCGTTACGCCTTTTAACCTGACAAGCCATTCAAGGAGATGTTCAAAAGTCATGACGAGTAAAACAACGCCATCTAGAGGAGAAAACGGAAACAAATGTCTATAAAACATGTACCACCATATCTTCCACAACCACGTGAAAGGAAAAACAGAAGGTCGCAACTCATCCAAGAACTCAGTTTAAGATGCTCAGGGACTTTGTACAATTAATCCTCAGCACGAGTTAAATTCATTCTCAACTTGACCATCCAAGTCCAGGTTCTTGCCTCTCTTCTTAGCTAATTCCTGCTCAACATACTTCAACCTGTTAATCAATCAAAACAAAAGGTCGTTCTTTATTATAACACCCTTTTGTTCAAGGAATCCCCCGAGGCAACAGAATGGGAAAAAAAAACCCCCAGCAATACGAGCTCTCTTGAAAATGAAGCGATGATCATTTAATTTGAAGCAGAAACGACAGGTTTTAGTCTGCTCAGTTGCATTGCCATAGCCAATAATCAAAGAGTGAGTAAGAGGCATTGATCTATTAAATGGTCGGCAAAGGGCTAAACAATGAGCAAAGGAGTTCCCCTGGCTGATTACAGGAAAGGATTTCAGGGAGCAGTAGTAGTTCATGGATTTTACTAATAGTCAGAAACTTAATCACGGAACTCATGGCTTCAGGTAAGAGTAATGAAGCAAAAAACAAGGTCTTCTGAACTGAATCTTGAGAGGGAAGTAAGCCAAAGCAGCAACAGGATGGTAGAAAGAGAAAGAAAACAGAAACTTACATGTTGGGATCTTCGACCATGACTGCAGTTTCTTGAGCAAAGGTGTCTTGAAGGACGAAAGGCAAGACACATAAAAAGGTAGTTATTGTGTTATTTAAAAAAGTTATATTACTTTTTGGGTGAAATGTCAATTTCACCCTTTGGTTGTAATATACAAAGGCAAGACACATAAAAAGGTAGGGATATAATTGGAAGGGAAAAAAAAACACAACAATCTTAACCAAACAATCTCACCGAAAATTTGAGATTTAACTATCACTCGTTTTGAGTGATAGTTTGTGTCAAATCAAGCAAACAATGCATGTATTGTTTGTGCAGAAAATTAAAAAAAAATGGAGCATTATGAACAATACATGTATTGTAACTATCTCAACCAAACAATCACCAATACCAAACGACCCCAAAATTATGAAGCACTAATCGATAAGATATATTGACAATAAGGTCTTTGATAGTTTAGATGAAAAATATATAATTTACAAGTTTTATTAGAGTAGAAAAATGTTGTGAGCCATTGCAAAAATTTATAGTTTCTCATATTAAATATATTTATTTAAAAAAATTGGCACCCCCTTATAGACAATCTTGACTACACCACTGTTAGCAATGATATACTTTAACAACATTTTTGTGGGAATTGCTAAACATTTTTTACGTGAAAGTGAAATTGTAAGTTGTAACAACTACTTGATATCATTTAATCGCCATTATAAAGAAAAACAACTACGTGGTCCTTCCTATAGAACTGGGTCTTTACTCTTTAGAATACTTTTGGGGTTTGGACTTTGGACCAAATTTGGTCCAGTTTCAGCCCAAAAGTTGACATCTATCTATTCCTATTCCTTTAGTACGTGGGCTTCCTTTTTCCTTCCGAACAGAGGATTTTTTCACATCTCTTCCGACTCCGGGCTTCTCCGTTTCTCCTCCGTCGCCGACGATATCGTTTCTTTCAATCCGTCTCTCTACGGCATGACGATCGAGAGCTACATATCGGATTGGAATCTGCCGCGAGCCGAACTCCGTCGCTGTCCCGGGAAACGACAGCGAAGCAGTTCAGAAGCAAACCTCCCTCCTACGATGATCGGCGAACTCGGAAGCGATCTCCTAGAAGAGATCCTGATTCGCCTCCCCGACCCAAGATCCAGCAGCCGGTGCAAACTCGTCTGCAAGCGGTGGGGCTCCATGATCTCCAGTCCGCGCTTCAACCGCCGATTCGTTTCTCACCACCAGGCAAGGAATCCGAGCCACCCACCCATGCCGGCCGATCCATACGAACTGGTAGAAATCATCCTGAGCTTTCTCCCTCCCGTGCCTGGTAGAGTTCGACGCTATCTTAGAGTGTTAGATTGCAACAAGGACTTGGTTTTATGTGGGTTCTGGGATTTAGATTGCGACGATGGGGAACTTAGCAGATTGTACTTGGTTTGCAATCCATTCACAAAGCAGTGGATCGCTCTTCCTTTAGCGCCTAGCAAGCAGTCGCAGTATGAGTCAGCGGCTGCAAGGTTAGTTTGTGAACCCCGGATTAAGCTTGATCTAGGAGATGGCCAAGCATCTTTTGATTTTGGTTGTCGCTTCAGGGTGGTGTGTATTTATCAAGTCATGCGACCAAGCAAGGCTGTAAAGCTCGACGTGTTTTGTTCGGAGTCTGGTGAATGGATCAAGGAAGCTCTTGTCTGCCCTGATCATTTTGGAACTGTATTAAGAACGATTTCGTGCAACGGGGAGATGTTCTGGCAGTGCATTGTTGCGCATGGCGGGTCTAGTGTTATGGTGGCTGCTTGTAATCCTTTTCGCCTTGATCTGCCTCCCACTTTGATTGATGCTTCTGCATTCCTTGAGAAACCACGTTGGTATATTTCCGGCTCGCAAGGTGTGTTGCACGTAATTGCAATTGAAATTGAAGACCGCACTACTCTAGCTGTTCGTTCAAGCATCTGGAGGCTGGAGGACAACCGTAAATCTTGGACGAAACAATGTGAGTGGTTGGTCAACAAGAGTGCAAAGTGTCGTGACTATGGAGCTTACGGCTGTTATCAACCTTCACTGCATCCTCATAACCCAGAAATTGTTTTCTTCAATCCGTTTCATTATTATGATGTCAATGTTATATTGTGCTGCAATTTGAGAAGGGAAGAGCTAGAGTTCATTGCTGAAGTAGATGGGTCGGATAATGTCTGTCGCCTTCAGGTGTTCGAGCCAAGGTCTTCTTGCTGGGCTACTCCAATTCCAAGGTATGAGAAGTTGCAAGGCATGCACGATATAAGCTACGACTTTTGGGTTCAGATCAGCAGGGAAGCAAAAACTCCCTCCCTCTCTCCCTTCACCAATAAATAGTAAGTGCTTCTTCCTGTAAAACTTTACCGTCTTTTCTGTTTTTTTCGCTTGTCTGTCAAGTTTAAGAATTTACTAATGAGAAGAAAGTCAGAAAGAAAGTTTTCCTGGAGGAAAAGACATCCAGCTGCAACCCTCTTGTCCCGTTACAGGCTAAGGGTTGCAGTTTTTGGGCGTGCTAACCAGATAATTACACATTAAGTAGCACATGCTTGCATCTTTTGCCGACTGTTCCGCCATTTGTTTTGCCTGCAAACTTGGTGCCTGCTCTGAACTTCAACAGAGTTGCTGATGATAAGATACACATGGCCGTTGTATGCGTTTTCTCTCATTCTCTTTCTATCGTCTTGTGTCTGCTGCTCCTATAGTTCATCTCATTTCTGTTGTGGCTGGTTTAATTTCTCCAACAGGTAGTTGTCTCTTCATTTTCCTGCCTTAATGTTGGTAATCAGTTGATTAGTTTGTTTCCCGACCTAATGCTATGTGTTTGGTTTCTTTTCAGCATGAAGGATATTATGAAAGCATCCTTACCTTCTACTGTCTCCAACATACATAAATTGCACAGAACAACGGCAACGGCAGCTTTGGAGGTGCAATGGCAATATTTGGACCTTCGCAAAATGGTTATGAAGACATAGGGAAGCATCGAGCACTTGTCAGTTAGTTTCTTGGCGATCGATGACCCAGATTGTGAAGCGGGACGAGCAGGGATTCCGAATTTCCTCTGCGCTGTTTCTGAAGGAATTTGACCTCTTCTAATGCTAATCTGCAGCACGGAGAAAAGACGCATCAGGCAAGAACCCTATTGACTGGTGGAAGGAGGAAAAATTAGAGGGCGGAAAGAGAAAAATACCTGCGTTCTTCTTCGTCGTATGATAAGCTGGAGTTGGGATCGTTAGTTTGTGGGTCTCCGGCTTCATCGTCTTCTGGGAAAGTCTTCTTCCTGAAGTTCTTTTTTTTTTATTGCTCTGCATCTTTATGCTTAACGGAAGCGCAATGGGCAACGCCGGAATGTGCTTCGGCTACAGGCTTCGGCGTTTCCGACCGGTTGTGTGTGTCTGTCGAGTGTCCGCGCAGATGAAAACCCAGTATAGAGGGAGATTGACGGGGTGGAAAGTTCCAAACTGATCACCAAACTTATCAATATATGACAAATTGGATATCAAACTTTCGCATAAGACCATTTAAGTACTGAAACTCATTTTAAGATTAAATCTTTCGACTAAACTAAAAAGTTAGTTATACCATTAAACATAGCAAAATACAAAGTAACCTTCTAAAGATTATCAAAATGCACACCCAAAGTCAATTATAATTCAAACCTAGAATGTCTATTAGATAATGTTTACTAAATGCTCAACTATTTAGAATGTTTACTAATAACATCGTCTCTCCTCAAAATCATTGCTATTCAGCCAAGTTATTAATATCTCTTTTAAAATTACGTTGACGAGTTTACTAAGAAGCCCCTTCTTCTTTCAGTCGACCATATCGATAGCCTCTACTCTCACTTTCTTCGGACTTATTTCTCTCCTTCTTGTTCTAATTAAAATGCGAACTACTTCGTTCCTTCGGTCGAGAATATTGTATAACCTCTCCCGGTGACTTATTTTATTTTTAGGGTATCCATATTCTACTTAAGAGCCCGTGTGGGATCTTTCCCGTCTTCGGTCATATCCGTCAATCCTCATATCCTTCGAGTACTTGACATCGAACTCAAATTTGAGCCGTAAGGTTTTTATCCATTATATTCTACTTCAATAATATTAGTATGATTTATAAAATCATACGAAAGTCATACCAGACAAGTTAGGGATATGATATTTTTGGTGGTATAACTATAGTCGTCCGAATAGAATGTGGTGTAATATCTTTGTTAAAAGAAAAAAATTATTAAACCAACCAAGCATCATTATCGATGTAATATAGCCTAAACCGGCTAGTCATACCGGGGATTGCAAATTCGTAAAACCGACCGACGTAATATTTTCATGATATTTTGTATCATATCTACATAAATGATGATTTACAACTTTTACACTCCGACCAACGATGTGATTTAACAATCCTTGCTAATCAATAATTTCACTTCGCATTATTGCAAAAAGGGAAAAAAAAAAACTTTCATTTCACACGTTAAATATTTTCATCTGTTATCTAGATTGGAACAAATTCGAATTTCAAAGTTGTATCTACACCCTAATTTCTGAGACACCAACATTGATGAGAATCAAACCTGCAACTTATTAATTATCGTTGCAAAGAAGATCTTTTAATCGTTAAAAACTCAGCCCTATCTTTCCCCTTGGCTTCTCCATATAAAAGGCAGAGCATACCTCAGCTCCAGGTCCGGTTGCGACTAGGGAGTCCTCGGTTTTCAAGCTCTTTCATTTTAAATGTATTTTACCTTTCGAAATTAATTTGATTTTTCGAATATAATTTGAATTTTGTGTGTGTTTTTTGCCATAGATATCCCTAAAGGGATACTAGGATAGTAAGATATGATATTAATCTTTGTAGGCTAATCAAATAATAGAAAAAGATAGGAATGCTGGTCGAATAAAAGTAAAAAATAAGAGTCTTTTGCCTGCCATTACCTATGAACGATACGCGAAATTAAACGAAACCCGCTCGTACGATAGATGACAACACTAGAATTTGACCTCACATAAATGAGTCCTCAAAAGTTTGCACTTTCTGCCTAGCTTTCGAGAATAAAAGTCGCTATTGTTTGCCTAATGATAGAGTTTAGGCGAATACTCAATGACAATTAAGATTGTACATCTCCTGTCAAATTAGTTTTTGAGAAGTTCACATAGTTTGAAACTTCAGAGAACTGAACTGATTGAAGCTCGACATCGTTTGTCAGCGAAAGACCCCTGAAACATGAGACTCGGCATCCTTCACATTGATCATTCAAATATACACCTGCGTATCACCACGAAACGACACATTAGTAACTGCATAAGGAAGACACCAACAAACATCGTCTGGAAGCGCCATAAGCTCCATAATAAATGGGTATGAAATGTGATCATAAAACCTATCAAATCAACAATCCTTCCTTCAAAATAACCAACAAACCCAATTCCCCCACACCAAACGGTTTGGATGGATCAATTTAGAAATGAGTCAATTTGATCAATTGTCTCGTTTTATAAATGAGACAATTAAAACGAGTCAATTCGAATTACCTGCCCCCACCCCAGGTAATTGAAATTGACTCAAAACGGATCAATTCAAAATACCTCAGACAGATTGATCCATCCAATTTTTTTTGCTGGCTAACGAGGCAATTTGGTGCAATTGTCTCAAAACTAGACAATTGTGTCAAATTGATCTGTTACAATTCCCATCCAAACGACCCCTAAGACACCATTGAGCGGGATCCAAGGTGAAACACTCAATCTGGAGACGAGATACAGAAGCCAATTATGCCCAAGTTTATTCCTCAAATTGCACCTCAAATTGTATTCTCACGGCATGGGCAAGGAATTGAATATCATCATAAGCTGTAGAGTCTAATCCTCCAATACACAAATCTAATCTAATCTAATCTAAACAAATAGTATATGGAGATTCTTCTCAAGAACCCCTTCAATTCCAAAATCCCTGCCTCCTGCGCACAGGTCGGAGGGACATTTAGGTCCAAAAGAAAATTCGTAACTTACATAGGCCCATAGAGAGCAAAAATGGCAGAACGGAGAGCCTTAGATGATTTTTTTTTTAATTTTACCTGGGTCACAAAGAATAGCAAAAGGCTTTAATTAATGTGGGCCCAACTTCTTAATTTTTTAATTTACGTGGGCCATTTATATTTTCACATGAGAGCATGAGAATGCTCTAATTTTCTGTTTTAGGAAGGATGCGGAAGCTTCTAAAATTGTTGTTATAAATCAAGCTCTGTATTGACTCTGTGTCTCTGTGTTTCCAAAGTGTGTATTAATAGTTTTTAATCACTCGACAACTTGATTCCCTTGCATCGGTGCATTCCAATACATCCTGCGTTCCCTTTAATCTTATTGTGTGAAGTGTTTGGTTTGATTAAATTTTTAGAGTAAATTCCATTTCATGACTTTTGTTATGTACTTTGGGTAAGGACTTTGTAAATGAATCTATTAGCCTGTTCAAAAATTCTACTGATATGGTACTTTAATATATTTTCAGTAATTAAATAATTTGAACTTTTTATGCTATAAAATAAACGTGTCTTACTTTTGACAAGTACAAAATTATATATACAATTGATGAAATTCATCCAGCTAATGAGCGGGCTCAAAATCTAGAATTCTATATCAACTATGTTTGATTGTAAATATTGATTTTGTAGAGAGAAAGACTAAATATTTTTGTCAGCTACTTTTTCGCAGTTCCTCGAACAAATACTTCATGTCGAGAGCCATGCAAACAACCAATTAATGCTTCATTTCGTTTGTTAAATATTGAATGTAAGTACTAAGTACAAATATTTTTATTAGCATAATTATATACGTCTTACAATTTTAATGTGTGTCCATGTCATGTGTTATTCATGAAAAAAGAGAGCTATTTTTATACCAAGTGGATTTTAATCAGACTCTATGAAGTGTAGAATAAATTGTCTTATGGTATGAATATCGATGAACCATCAATTGTTTATAATCTATCTAACTATTTACACTGCTTGATCTTACAAAACTACTAGTTTCCATTTTACATTTTCAAAAATCAATGCACACAAGTCAGAGTTGAAAAGAGTTGATCAACCATTGACCAAATAGCAAGAAGGAAATGTCCTCTTTATATAAAGAAAAAGTGTATGTGTGGAAAATTGTCAACATTACTATTGGTAATCCGTTATTTTTATGTTTGCTTTCGATTTATATGTTATCAAATTATGTGTTAGATGCTAGGATTGCTTATTTTAATCATTCTTATGCATAACTTCAAAATGAGATTAATAACTTACAAACTAAGAGAAATAGATTGTGGAGGTCCATCAAACTTGCCGGAAATTGTTATAATCACCTTTGGGTGACGCGATCGTGAGACTTTACAGTTTTATGAATGCTTTAAAATTTTCATTTTCCTTCATTTGTTATAATGTTTTGAATTTTTATCAAATGTATTTCTTATATTGGAGTTTTAATCTATTGTAGTTGTTGAAGTGTTTGATATTGGAACCTCATTATATATATGTGAATATTGTGGAGCGGTGACGTGGAAGGGAGAAAGTACTAAACCGACAAGAAATTTCAATGAACCAAAGTTTTTATTATGTTGCAGACAAGACAAAGTGAACCTCCCTCCTAAAAGGCAAGCTCCAGAGTTTTGATTATGTTATTGCACGCAAACATTTCAATGGGACGTCACTTTTTGGAACATATATGAGCCAATAATGGGGTCTTCGCATTAAATTCAATTGGAGGTAAACTAGACCGATCTATAAATGATGGACCAGGAGTAAACATTTATTCGATTGGAGGTCAAGTATATCATCGAATCGGTAACCTTATACCTACTGAAATGAACATACCAAAATTTGCACAACTCTAAGTCTATGACACTTACAATGAACTACTAAACAGGTTAGATTTTTTCTCCACATATCCAACTTCAAATCTTTTGCGCGATTCAATTATTAACAATTGCAGTAGATGTTAGATTCAAATAATATCTTAGTAAAGACATTTCTATCTTCAAGGGATAGACTGAATGCCTCCACTATTTAACAAGTTGAAATTAAGTTTCGTGCTAAAAGATAAGAGATGGTAGAGAATATGATTTTCCATCGGAAATTGAGGTTGCTGCTTTAACTGTTGATAATACTAGGAAGCAAATATTTTCTCCTAATATTGTTGTCCAGTATTAAAGTCATGAACTGGAACAAATTAATATATATCATTCAAGTTTAATGGTTGTGCAATATCTCATATTATTCCCCATGGCGAGCATGGTTGGCACCCAAATATGGTAATGCAACCATTATTAATTTGAAAATTGATTTGGTATAGTTGGTTGATGAATATACATGCCAAGTGATTGGATATTCAATTTTTCAAAACATAATTTATATTAGTTATTTCTAGAATTCAAAGACTATATTACTTATGCATCAAAAAAGAAAATTTCCCTTAATAATTAGCAATCAATGATACTGATACCGGCGGAAAGCTTACGTACATATTAAAAGACTAAATTAAATATGGTT